TGGGATATGCGCAAGTAATCTGGGTCAAACTCAGGCAAGCCCTGACTGTGAAAATCGCAATGATTGCCAATGAATCGCATGTCAAGCAGCTGTCCTTGTGAGCGGGTCAAGTAAAGATTGACAAGATCTACATTCTGCCGGAGGAAAAGTCGGATCTCTGTCCAAAGCAACGGCATCCCGAGCGCCACAGCTCTCCAACGCTGTGAAACACTCGTAAGCAAAAGCTCAGGCCTGGAACGGAGGCGCAATCTGGTGAGGGCGCATGAAGAAGAGTAGTCTTCATCTGCTCTAATGGTTGCTTTGACTGTCTCTACAAATATCATCTCGAGAAGCTCGTTCGGGATAAACGAGATATACGACACGCCATACACCAATAGTGCCTGGTTGAGGCGCAGCGCCTGTGTGCCCATGATGTGGCACAACGGTCGCTTTGTCTTCCCCGGCAGTTTTGCAAGCTCTTGCGTCGTAGCGACGTATTCTGGCGTTAAAATCCTAATCCACCAATTTGACTCATCAGACGTGCACATACACAAAGCAGGTCACCCACATTGTCTACCTCTTGGTAGTCTTGGTAGAAGCTCACACAACGTTGTCAGTGGTTCTCAGCATTGAGAAACCAGACGTTTTTATAGTCGATAACATCAAACCACATGCAGGCACCGGATAGCTATGTCACCCAATCACCAAGTGACACCGGACTTGATGAGGCATATCTCCAGGGCTTGCTTACCCGACTAGGAGGAGCGGAGACGAAGAAGCGGCAAAACGAGCTCAGTGGAACTTGTTATCTGCAACATGAAGGTTCTGCTATTACGTGAGCTTTCCCCAGCTCATGGCGAGTGTCAACAAACGGCATATTCCGTGGACTATTACTAACCCGGAATGGGCGCCTCAAGAACCCTGCTTCACCGCCCTCCATTCATACGGCATCATAATCTCACACGGTCAACGCCCATGCCGTCTGATAGGGTCAGTCTCCTGATTCAATAACAGCTGCAAGTACTCACTTATTGAATATCCATATAGTGATTCTCCGAAGTTCGCATTGTGCTGTTCTTTGATTTCGCTATGTTCTTCACACTCTTATCCTGATGGCGGTGGGAGTATGATATTCTTGATTCCTCACCACGTTGGCACTGGCAACAGCACCGCCATTCTTCAACATGTAATTGGTCAGATTCGTTAAGCCTAGTATGTAATCCTCTTGATGCGCGGTCTGCATCACAGACTCAAAGACGGCATCTCACTGAGGGCACTTCCTTCAAGGTCGGAGCAAAGCCGTTGATAATTTGCGTTGAACTCCTTATCCTTAGGCACTTCGTGGTCAGACTTGACGTTCTTCGAAGTTCGAACAACAGAGACATTCGAGGGCGCCGCTTGTTGTCTAAATCGAATCCACACGCTGTAACAGCAGCCTATGACATGAAACATAATTAACAGCGGAGCATGGACCGATCTCCCAAACTCGGAGTCGGAATAGCCGTTTGGAGCGCGCCGCCATATTGGCGAGCCACTGCAGCAGATCGAGAGCGCCGTGTCAGTGGCAGGCTTGCCAAATGGCTGACTTCTCGATTCCACCGCTACGTAGAAGTGCCACGCAAACAATGAGCCACGCCACATCTTTTGACCATCGATAATTCAAGCTGAAGAGAACAGCCAGCTTCTTTCATTAATGTGTTTGTGGCAGTCCACTGAGCGATTGTGACGGTGTTCAGGTTATGTGACCTTAACAGCCGTTGCCAACGTATACGCCATGCGCACTGGAAGAAACCCATTGGAACTGCTACGTAACATTTATAATTTGACTGAAAACTCTCGATAGGTTGTGGGCAGGCGCCCTACACGGGGTTCATGCTGGATCTCGAGCCTTGGCACGGTACACAGTTCTGCGAGGATTGCGCCTTACTGTAAGACAAATTCAGTTGTTCATGGGAAAGGAAGCAACACTCTTTTGATCCCTTCAACAAGGGAATATATCCACATGTCAATGTCACGACTCGCTCTCAACTCCGGTGTCTTAAGGATTGTCCCCAGGGATGTTGATGATGGCGTGATGTTGTGAGACCCAAGATAATTCACTCATTGCAAATGTACGCTCGGTCCACAGGTTCTCCACAACTGTTCATCCATTAACTTCTGGCTGCGTCACTACAGACGTGCCTTTTCCGCCGATCTTAAGTTACGCGCTGATCTAGTTATCCTGTCAGCTGCTCGAAATTCAAATGTTCTCAGGGTTTCTCTTCCTGGGGAGACATCATTAAGTTTTAATCAAGGAAGATAAAACTTGCGTGAGTTTCTCCCGGAATGGGATTTCTGTTGCGATATTGGCGCAGCCACGGTTGCTCGCTTTCCAAGAGATCAGAATGGATGGTATTTTTCGGTACTGCGCACTGCGGCACCCTCTGAGAAGTCGGCACTCAACTTACTACACGGATTCCCCATGTTCTACTAATTTCTGCAACAAACGTCGAGACGTCTCGTTACCCGTTTGAATCGCGATCCGCACCACGATCTCCTCGTACAGGTGTAGGTTTAATGTTTCCAGTCAGGAACGGTGAACGCCCCTGCAACTTTCACAGGAACGTACCATTCCGGGATTTTTTAACAATGTACACCATGATGCGCCTATTGATAAATGAAAACTCCTTGTAGGTTGATGATGTTTGACTAAGATACGATTGGTCGAGTCAGCAATGTAAAAATCCAGAGTACCTCTTCTGATATGGAGTGCGTTGGTGACCTGAAGTTGTTCGATGCCGACATGTAGTAGGTGATCGCATCCGCAGTCGGTTTAGCTATCGAAGTGCGAGGTTGGAGGCCGCACTTTTTTTTCGAATCCGGTTCCCCACTGGGGTCATGCCTCTCACCGCCTGAAAGAAGTCGCTAGAATAGTCGCGGAGCACCGGAAGTATAATCTGAGGATGTACCACTGCCTACTATCGATGAATGACGGTATTACAAAAGAATATAAGCCCTGTGTAGTGCGCGGTGCGCACAACGTGACTAGTACCGATCCGTCAAGAACAGGTTCACGTTCAAATTGGCGACTGCACTAGAGTGTGAGACATGAGACGATGGAGTGAGAAGAGGTCAAGTGATCGGGCCAAAGTCGCGTAAGAAGACCTTAGCGGAGACTAGCGGAGACTATAGCTATACACTTCCTTTGGTAGTGACGAAATATTGCGCGCGCTTTACGGCCACCCATCATGTCCTTGTCCCCATCTGCGGTAACATCAAACATCTCAGATATCCCATCTAAACGGCGCAGGACACACAGTCTTATCGCACAAAGCAGCAACAACAATCATCAAGACATGAGCCAATCTCCTGCGGATACAGCCCATTCGTCACAACCGCCGCAAGCCGCCGCACACATACCCAAGAGAGGCGCAAGAGCTTGTACTGCTTGCAGGAAAGGTAAAAACAGATGTGAAGGAGAGGTATGTCTATTCAAGACTCGCTTGTGATCATCGCCCCCTCTGCTCACTGGCCCGCCTCTCCCGCCCCGGCCCGGCGTCACATTTTTTAGGCTCCTTGTCGTCGATGTCAGTTGAGTGGAACTGCTTGTGTTTTCGAAAAACCAGAGAAGAAAAATGCAAATGCCATGCCTGGCGCCAGTGTTGAGTAAGCTTCAGATGGCATCGGGCAAACTTTCGCCATCATCACTTACACTATTCAATAGGCGCTTGTCTCGCCTCGAGGGTCAATATCTGGTAAATGTCCAACGCCTATACTTTGAGGATATCTGACAATATCGCATTTAAGGTTATGCAGAGTCAGATGATTGGCATGCAATCCTCCTTGGACCGTATCTTGTCCACCGTTCAGAGCCAGGCCTACGGTACTCAGCACCAAGGGTACTCTGGGGCATGACTTCTGGGCCCAGTCGCGATGGCTCTGGATTTATGTCGCGGAACGGATATGATGCGCACGGACATGTAGGAGGGCAAAGCTCCCAGCCACGCTCCCAAACGAGATCATTCCCGCCACTTCCGGGATTCGCTCCACCGGTTGGTCCGCTTGCGAGATCAATCTATAAACATCCCTGATAAACTTTTAGCCTCACAAATATGCAACTTATGGTATTGTGCCCAGCACTACACCATCGTCAGATGACGAGTCTGAGGAAACGCTGCCTCGTGCCTCGCTCAACGCGCCTATTGAAGCTCTTCAAGGTTTGGCAAATGCTGCCGCAGAAGCAGCCGCTGCGCCATCCGCGTCCCCACCAAGGTAGTTGTTTCATATCTGTGGGCTGCACGATTATCCTGATCACTTGGAAAACAGGGTCAAAAAGCGCCCGCGGGTGGAGCCCATTCCCCGGAATGCATTCCCGCACGTCATTGAAAAGGTGAGCTGACGAAATGCCGGACTTGTGCACGGGTCATAATGCTATGGTCTAGGGCCTTGTCTCTGAAAACGAGGCGCGGGAACTCTATCATATGTAGGCCTTTCGTGGATATGGTCTTTTACTTCATTCTGATTATTGTCAAAGTTTCTTCGCTGGTTGTCACGTCTTCATACCTTTGTTCGATCCGAATTATGACACATTCGAGAGCTTGATGGAACGCACTCCGTGGACGTTTGACGCGATACTTGCTATTGCAAGCAAGATCAGGAGTGGCAATGGGCCGCTCAGCCCAACGTTCTACAAGTGTCTAGAAGAAGCGCAGGGCATTTCCCGTTCGTCATTATTTGGCCCGGTAGTGAGGAAGGAAGCTGTTATGGGTGAGGGTTTCGTCTTGTATGTTTTGCTACACCACGTCTGATCAGTTTCATAGGGATGCTACTTTTAGCTGCATGGAGTACGAATGGATGGCTCCCTAGTGGCCACGCAATGCGGATGGCGTTAGATCTTGGTCTTCACCGAGCATTGGAGAAGCTCGCTGATGACTCAGGGAAAAACCGCACTGAGGAAGAGGAACGTGACCTGGGTATGTATAAAAGTAACTGTCTACCTGTTGTCCAAAACTAATTACCATCTCAGTCGTGTCGGCGCGTATTTGGCTATGCCTGTACTGGTTTGATCACCAGTACGTCGAAGAATTTTGACATCTTCAATTGCGTCTAAACAGTCTTTTTTAGGATGAGTCTTGGCACTGGTCGCCCTATTGTACTGCGAGATGAAAGCTCCATTCGACACTGTCGTATTCTTTTGTCGCATCCAATGGCATCACCAACGGATGTAAGGCTGATCTCGCAAGTGGAGCTTATTGCTCAAAAAAGTAAGGAAGAATTCATGAGGGAATATTAATACTTCATTCGTTATCTGCAGCCCAAATCTACGAAACTCTCGCGCCCCTCAATGGACAGGTTAATCACAATACGCTTGCCTTTATCCGGCGTGCAAACGTTGCACTCGACAAGTGGTGGCAAGACTGCGACAATCTTCATCGTTCGTATTTGACCTTGTCCTCTCTGCTTTCCTGATCGCCTATCCAGGCCAGACGATGGACGAGAATTCTCTTCCGAGAAAAATACTCGTCGGAGAATTACATTATGCTAAACTCTGGCTCGTCTGCGTAGCTCTTCGAGGTGTATCGTGGGATAAGATGCCTTTTGAGCAACGTGAACTTGCGTTCCAGGCGAAGGATGCTGCTTTTAACTGCCTTTCTATCTTCCTCAACTCTGCTGAGTACCGGTGAGTTTCTGCTTTGATAGTGTCCCGTTGCTTCGCTTAAGTAATAATCGCGATGATCACAGTGCGGCCTTGAGATATGCAGTCCATGACAGTCTCGTAACGGCGGCATTTTCTGGCCTCTTCCTGCTCAAGATGGCAAACTTGTTTCCTGCCGAGCTTGACCTCGCCGCGATCACAGCGCAAGTCGAGCAGCTCGCACAGCTCCTCTCTGATGTTGCAGCCGAACGGTGTGTCCCCCTGCTCTTTCTCATTTTTTCCAACTTATCCTCGCTTCTAGCTATGCCCTAACGCTACGTATAATGCTTGCCAATCTCCGGCGCAAAGTTGGGATGATTGCGGGGCTGAGCGCGCCTATGACCACCATGCCCCCGCCGACCTTGAACGATGGAATTGTTGCACACGGCTCAGGGCCTTACATTGATCAATCAGGACCTGCACCTTTCACAATGGAGGAACTGGGCCTTGCATGGCCAAACGAGCGTATCACATTCAGCCCAAGCGCGATACCTATGTGGTTGCAGGAGAAGAACCTGACGGACCTGGGGCTACCTGTAAATGGGAGCGATGGAATATTCATGGATGTCAATGGCATGCATGGCTGGAGTGGAGACTTTGCACCAATGCCAGGGGCATGGTGAGGACGCGATTGTACATATGGCAGCGACGATTCCGCGCGCTGAGGGCTGGTAATATGCACCATTTTTGTCTGATATTATATTTATCCGTCGGTCTTCCTTGCTCGCTTTGCTTGTTTGTGTCCCGCTTTTACCTGTTCATGCTTTTTTTCTTACATCAGTATCGATAATGGTATCCTACGATTTAAGTTGTATCACGTGCTGAACAAACATACATTGCAAATGCGAACTATCCTACGGCGCACATACAGGGAGAGAAGATGAACGGCAGCACGGCAATACACATCTAATTGGATAGCGTATTGGCTCATACGTTATTCTTCGTCTTCGTCTTCTTCGCTTTCTTCCTGCTCCTGAAGGAACTGTCAAAGAACCAGTTCGGTGCGTGATAAGACAGAAGGGCAAATCTGTTGACAAACCTTGACCAGGCCCTCGGTGGCCTTCAGGAAATGCTGTCTTCCTTGTGGCTTAGATCCCTTTTGGTGCCAGTAGATGATCGCCTGGTCAGAGACACAGTCCTTATTGTACAAAACCTGTGCGAATTGGTAAGTTATGAATGTATTACTGCATTACCATGTTCGTATCTAAACAGACTTGGAAAAGGGGTGGGATACAAGCGATATGATATGGTGCCTGCTGCCAAATAGGTCGACATCGCAGCCGCAACGTCACATCCCGAAGGACCGGTGACAGATGAACGAAAGTAGTAAGACTCGAAACACACCTTCAAGATCTGTGGGAAGGCTTTCATGACACGTGTGTCGTCATAACAGTAGACCTGCACGATATTGATCAAAGCAACCTGGGTTTTGGGGCCTTTACAGAAGGCCACGAGAACTGGGGCGAATTTCTACGGACGGAAATGATATCAATAGAAGATTCAATGACAGGAGAATCGGATCACTCACCCCGACCTCACGTAGTGCGAGGCCTTCGATCTGGTCAGGGCGTGCACTCCAGTCTACGGAAGCCATGAGGCCCTGCCAGATGCTCTGTATGAGCTCCGTCTCAGGGAGCCGCTGCTCCTCTAGTTTACTCTGAATTGCAGATATGATCTGAGTGAATCATGAGTTTTATGACTCAAAACGGGCGATACATATGTAAAGATGACGCACTGATTCACTATCATCACTGCGTTCTACCACCTCCTTTAGTTCCTTCATGATTGCGTCTTTTGCGATCGCATATTGCTTCTTCGTGTACCAGTCGGCCACAGTAGGGAGGTTTTTTTCCCGGAAGAAAGCATCGAGAACCTTAGCATCCCTCTTATTTGGAGGAAAGAAGAGGAGTAGATCTTTGATATTGCCGCGTTTGAGAGTTGCAGCAAGGTGATCGATCGACTGGTCGGTGAGGTATGCGCTAAAGATCAGTGCAAGGATGTTGATGGACTGGTCTGCAACCGATGAGATTCTTGCAGTTTAGCATGGTGCTGAACTTACCGTTCTTGATGAGGTGGTCTTTGGTTAGACTCTGCAGACAAGCTGCGGTCACGAGGCCCTGCGAAAGGAGGAGGCCAATTGTCATGGCGAGCTTGTCGCGCTGCTCGGATGACCAACGGCCGATGTATTGCAGGAGAGTGGGGAGACTTTGCTCCTCGAAGGGTTTCTGAAGATATTTGAACCTATATTCATCATCAACACCGTATACACAATGTATTACACGAGACCACGATCGCATGCACCTTCGATTCAATTTGTTAAACACATCGACATACTTCTTCAACTCTTCGATGTCGGGCGGGTTGCGTGCGTTGAAAACAGAGAATGGCGACATGGGCGCGCCATCATCAAGATATGACCCACCTGGCTGGATGAGCCCGCCGACAAGGAGGATCTCAAACAAGGTGTCGGCATATTTGAGATACTCGAGTGTTCCACCAGCCTGTACAAGTTTAGCGCTGAATCCCTCAAAATCGTTCTCTGGGACTGTTTCAAGATGTTTGTAGAGTTGGTCTCTAAAGACTAGAGGTCGACATAAGTAGCATTATAGATTGATCGGGACTTGGTAGTCTCACCCGCTGGTTCGTGCTTTGCCTGTGCTTTGACTTGGCCTTTGCGTACTTTTGTGCGGACCCCCTGGAGTGAAGGCTTTGGGACTGCTGATTGCTGAGACATCCACAGTCTGCGAGCGATGTCGAGAGCGTGGATCAAACGATGAAATTGGGCTCAGCGGCAGTTTACCAGGATCCAACAATTGGTGCTTGTTCGGAGATACCCGACTGATTAACCTCGATGAGCATGTCTCGCGTCCTCTCGCGAGTCGCCAGTCGATTTCTTAAGCCTCAAACGCACTTATAGTATACATGTAAGAAGCACGAGATTGATGTCCAAATAAAATAGATTATTTTGATTGTGCTCTTCAAGCAGTTGTCGGCGCCAGCAACTAATAGCCAGGCCTGAGGTGTGGTGTCACACGTGTCCTATCTCAGAAGTTAGTTCTTGGGAGCGACTTTGTTCCCTGGTGAACTCAGGTTCTTCAACATGACTCCCATGGGGCGCACCCATCGAGGTCGGCGGTGGCAGTCAGCAGGTTCCGCGCGATATTATAGTCATGGCAATAATCTTGGGTACCTCATGGTCAATGATCTATTCAATGATCTACCTATCTGAGCTGTGAAGCCTGTAGTGGTACTTTGCTATCCGTGTGGACTCATGCATGCACTCTGAGCAGCACTATGATTAATCATTGTGGATTCAAGCTCACGTGAGGAGGTGGATCATCGTGGCTCAGCCGCTCAAGTGCTCATTGTTGTCCCTTAAAACCAGCAACAGCTGTACTAGTTATCCTCTCCACTTATTATCATAAAAATTTCGAGCTCGACGACGGTGAGCGACAATATTCGTTGTCATCGTTAGCATTTAACATTTATGAACGTGTCCATGCCGTAAAGGAGCTGTGACATCGCTTGCTGGTCGCCTCAACGTATGTAATCATTCCAGCTTGACACTTTGTTGACCCTACTGAGTACCTATCCTTGATAAGATCTTCCAACTAACGCGCAACACGAACTCCATGAACCTCCGTTTCACAGACTCCCCAAATGCGCGCTCAAAATCAATTACGACTGCCGATGGCATCGACACCTTTGGTGTGCGTACTCTCCATGCAATGGCACTAGTGAACGCATCGGGGAGACTCATTGTACACCTAGATCTTGAATCAGCACTCCACAGGAAACGGTGCCTACCAGGTTGGTATATCTGAGGACGTGGGTACACGACGATATATGGAAGATGCCCATTCCTTCGTCGTTGACTATGCTGGTGTGCGAGGGCAGGGATTCTTCGCTATTTTCGACGGTCATGCAGGAAAACACGCAGCCGAGTGGTGTGGCGCGCATTTTCACGAGGTTCGCATAGCCACTGTATCTTTGTGCTAATTTAAACGCGTGATCATGTGCAGTACCTCCTCGATGCCCTCCGTACTTCCTCCAGTGCCACTATCCCGGACGTTCTAAACGAGACATTCCACAACGTTGATAAGCGCATTTCTCGCCTCAGCGAAGAGTCTGATGGCAAGATCCACTCAGGATGCACAGTTGTAACTGCCTTCCTTCGCATCGAGGATGCAGATGGGCGGCAATCCTTCCTCCCCGTTTCTCCACTTTCTCCGCCATCCCCTACTGACAGCGGGAGCCGAAGTGGCAGCGAGTCTCCGACCGAACCCACGGATGAATCTAAGGAGGCAGGCAAGAAGACAAAGAGCAAGTCCCCTGCTTCGGCTTCTCGTTTCGCTCGGGCGCTAAAATCCCTGAGCGGCTCCTCGCCAACCTTACCCTCTCCCCCTTCTGCACTCACCGCCACACGTAGCCAGACATCTCCACCTTCGATGCAAACATACACGGCCCCGATCGATGCGCCACTCAACTCACGGCGCGTGCTTTATACTGCCAACGCTGGCGATGCGCGCGGGGTACTCTGCCGTGCAGGCCGGGCAGTGCGCCTCACCTATGACCACAAAGGCAGCGATAAGCAGGAGGCGAAACGTATCACTGATGCTGGTGGATTCGTTATGAGTGGGCGCGTGAACGGCGTTTTGGCAGTAACGCGCAGTCTTGGAGACAGCAGTATGAAGGAGTATGTCGTTGGGAGCCCGTACACGACTGAAACTGAGCTAGGAAGCGAGGACGAGTTCCTGATCCTCGCGTGTGATGGGGTACGTAACCTCGTTAGGTGCCTTTCCTTCAAAGCATTCATTGTCGTGCGACCCTGCAGCTTTGGGATATCACAGGCGATCAGGGGGCAATCGACCTCGTGCGGCATATTTCGGATGCGCAAGCAGCCGCAGAAACGCTCGTGAAGCATGCCCTTGAACGACAAACCAATGACAATGTAACTGTCCTCGTGGTGAGGTTTAAAGCGCTCGGATCCACAGAGTCCATGGGACTCGCTTGAGTATGTGAATGTTGATTTGCTGTTCTGCTTAGGTGGGGGGCAAGTGAGGGGTGTTATTTTTGCCATGGCCGATGTCTTGCTGTTGTTTTAGTCGGTTCTTGTAATCGCTTCATTTTGCGCACGAGCATTCCGTTTACCTTGACTGCACCCGTACTCTACTAATATCCGTTCAATGTAGATTTGATGTGTATCAGAGCTTATCAATATTCGTGAATTGCCACACAACACAACGAGATGCAAATCGCCTGGACATATGGGGTCTGCGCCATGAAGCATTGAAGTTTGTGTTGAAAACAAGAGAAGGATAGCATTATGTGAGCACATTAGCCCATTATACAACCGTACGATAGTTCACGCGTAGCCGTACATACTGTAAATACCACTGTGACGAATCGAGAGGCTCGGACTAGCAACGGGAACGGGACTTTGTATCGAGTCAAAAGACTACAGAACGATATTCGACGAGGAGAGGTATTAATACGCTGATTGAGACGGAGAATCAAAGGAGAACGTGTATGAGGCATGTGACGAAGAGTGACTGCGTATGTAAAAGAAAGGGATGAGTACGTGCGAGAGTGACGTCGATAGTCATATCATGATCTTGACACTATATGTGCGTATGGCCAAATAGTGCAGGTGATGCCTCAGGCATAGCCTAGCAGTCAGACCATGCTTCAATGCCCCGCTCCCTTACGACGTTAAAGCCACCAATAATGCTATTGACTAACTCCCACTGTTGCTTCACTGACTTGCTCCGGGCTGCCACCGAGCTCGCCGGGTACGCATTCCAACAATCAAGATCGACCTTCTTCAAGTTTGGGAAGAGGCCGCTGATGATGAGAGCCACGTCCACCGGAACTTCGATGGGTAAATTTCCGAGGGCGAGGGATTTGAGACGCTTATTGCAGCGTCCGCTGCCAGGACTCTTGAGATCTATACCTTTCAACTTGGTGAAATCGATGACAAGAGCGAGCGAAGTCGAACCGGGACAGCGCCAAAGTAAACTGGTTAGCCCATAGAATGTCGGTATTTTACCGACGGTATAGCATTTGATTTGGAGCGCTTGAAGCTTAGGCCAAGCTGTCGCCAGCTGGCACAGCTCCTCGTCGGATATGGAAAGGTCACAGACGCGTTCAATAATGAGTCGGGTTAGATTGCAGCATGTGTACAGTGGTGTGAAGACGCTCTGTCCTGTGTGCACCTGTCCCGAACGATAAACACCGTCGACGCTGATGGATTCAAGTTTGTGATTATCGAATCTCTCCTGGACAATGGCGAGGAACTGGGGTATCGTTGTGGATTCACCCGGAGACATGAAGTCGACCTTGATTTCCTTGGTTCTGACGAACTGAAGTGAACTCAAAAAGTTCGAGGCCTGCTCGATTGTATATGTGGCAAGATCCAACAAATTCAAATTATGAAAGCCGGGGAACGATGCATCCGACTTTGTGTCCCAAGCTGGCGACAATGTCAAGTCCAAGCTCAGTGACTCCAGGGCTCGCAGCTCCATAAAGTGAACCATCCCTTGGATTCCTAGGTCCTGTACTGACAACGTGTGGAGATGGTGGAGCTGAGAAATAGGTCATATGATGAAGGGCGAAAGTTCGTGCGATAAGGTGTTGGTTGCAGGCGTAATGTTCAAAGTCATGTTCTGGAGGTAAGGACACAATGTCCCGAGAGAGGAGAGGACTGAGAGAAAGGCGGAGGAAGCTGAAAAAATTTGCATGTTCAACTCCACTAGGGAAGGTACAAACGCCATGCGCAAGAGCTCTGCAGCATGGTGAGTTCCATTGGCACGCCATTTTAATTTGCGAGGGTTCGGAAACAACGACGCAGGAGACGAAGAACAAGACAGCATGAGTATGAAATAGAGGGACTCGATAACTGCTGTATCTCTTGAATGTGGTACAGTGACTGAGTGCATGCGGAACGTGTGTAAGAGTATGCCACATCCCATCTTCAAGAGGCTCCCGTAACACCTGCGTGGCCTAAGTGAAGTCAGTCTACAACCATATGAAAGTCGGACACCCGGTACCACTGGGCCTTTATCAATACCAAACAGGTTACTTGGTAAACACTTGACAAGTGGCCCCACAGACCGCAGATCCTTCCATAGGGCATTAAGTGCTGAGTGCTCGAACTTGCGGCATGTGGACGCAAGTGCAGGAAGCAATCTGTGTTGAGTGAATGAGCTAATGGTGTATATTATTTCGAGGTTTGTCAACGCCAAGTGCATGACCGACGGAAGGCAATATTAATGACGAGTTCAAGCTTTGGGTTGTCCCATCTAATATTTGAGAACTGAAAAAAATAGTAGAAAAGGTTCGGAGTGACTGTCGAAAGAACAAAGCGATTTGGTGTACTGTAGCAGCGCTCAGGGGCCGTTTCCAGAACACTACTTGTGGGGTTCATGTGAAGCCGTCGCGTCGATGGAGACACTAACAGACAAGCAGTAACGTGCCAGAAGAGCGTGTGATTGATGATACGGTAAGAAGCTAAGATACGAGTATGTATATGTCGAGGTATATACACAAGTCAATGTCTGGTCCAAACACTGGACAAATAGTACGCGGTGTCCAATGGGGAGCCTTGGGCGCGTCTGCCACGTGTAGTAAGCCTGGCTTACAGTTCATTTTCATAGTCTGTTCTGTATTACCCATGTTTGACATGTTGATGAATCAAGAAATACTACTGAGGTAGTACATCTATACTACACTGCATCGTAGCGATGGTGAGCCGGGCCAGGTGCGGCTTAAACAACATATTTAGTACTTTTGTTAATTCCGCACTCCTGTGATAGGCCATTCCAACCGCCACAATGGACCAGGGATGTTGTAGTTATAATGAGAGGCAGCTTGGATGTATAACATGACATAGGACATACCTAAAAAAATCCAAGTGTTTCGGAGCTATGAGATCACATGGACAGTGTTACAGTCCTATTATTTTCCTTTCACCCCTTCACTTATTCACGATTACTAATCATTCTTAGACATTCTATAACATTCTATTGTATGATTCTCTTTTCATTTTCTGATTTGATATTTACTTTCAATCTCTGATTCATTTATTGAAGCTCTGCTTCAATCCCTTTATATATACTCTATCTCTTACGCTTGTATTCTTTAACTTGACCTATGCAGACCAGGGCCTGCAATATACTGCTTAACTCGCATGACTCGTACATAGGTGTATGCTAAGATCATTTGTTTTTGTCAAGTTGTTCTCACAAATGCCGAGCATAACAAAAGGTCAAGTTACGGTGGCTCAAAAAACTGTCTGCATGTTTTGACATTTTTCACTATCTATGATATTGTGTGAGAAGGAACAAATGCCTCAAGGACATGCTTATAGCACATTGTAGTATGGCTTCAGGGCTTTCATTTGAGCCCTACACCGTGGGAATCAGTGGAGATATGGTGGAGATACAAGGCTTACAAAATCATGACTCATGCAGACAGTTTTTTGAGCACATATTAAAACTATATAAATCATCATTTATGACACCATAACAATCATGCCACCATTAAATAAATTATAAAGTGGTGTCATTATGTCATTTTAAAACCATATCTAACTATACAAACCAAAAATTTCCATATGTCATGGTTATATTCACCATGAAAGCCACCCCCCTGCTCAAAGGGATAATATCCTCTCTCTTTCCTATTCTGGCCTCTCTGCTTGTCAAATTTCCTCTAGAACTGGAGTATCCAAGTCCACTGTGGCCAAGGTCATCAAAGAAAGTCACACAGACAAGGAAAACTTCTGTGAAGGGTGTCCATCCAAGCTCACCTCTACTGATAGGAGGGCTATTATTCAACATATCACTACAGGAAAGGCTGATAATGCTGTCCAGGTCACCTATTACATCAATTCCACCATCACATTCCCTGTCTCTTCACACACTGTGAGAAACATTCTCAAGACAGCTCATCTCAGGTCAGTAACAAGGAAGAAAAGGCTCTCCTCTCTATCACACATATGCAGCGAGGACTAGCACCCTTCTTTTTTCACATATATACCTTGCCATCTGACCCAATCCTATTTATTGTGGTCTTATATGATCATATAACATGCTTCCAGTCCATGTAATCCAATTCTGATGGGCTAAGGCAAAGGTTAGTCATCTCTGTTTATGTGTGATAGAGAGGAGAGCCTTTTCTTCCTTGTTACTGACCTGAGATGAGCTGTCTTGAGAATGTTTCTCACAGTGTGTGAAGAGACAGGGAATGTGATGGTGGAATTGATGTAATAGGTGACCTGGACAGCATTATCAGCCTTTCCTGTAGTGATATGTTGAATAATAGCCCTCCTATCAGTAGAGGTGAGCTTGGATGGACACCCTTCACAGAAGTTTTCCTTGTCTGTGTGACTTTCTTTGATGACCTTGGCCACAGTGGACTTGGATACTCCAGTTCTAGAGGAAATTTGACAAGCAGAGAGGCCAGAATAGGAAAGAGAGAGGATATTATCCCTTTGAGCAGGGGGGTGGCTTTCATGGTGAATATAACCATGACATATGGAAATTTTTGGTTTGTATAGTTAGATATGGTTTTAAAATGACATAATGACACCACTTTATAATTTATTTAATGGTGGCATGATTGTTATGGTGTCATAAATGATGATTTATATAGTTTTAATATGTGCTCAAAAAACTGTCTGCATGAGTCATGATTTTGTAAGCCTTGTATCTCCACCATATCTCCACCGATTCCCACGGTGTAGGGCTCAAATGAAAGCCCTGAAGCCATACTACAATGTGCTATAAGCATGTCCTTGAGGCATTTGTTCCTTCTCACACAATATCATAGATAGTGAAAAATGTCAAAACATGCAGACAGTTTTTTGAGCCACTGTACTTCTCTACCCTGTGGTTCCCTCGAACTTGTGACCAGAACAGGACACCACTGACTTTTCCACATTTTACTCTTTACCTTGAAATTCAAGGGTAGACAGAATTTGTGTGAAACCAGAAGCTAGACGCCATAGGCACCCGATATTTGACCACTGAAATGACTGAAGAAATTGGCAGAATCCCCTCACCCTTCAATGGTGATACCTGCCTTGCTCAGGGATGGACACTTCAAGTTGAGGCGTACCTAGACATGAACGACGAACTATATGACAGCAACAAGAAGAAAGTTATCTTCGCTCTCAGCCTTATGACTAAAGGTGAGGCTGCTAAATGGGCCAAAGGCCAACTCAAGACTGCATTTGCAGTAAAGACTTATGGAACATGGGAGGACTTCGCTAGACAATTCAAGTCAATCTTCTTTCCCAAGAACGTCGAACAGATCACGATCCAATGCATCTCTTCCCTTCGACAGACTGGAAGTGTAACTGCATATGCATCCCTATTCCAAACCATCCTAGCCGATACTGGCATCCACAAGGAGAACACCAAGATCATGTTCTTCAGGAATGGGCTCAAGCATGAGATAGTCTCCACTATATACGCCTTCGACACAACTCCCACCACCATCGAATCCTGGCTAGAGAAAGCCTTAGACATTGAGGTCCAAAGGACTTTAATAGCACCTCCAGAAGAAGAAGACAATGACAAGAGGACAAGAAAGACATACTTAACTCCTCAAGAACGGGAGCGCAGGCGCAAGGGTGGCCTCTGCTTCTTATGCGGCAAGAAGGGCTTAGCTGCAGACTGCCCTAACCATCCTACGGTTACGACCAATGTAAGAAAGGTAATCAAGGAGTCACCTGATGACGATTACAAAGAATTTCAAGAATGGAAGGCGTTTAAAGCATGCCAGACGAAGAAAACTGGTAAGAAGCCGGTTAAGGAAGAAGAAAGCAATGAAGAGGATTTTGCTTAGGGGAGCCTGCCACAGTGTCAGAAACTCCCAGAATCGGACTAGTTGTACAATCTGTTGGCGATACTAACTCTATCTGGTTACCATTAACCATCAGATCAAAGAAATCTGATAAAACCACCGTAGCTGCCACTCTAATTGATTGCGGCACAGAAGGTGAATTCATTGATGAGAAATTCATACTCAAAGAGAACATTCGCACGCACAAACTGGAAACTCCGATACCAGTATGAAACATAGACGGCACATTAAACAAAGCTGGTAGAATAACATGGTACTGTGAACTTTCATTTCTGATCAAAGATATCCCTATGAGGAAGCGATTCTTTGTAACCTCTCTAGGAGGAGAAGACGCTATCCTGGGAATGACTTGGCTAAAGAAGGAAAACCCAGATATTGATTGGACTAGTCAAGAAGTCCACTTAAGGGAGCATACCCTGAAAAAAGCAATGATTGAAGAAATCGAAGATGATGAAGATGTCTTTTATGACACACTAGAAGAATTAGAACCAGAGTGGGACCCTGCTAACGAAACTCTTCCACACCTTCTAGATCCCATCAACGACGATGACGATTTTTACACTTATATCCAGAAAACTGACAATATCTCCCAGACACTCGCCCAGGACGCTGCCAAACCAAAGAAAACCTTCAAAGAACTCGTACCCGAAGAGTTCCGTCAATACAAGGATGTATTTGGTGATGTAGCTAATGGTACCCTTCCTCCAGAACGAAAATACAACCACAAGATTGATCTCAAGGAATCCTTCGAACCACGGAAATGCAAGATCTATCCACTTAACGCCAAAGAAGATAAGGCCATGAACGATTTCATAGACAAACATCTCGCCAAAGGGACAATTGTTCCTTCCGAATCCCCTCAATCTTCTCCATTCTTCTTTGTCGGGAAGAAAGACAGTTCCCTCTGACCCTGCCAAGATTACCGCTACTTGAACAAACACATGGTTAAGAATAACTACCCTTTACTGCTAATCTCCGATCTTATAGATAAGCTAAAGGACACCAAGATCTTTACCAAAATGGACATTCAATGGGGATACAATAACATACATATGAGAAAAACAGATCAATGGAAGGCAGCTTTCGCCACTTCCAGAGGACTTTTTGAACCCATGGTCATGTTCTTCGGAATGTGTAACTCACCCGCTACCTTTCAATCCATGATGAACGACCTGTTCAGAGATATGATCCAGGAGGGGTGGATTATCATTTATATGGACAACATACTAATCTTTTCAAAAGACGACAAAACTCACCGAATCCACACTCACAAAGTACTTCAACGACTCCATGACAACCTCCTCCATCTCAAACCCAAAAAATGCACTTTCAACATAACCGACATCGAATACCTCGGCATGATCATTAAACCCGGTTCTATTGCCATGGACCCTGCCAAATTAAAGGGTATATCCAAATGGAAGACTCCCACGAAAGTGAAGGAAGTCTGATCATTCCTCGGATTCACTAACTTTTACCGACGGTTTATTGCTGACTATTCATCGATTGCTAGACCCTTAATAGACCTAACCAAGAAAGACGAAGAATTCTCTTGGACATTCGAGCGTGAGGAAGCTTTCAATAAGCTGAAGCGTATTTTCACCTCATCTCTGATCCTCCAGATACCCGACAAAGACTCTCCTTTTGCAATCACTACTGACGCCTCATTATATGCCACTGGCGCAGTACTACTTCAGAAAAATGACAATGGAGACTGGCTCCTGTGTTCCTTCTTATCCCAATCCTTTAATCCGGCCGAATGAAACTATCAGATCTATGATTGAGAGTTACTTGCTATTGTCCGTGCTTTGAAAGCATGGAGACATTACCTCCTTGGATCCCCCTTCCCTGTAACCATACAAACTGACCATAAAAACCTTACATATTTTAGGGATGTACAAGACCTTAACCGCTGTCAAGCAAGATGGCAGACATTCCTTTCTCAATTTGAACTCCAGATTCAACACGTACCTGGAAAAGAACTAATTATACCAGATCTCCTATCCCGTAGAACGGATCACCTTCCAGACGATAGTGTCAAAAAGGACAACATTAGCATACAACTTCTCCCTGACTCAATGTTTATCAACATCATTGACACTTCTTTTATGGACAGATTACATATTTCATCCTCTATAGACCCGGTAGTACACACAGCACTTCAAGTGCTCACAGACTCCTCCATACCCCCTCCTCTCCATTCCACTCTTTCCGATTGGAAATTGAACAACAGAATTCTCTCATTTAAAGGACTTACTTACGTACCCCCTGGAGATCTCTGGCGAGAACTCACTTCCCTCCACCACAACTCCCCCACTGCCGGACATCCTGGACATTTTAAAACACAAGAACTCTTATCTTGCGACTACTGGTGGCCTGGTTTAGCCACATTTGTCAAGAATTTTGTAGATGGCTGTTGCATCTGCCAACAGAATAAAGTAAACATGCACCTGTCTACCCCTCCACTATTCCCTATCCCCGCACCTATATCTAACTGACCGTTCACTCATTGCTTGGTAGACATTATTACGGACTTACCCTTATCCGATGGCTTTGATAGCATCATGGTTGTGGTCGACCACAGACTTTCGAAGGGGGTAATCTTCACCCCTTGTCTTAAAACTATTGACGCTGAAGGTGTCGCGAACATTTTCTTCTCTAAAGTTTTCTCTAGATACAGACTTTATGATAAAATTATCTCTGACCACGGACCTCAGTTCGCTTCCCGATTCCAGGTCGAACTTGGAAAACTCCTCGGATACAAGAATTCCCTCTCCACCGCCTTCCATCCTCAGAGTGATGGAGAAACTGAACGAGTTAACCAAGAACTCGAAGTCTATCTCCGGATCTTCTGCACTAATGACCAAACCGGTTGGGCACCCATGTTGCCATTAGCCAAATTCATTCATAATTTGTGCCACCATTCAGCATGTGGAACTTCTCCCTTTTACCTCATGATGGGTTATCACCCACATCACCTCCCCGATTCCCATCTGAAATCCGACATCCCTAATATTGAACAAAGACTCTCATTACTTAATAAAGCATGCGATGAAGCACTAGCCGCTCATGAACTCACACAAAACACCATGCATCAACGAATCACGTCTAAATTCATACCATTCACTAAAGGCAATAAAGTATGGCTCGAAGCCAAGAACCTTCATCTCAGATACCCAAATTGGAAACTCGCTCCTAAACGCGAAGGACCATTCACCATAACCAATGTATTATCTCCCATAACTTATCAACTTGCACTCCCCGTGCAATGGCGCATTCACCCAGTATTTCACACCACTCTCCTTTCTCCTTATAAAGAGAACGATATTCACGGCCCTAATCATATTCCGCCTCCACCTGACTTGGTTGATGGTGAAGAAGAACATGAAGTTGAAGCGGTCGTCGGACACTGCAGATCTTCATCTCGACGACAATATTATGTAAAATGGAAGGGATTCCCGAGTTCCGAGAACAAATGGATGAAAGAAGCCAAACTAGGTAATGCTTCTGACCTTCTTACTAATTATAAACGATCGCATCATCTTCTTTGATAGTAGTCGGTGCCTACTACCCTTACAACGGGGGTAATGTTACAGTCCTATTATTTTCCTTTCACCCCTTCACTTATTCACGATTACTGATCATTCTTAGACATTCTATAACATTCTATCGTACAATTCTCTTTTCATTTTCTGATTCGATATTTACTTTTAATCTCTGATTCATTTATTGAAGCTCCACTTCAATCCCTTTATATATACTCTATCTCTTATGCTTGTATTCTTTAACTTGACCTATGCAGACCAGGGCCTGCAATATACTGCTTAACTCGCACGACTCATACATAGGTGTATGCTAAGATCATTTGTTTTGGTCAAGTCGTTCTCACAAATGCCAAGCGTAACAGACAGAGGCAAACCAAACATTAGGTCAGTCCTAGACATGCTAGGTACTGTATATATGGTCAAAAGTGGTGATTCTTCGAGCATAGCCTATAAACAGTCAGACCATGTTTCGATACTCCGCTCCCTTGCAATGCTGAAGCCACTAAGCATCATATTGACTGTCGCCCATTGCCCCCATGTCCAACTTCCTCTGAGCCGTCGTATTCATTGGGGGTTTCTCCCAACAAGCAAGATCGACCCGCTTCAAGTAGGGGGAGAGGCCGCTAATGATGAGAGCCGCGTCCACCGGGTGTTTGATGCGTGAATTTCCCAGAGAGAAAAACTTGAGACGCTTATTGCAGCGTCCGCCCCCGGGGCACTTGAGATCTATGCCGTCCGACTTGGTGGTATCTATGACAAGAGCGAGCAAAGTCAAAGCGGGACAGGACCAAAGCAAACTAATTAGTCCATGAAATGTTGGTACTCTGATAGTGCTGTCGAAGATGACACAGCTGCCGATTTTGAGGGTCTGGAGCTTAGGCCGGGCTCTCGCCAGCCGGCACAGTGCCTTGTCAGACATCGAAATGTTACCGGTCCCTTCTATAAGCAGGTGAGTTAGATTGGGAAATGCGTACAATGGCGTGAAGGCGCCAGATTCTATGCGTATATCCCTCGAATACTCCATGCTGAGAGAGAAGTATTCAAGTTTGTCGTGACCGTATCTCTCCTTGAGGATGGCGAGGAATTTGGATATCACCGTGGATGCATGTATCTGGGACATGACGTCGACCTTGACTTGTTTGCTTTTGAGGACTTCAAGAGAGCTGAAAACATTCGAGGCATGCTCAATTGTCTGGGTAGAGAGGCTGAACCATTTCAAACCATCGAAGCCAGGGAACTGAAAACGTGGATTTTCGTCCCAAGCTGATGATGACTTCAAATCTAAGCTCAGTGACCGCATAGCTTGTAGCTTCATGACATGCTCCGTGATCTCGCTTCCTACATCCCATATCGACAATGTGTGAAGATAACGGAGCTGAGAAATAGGCCATGCGATGAAGGGTGAAATTTGATGCAACAACTTGAGGTCATCGCTTTGATGTCGAATGCGCATGGTCACGTTTTGGAGGTAAGGACACAAGGTCCCGAGAGATGAAAGGACAGAGAGGAAGGTAGAGTCGGAGGCTGAAGAAATCTCCAAGTGTAAGACCAGCATGGACGGTACCAGAGCCATGCGCGAAAACGGTGCAAAGATGTGTGTTCCATCAGCATGCCATGTCAATTTACGAAGATTCGGAAACCAAGACGCAGGTGTCGAAGAACTGGACAACATTAGCATACTGAGGGGCTCAATAACCTCCGAGGGGATGCCTTCTTGTGTTACAGTGATCGAGTGCACGCGGGACGAGTATTCGAAAAGAGTGTCCCACAGCTTGCTGTCAATAGGTTTTTGTAATACCTGCGCAAATGAACTTAGTCTGGCCCATGATCATATTGAACTAGGAGACTGACCACGCGATCCTGGTCAATGCTGAACAGGTCACTTGGTAAACATCTGACGAATGGCTCCACATGTGGATGCAAGTGCAGGAAGCGATCTGCGATGAGTGTACGAGCTGATGGTGTATATTACTTCGAGGTTTGTCAATGCCGGGTGCATGACCAACGGCAGTGACAGATTCAAATTGGACTGTTCTGTCATACTCAAGAGATCATCAGAAAAGTTTGGCGTAGATTGGGTGCAGGGGTGATCATGACTGTCGAAAGAAGGAAGCAATTGGTCACCTGATCCTGCATATGCTAGGCTTGGCCCGCTGCACCATGGACTTTCCAAGTTCATATATACATTGGAAACAAGAGAAAGAGAACTTGACAATTAGTATGCGAGCCCGGTATACAACGAAACATATGCTGGGTCAAGTCGCACATACTATAAGTACTGTAAATTTCAAGCGCAGTTATGTAGACGGTCATGCTTCAATGCCCCGCTCCCTCACAACGCTGAAACCACTAAGAAAGCTGTTCACTAACACCCATTGCTCCATCATTGGCTCTTTCTGATATGACGAAGACATCAGTTTCATCATATCCCACCAAGCAAGATCGACCTGGCCAAGGAGGGGGAAGAGGCCGCTGAGGATGAGAGCTACATTCAGCGGGGACTTAATGTGTGAGTTTCCGAGGGCAAGGAATTTGAGGTGCTTGTTGCAAAGACCACCACCGGGGCGTTTGAGGTCTATACCGTCCATCTTGGTGGTATCGATGACAAGAGAGAGCGAAGTCAGAACAGGACAGAGCCGAAGCAGCTTTATAAGTCCGTGGAAGGTGGGTACTGTGGTGGCATTGAATGCGACATAGCTGCTGAATTTGAGGACTTGGAGCTTAGGCCAGGCTCTCACCAGCTGGCACAAATCCTCGTCAGACATGGAAATATTGCAGACCTCATCAATAAGCAGGTGAGTTAAATTTGGAAATGCATGCAATGGCGTGAAGATGCCCGATTCTGCGCGGCCGCTCCCCGAACACCCGACGAGAGACAAGTATTGAAGTTCGACGATGTCGCATCTCTCCCGGAGGATGGTGAAGAATTGGAATAGCATCGTGGATGCACTTGCAGAGGATTTTGCAACCTGGGACGTAAAGCTGACCCTGACTTGGCTGCTTCCGACGACTTGAAGGGAACTGAAGAAGTTCGAGGCGTGTTCAATTGTACGTGTAGAAAGGCCCAGCCATTTCAAACCATGGAAACCGGGCAATTGCCAACACAGGTTTCTGTCCCAAGCCAACGACGCCCTCAAGTTCAAGTCCAGTGATTGCAGAGCTCGGAGCTTCATAACGTGCTTGATGCCTTGACTTCCTAGATCCCATACCGACAACGTGTGAAGATGGTGGAGCTGAGCAATAGGTTGTGTGATGAATGGTGAAATTTGATGCGACAAGTCGTTGGTTTCACATCGAATGCGCATGGTCATGTTCTGGAGGTGAGGGCACAAGGTCCCGAGAGACGAAAGGACCGAGAGAAAGGCGGTTGAAGCTGAAAAAATCTCCACATGTAAGACCAACATGGACGGTACGAGAGCCATGCGCAAAAACTGTGCAAAGATGTATGTCCCTTCTGCATGCCATGTTAATTTGGAAAGGTTCGGAAACAAATGCGCAGATGTCGAAGGACAAGACAACATCAGCACACTGAGGGGCTCGACAACTGTCGAGCAACGTTTTTGTGTCACAGTGATCGAGTGCACGCGGGACATGTATTTGAAAAGGGTATCCCACATCTTGCCATCAACAGGTCTCTGTAATACCTGTGCAAGTAAATTTGGTCTGGCCCACAATAATCATATTAGAACTACGGTACCCACCACACGTCCCTGATCAATGCTAAACAGGTCACTTGGCAAACATTTGACAAGTGGCTCCACGGACTGCAGATCCCTCCACAAGGCATTGAGTGCTGGGTGCTCAAATTCACGGCATGTGGACGCAAGTGCAGGAAGCGATCTGCGTTGAGTGAATGAGCTAATGGTGTGTATTATTTCGAGGTTTGTCAACGCTGAGTGCATGACCGACGGACGGTAATATTAATGATGAGTTCAAGCTTTGGATTGTCCCAAGAACTGACAAAAATAGTTTCGGAGTGACTGTCGAAAGAACAACAGTGGCAGCGCTCACATGTTAACATTGAATGATATCACCAAGCATAAGTCAGTAAAAACAGCTGGTATCTTCAAGAAAACCGGGTAAATTGCCACGATCCACTCCCCGCATGATCATTCTCCACCATGACTCCGATTGCACTAGCCCGAAATTTCGTGCTATCATGCACAACAAGGCACAGGCACGTCCTCCCATGACTTTCAACTGGCAATCTATGCAGTCCGCGCCTGTCCTGTTCCACTGTGGGTAGGTACCACTGTTGTTCCACCCTGGGAGCGCATCACGACCAACTGCGCATTTTTCCAAACCTTTGCTGCCATGGATGCATAAGCCGTGAACCCGTATCCTCTCGTATATGGCTTTTCTCCCACCAAATCATCCTCTGAGTCCTCCAATTTGAACGTGCCGTCGATGTATCCAGTCGCCAGGTTGAGCAATGCCTGAGCCAGCCCAGATCCTCCCACGGCTCTATCGATGTCGCACGCCAATCCAACGTGCAGGCCAAATAATAAGTTCCATATGTCTTCGGGGCTGTATGACAGCTTTTGGAACACGTTGATAATTCCCTTGATGTCTTCCGGTTGTGATTGCCATCTTATAACGCCAGTCGACCGATGCGGAATGCGAACACCAACGGCCCCTCTACGGACAACTGACATCTGAGGAACTTCTACGGAACGCCATTCCGTGATAGCACTGGCAGGGGTTGCTAACACAGTTGCAGGTACGGGCACCATAGACATTCCTTCACATGTGGTGTCTCTGTCGACTAAGTGGCTCCATCTCAGCCAGGAAAAGTCCCCTTTCAAGCTGGCTTTGTCCACAAGGTCAGCGAACACTTTCTCCACTGGAAGCCGATAGTCAGGCATGATTGTCTCTAGATGACATACACCAAGCAGAGAGTACGCCATGTCATGAGTGACGGTAGATTGGCGCCTCCACACGCTCGACATAGCTGTCCCGAGCGGCATGTATACCTTCATCGCGTCCGACATGGAATGAACCGAGTCCCAAAAACTGGATAATTGCCCCAGTAAGTTGTCTTTCTTCTGTGTCGCTGCCCGTCGACTAATTGGGTGAGAGATTTTGAGGACGTCGGAAATGGGTATAGTTTCCTCTTTCTCTCCCACCAAAAACGTTGCGCGGTTAAGAACTGCCTCTTGGAACGTCCAGACACGCGTCCACCACCTGCTGCTGAATAGCTTGTGCAGCGCCTTATTTGAGCCTTGGGAAGCAAACATGTACATCCCGTGCGTGTCTCCAGCGTGTTCAAGTGCACGGAACCCATCTAAATCTATCATTCCGGTTCCGTGCTCCACGACTCTGCTTGTCGTTTGGTCTATCTCCGGTACAAGGCATAACACTGCTGTGGCCCCACGGTATATATCTGCCATCTTTGCAAGCTCAACCATCTTTACTGGTTCGTTGTCCTGGTCAATGCAGATTGCATCGATCCACAGAGCATATGAGGCGTGTTTCGAGAGTCGGTCGGCGATGTGTAATGCTTGCTCTGTGACCCGCCTGCCTTCCCATTCTTTGAAAGAAGGACGGGTGTCCCACACGTAACTAATTGCGATGTAAGGTTCAGCAGAAGATGCAGAGTCAACCAGCTTTCCATCCCGGATGCAGTTCCGGGGTCGCGCATAGGTCGTAGTGGCCTTGACGTTGCTCCTAGGATTGTCTTCGACTTTGGTTAGCTTCACCACAGGTTTGTACCATACTCAGCGTTTTTGATAATCCGATGCCATGTCAAGTATGTTGTCTTTCGTTCTGTCACGTTCTTGTGGTCTCTCAAGTACGCTCTGCACCTAGGGATGGCGGCATTATGCTCTATCATCATTCCGCATTGATGGTGCTCGTTTTCGCACTTCCAAATGTTCATTTGAGAGGTTCTGGGGCAGGTTGGCCCATCTGCATGCATTTGATCAAATATTATCGAATCAAGCGCCAGCGGAGTCACAATGGTACGCAAACAACCGATGATCCCTTTCACCACCTTGCCTCAAGGCAGGATAGATTGGATTTGAGAACCAGCCCAGTAAGTACTTAAAACAATAACAAATTGTCTTCGATGAATGCGAAACAGTTTGTAGCAGCAAGTATTCGGGGTCCTACAGAGGATCTGAAGACGAAGTTGCCACATTTGTGTCAAAACTGAGCGCGACTGTTAGGGAAATGTGTGCGACTGTCAAGCTTTCCATACCTACTTACAGCTCGCCTACAACTTTCAATTTGTCTCAACAACAGTCATTTTCGCAGTTACCCTGCGCCTGTCTCTTCCAAAGGATTTCGAGATATCATGCGTCGAACGTCTTGGCATCGTCTTCCATGGTGAAGCTGAATCAAGCTAAGATGTTTTGTTTGTATTTGTCCAGAATATCGGCCCGTACACTGTCAACCTCTCGAGTACCAAATTCCCCTCTCATATCCAATTTTTGTGATTGGACATCCTAGACCTCAAGGTACTTCCCCATATCTGACTTGACCGCGAGCTTCTTGGAATCTGTTGAGAATCGGACTGCGCCTACATTATCAATGCCCTCGAAGGGACCGGCTATGAGTACTGAGTTTTCCGGTGTACAAGTTCCATATCTGCACTGTAAAATCGCGTGCACCACTCAACAGCAGCGTGTTGTCCATGAAGATATCAATGCAGGTGATCCTTTGTGAGCTTGAAGTTTTTTCACAATCCCTGTCTCGAGCTCACAGGCTTTCAGCTCCACATGGTCATGATCCCCACCACCAGTGACAACCCATTGACCATCCCTTGATACCACTACTACCCATACCTCCTTCTCGCAAACATACCTCGCTTCCTCAACCTTCTTGCCCGCCTTCAGATCCCATTGCCGAACGGTCTTATCATAAGATCCACTGATCATTCGTTGGCTGTCCGGAAAACAGGATATAGATTGAGTATATCTTCCGTGACCCTTCAAAATCATTGGTGGTGTCAGAATCGATTTCGTAGCGGCTGCCTTTATGGATGAGGAAGCCATGGCTGTCTCCGCCAGTGAAACTGTGATGTAGTCAAGTATGGGAAAGGTATTCGTTGGATACGTTCAGCGGTGTGAAGGTGAGATCTCCTGGTATTAGTGTGCTGTATGACTGAGTTGGCAGCGATTCGAAGATGGGCCCCCTAGTAAAGCCACACGTCAGTTCATCCGCGCTGGAAGTCCAGATGAAAATTTGGTGCTACTCAGAGGTTAGCAGCGAAGAACTCGAACAATGAATTCTTAAATGTGAGAACTGTTGACCTTGGGCACCGTCTTGCATATGCCTCAATCTGTGTATTACACCCTGAATCCGTCCATTTGTCACATGTGTGCTTCTCTTCGCTTCTCGGATGGCCAAGGCAGTGTCATTGCTAGAGCGACGACCAGTATCATGATGGTCGTTCTTCTGAGGGAGTACATCACTGACGGTTCAACGTTAACTTGGGAGCCCAGAGACACTCGTCGAGTTTTGATTTCACTTCTTGATATTCGGTCCGTGTTCTAGCTTGCATCAATATTAGAGCAGGAAACTGAGAATGGCGTATTGTTTCCAACTTGAACAAGAGATGACTCTGTTGAAGTTCAGGTGCGTCAGCACTAAGAATGTAGTGGAGAAGTTATCAACGAAAAGGGGTTTGGCCCTTCAGTGCGTATGGTAGGAATACGAGGAGGTGCCAAGGAGAATCAAGGCCTGATGTTCGCGAGTGCTTTCATACCTATCAAATCAAAAACTCAACACTACATTAGGGCGAAATAAAGGTTACAAATGCAAACATTCAACTCAAACACCAATTCATCCGTCCCAGGTACCCTGCAGAACATTGTAAGTGCTCGGTTTGGGAGGTATTGGCATCTGAATATAATAATAAACACTCACTTTAGCAGTTGGATGTAGTCATGCACAAGGTCTCAGGCCGAAACGGTGTCAGCTATCGTCATCGGCAACTTGTCGAAGAGAAGGTCAAGATTGTCCTGTCCAACAATTCGGCTATTTGACGCCTCCCCACGGAAATCCTCGCCCAGATCTTCCTTTATTGCATACCAGAAGATGGAAAATGCACGCCCGCACCATATCTGGCCCCCATGCTGTTGACCACAGTATGTCGACGACGAAGGGAGGTTGCTCTGGACATGCCAAGTCGATGGCGCAGACTGCGATTGGAAGTCGGTCACGGTGACTAGCAGCAGAGAGCTTTCTGCTACGACTCCTACCTCAAGCGATCACAAGGATGTGAACTCTCATTGATGCTTGAGGGCCATGACATTGACTGGACAGAGCTGCAAAGCCTGCTCCAGCCATACATTGATTAAATTTTGTCTCTATCTGTTGGATTTTTCTCCAATTGCGGCTCTTTGGTGCTGACGTCGACGGACTTCCGCGGACTCAAGGAGCTGGTTATATACAATGGCGCCAGGTTTCAATCTTGTACCAGCTGTCGTTCGCTCTATTGCGCAATTGCCGTTTAGTACGCGCAGTCTCAAGTTAATGGACCTGTGGCCTGACTTCGAGTTGTTATCTGACTTCAATCCTTTCGCATGGCCCAGTCTCACAAATCTTGAGATTGCGGTAGATGAACTAGACTGCATCCCCTATTTGCTCTGTGTATGCCCCAACCTCTTGTCTTTGACGGTGGTTGGACTATTCGCGGTTGAGACCAAGGAAGTCTTCTTCGATGCCATCATACTCCCCAGGCTACGTGCGCTCGAAGTTCGCAATTCAGGACAATGGCCTCATGAAGACTTCAAGACGTTTTTGACACGGTCACAGTGTCCCCTGGAGAGCTTGACCTTCGGCGATTGAGTGCTGATAACAGAACAGCAGCGAGCAGAATATGTTACCCTTTTTCCTTCTCTCGAATTAGTAGCAGACCCTATGCGTTCAGCGTTTTACTTTTAACTTGGACAGACAATTGTTACTACGCACATATTTCACGAAATTACAGGCATATCTGCGGACGTAGAGGGCATACTGCCCTTCTCTCTCCAAAACATACTGTCATATGGCAACAAAAGGGGTATTTTTCCTTTCAATCTACACATGTCCTCTCTCACAGTACTTTGGCCTGGGACGCAATGAACTGTCGTGCTTGACATACTCTAGATCTTACGGTAGCCGTTGATCAGGTAGTTGGTCAATGGTGCCACATCGTTCAACGTTCATTGGACGAAATCCTTCCGTTTGGTCTGTTTCACCACCAGGAGACTCCCAGCCATTTTGACCAGCATGGAGTTCACGGACGCGAACTTGTGACCTTGCATCAAAAAAAAAGCGACCTTCGAAGCATAACCGTTCAATTTCACGTTGGACTGTCATTAATCCAGCGTCTAAACACGATATTCACAAGCTGCAAGAGACTGAACGAAAAACATAAAGCTGCCGTACCGGGGAGCTGATCGATATTCGTGAATTACCAACTATCCCAAGTACTGTATACATCAAAAAGTGTAAGCAATGATTCAACATAAACTAGAGATCGAAACAAACGCATGCTTCAATGCGCTGCTCCCTGACAAGGCGGAAGCCACTAAGAAAGTCATTAACTAATGTCCATCTATCCGAAGTCGGACCACCAGGATCGACCTTCTCAAGGCTCGGGAAGAGGCCGCTGAGGATGACAGCCACTTTTATCGGGGACCTCACGGGTGATGCTCCGAGGGCGAGTAATTTGAGATGCTTGTTGCAAAGCCCGCCGCCGGGGCACTTAAGATCTATGCCGTCCAACTTCGTGGCATCGATAACAAGGGAGAGGGAAGTCAGCGCAGGGCAAAGCGGAAGCAACCGTATTAGCCCGTGGAATGTGGGTAATGTAGTGGTATTACAGTTGCTCAATTTGAGGACTTGGAGCTTAGGCCAGGTTTTCACAAACTGGCATAGCTCCTCGTCAGACATCGAAATATTGTAACCCTCCTCGATGACCAGCTGTGTTAAATTGCGAAATGCATGCAATGATGTGAAGATGCCCGATTCTGTGGGCATCTTCTTCCGCGAATGAATGAGAGAGAAAGATTCGAGTTTGTCGTTATCACATTTCTCTTGAAGGATGGTGAGGAACCGGGAGAGCATCGCAGACCCACTGGCTGAGGACCCTGCAAGCTGGGGCGTGAAGTCGAAGCTGATCCCCCTGCTTCTGACAATTTGAAGTGACCTAAAGAAGTTCGAGGCGTGCTCAATAGTACGAGTAGAAATATTCAACAATTTCAAATCCTGGAAGCCGGGGAGTTGCACTTGCGACAGGGTGTCCCAGCTCGATGATGCGGTCAAGTCCAAGGATAGTGACTGCAGAGCTCGCAGCTGCATGAGGCTACTCCATCCCTTTGTGACCTAGGTCCGATACCGACAATGTATGAAGATGATGGAGCTGGGAAACAGATTGTATGATAAAGGGCGAAATTTTACGCAACAAGTTGTCCGTTGTACGTGTAACTTTCACGGTCATGCGCTGGAGATGAGGACAGAAGGTCCCGAGAGACGAAAGGACAATGAGAGCGGGGGAGGAAGTTGAAGGGATCTGCAGGTTCAATTCCACTAGCGAGGGTACGAAAGCCATGCGCAAGAACTCTGCAGTGAAGCGGGTTCCGTCATCGTACAATGTTAATTTGTGAAGCTTCGGAAAAAAGGATGCAGGTGTCGAAGGACAAGCCAGCATTATCAAACTAAGAGCCTCAGTCTGAAGATTTGCCGAACTATATAGTTCTGTCATAGTGATAGAGTGCACGCATGACGCATACTTGAAAAGAGTATCCCACGCCTTGCCATCAGGAGGTTTCTGCAATATCTGCGCAAGTGAACTCAGTCTGAAGCTTACAAGGATATAAAATCAGGACACTCACTATACATCCATGCTCGCTGCCAAACAGACCTCTTGGTAAACAGTTGACAAGTGGAATCACGGAGTCCAGATTCCTCCAGAGGACCTTAAGTGCCGGGTGCTCAAATTTGCGGCATGTGGATGCAAGTGCAGGAAGCGATCTGTGTTCCACGTATGAGCTAATCGCGCATATTACTTCGAGATTTTGTAAAGCCGGATGCATGGCTCATGAATATGATTAGATATATGGTAGGGACACTTGCAAAGTTGCATATATAAAGGTGTTCGTGATAACCAAGAAAAAAACTGCAAGCTTATTCAATTTATATTTATAGTTATAATTATCAGCGCTAAGTACTTACTATGTACCCCCCCCAGGCTCGCACGTGGTCCTCAGTCGGCCACTCTTACCACCCCCTCCTCATTTTCAGGGCTTTTCAGCGTCTTCAATTGGCTATCCAATATCGCGGCCTTCATGAAATGCCCATGACCTGGCACGTCCCCACCCACTTTCACATTACCATGCGGCTGCCGTCCTCTCCAGACGTTTGTGGCTGTGGGATATCGCTCGTATCAGCATCCTGGACCTCATGTTGCGCAGCCAGCTTCATTATCGCTCCCTTTGATATGTGCGGCCACTGTCCGAGCATCACCTTCGGCCTCGGCAGGATTGGAGGCTTCGCCGTATCGAACATGACAGCTGCTGCTGCCAGGGACATACGTGGCTCCGAAGGCTTCAACAAGGGTTGGCTGAAGATTTTGCCCTGACTTCGGGGGACTGTCTGAGAACTCACTATCTGTTCAACTGCATCTGTTTCCTTCTGTTCTTTTCCCTTCTCCTTGCCCTTGTCTTTCACCTGGACGGGGAAATTCGATGGCACAAGCAGCCTGCTGGTCTTGGCGAGTGATGATACAGTTGGCGCCATGAGGGTAGAGTCATGTGCTCGAGTCGTGCCAGTGGTTGTACCTCTTAATTTGCCAACGAGAGAAGTCTTCGTGCCCTTGGAAGATACACTTCCTACGCTATTTCTTCGCGAAGCAACGCCGAGCGACAAAGCGGAGTTGCTCCTATGGCGAATGGCTTCACGGTCTTTAAGCTTCTTCGCTTCCTCCCCTTTCCTCTTTGCTTCCTCAACAGCATTGATGCGAACACATTTAGATTTCTGCACATCTCGGTCCTCCTCTTCGCCGTCATCATCGTCACCAAATCTTCTTGATACGACTTTCTTCAAAACTGGGCGTAATCTCAATGAAGTGGAAGGAACGCGATCCTTCTTCACCACAGTGCTCGACTTGCGTGTCTTCCTAGTGATTTGGACAGGCCCAGTTGTACTCTTTCGCTTGCCCGAGACAAGCGCAGATTCTGCATTAGATGGCGTCCCACGATGCGCAGCATAGTGCTCTATGATGCTGGGCATCTTCTTGAATTGCGCTTGGTGTTCTTTATCGAATAGCTTACTCGCACTAACTTGCTTCTCCTGCTGCGGGTCGGCTGCAGTAGACTGTCCTGACATGGACCGTTGCTGGTATTCCAAGATGACAATGTCTATTCTTGCGATGCCCTCCGATTAAGGTGCGCGTTTGAAAAATGGTGCTGAGGATTAGGAGAATCAAAGACAAAGGCTCGGAGTGGTTTATGCCCAGGTTGCTTGCAAGTTGCGTATTATTTCGAGATTTGGCAAGGTCGGGCACATCATGAAGATGTATATAACAATACTTATTAGACAGCCAGGCTCGTGTCGTAATGCACCTACAAAGTTCCATGAACATGTATGTCTTTGTGTAGCGGGCTCTTGGACAAAGAACAAAGTCGATCTCCCGTAATCAGACCACCTCGTTCCTCCCTTTCAAGGGGAAACCAAGCCGTTAAGCTAGGGCTCCGCCACTAGTGCATCTCTGCCTTACTATTGAACTTGTCTACATCGGGGAGACCCCCTACAGACAGGCACATTTTTTGGCAGAACGAGGAGAGTTCCTTTATATAATGCTAATGTGAGAGTGAGCAGATGTATTCTCTCTGACCAGGGCTACTAATGGTTACCTTGCCCTTTGATCTACATACCTTTGAATCGCCCTTCTGTACAGCGTGTTCAAGCCGACCCTGTTGGCGTCGTCGGATGATGTTCACGTGTCATCTTGGCAGATTTGCGTGTTTTTACACAACTGGCGCACATAAAATCCGATGTCCGAATCAATATCGGTCCACAATTGATATTGATGGTTTGCGCATTTATTACACCCTGGTCGATCAATCAAGAAATACTATACAATGACAGCAGTCATGAGAATGAGCACGAAACCTGAATCGTTGCTTCCCTAATGTTGATTGCTTGCATATCGCTGAGAGTTTGACTTGTTAAATGAGATGCGAGGTCAAATTTACCTCGCTCTAATTACGATGTCTGATTGTGTACTCAACAGACACGCAAGTAACCCAGAGTAACCATCCGGCCTGTCTTATGGTGACGTCAAGGACACGAGCTTGTTCTAGTGGCCACTGCAGTACCAGCGACTGGGCAGCATCGCGGATGTGTAGCAGTCTCAGGTGGTTGCTCCTGGCAAGGCTTCTGGTATGAATAATAAGAGCACAGAGCACGTTTCCGAGTACTTATAATTATAAAGATTGTATAGTGAATTAAGCATACAACTGCATATAGTCAAAAAGTATATCGGATGATTCACGCGTACCATAAAAATCAGATAAACACAATCAAGTTACGATGTGCCCGGGTCGCTCCCTCACAACACTGAAACCACGAAGAAAGCTATTGACTAATGACCATTGCTCCATCGCCGACTTCTTCCGGGGTAGTAGTCACAGCATCAAGGGAACTGTATCCCAACAACCAAGATTGACCTGCCCGAGGTGGGGGAAGAGACCGCTGAGGATGAGAGCCACGTTTAGCGGGGAATCGATGATTGAATTGCCAAGGGAGAGGACTTTGAGATAATTGTAAAAATGTTCACCGCCGGGGCTTCTGAGGTCAATCCCATCTAGCTTGGTGGTGTCGGTGACAAGAGCGAGCGAAATTAGAGCGGGGCAGAGTCGAAGTACACGTATTAGCCCATGGAATGTAGGCACTGCGGTAGTATCCGAATCGATGATGACACAGGCTGATTCTGAGGACTTGGAGCTTAGGCCAGGCTCCCGTCAGGTAGCATAGCTCCTCGTCAGACATCGAAATGTCACAGCCCCTCCCAATGTCCAGATGAGTTAAATTGCTAAATGCGCGTAATGATGCGAGGACGCCCGGTTCTGTACGTATCCCCGGCATCCTGTTTGAAAATGCAATGAAAGTAAAGTGTTCGAGTTTGTTGTTGTCACATCTCTTTTGGAGGATGGCGAGAAACTGGGATAACATCGGGGATACACGTGCGGGGGACTGTGCGACGCGAGGGGTGAAGCTGACCAAAACTTTTTTGGTTCTGATGACCGTAAGTGAACTCAAGAAGTTCAAGGGGCGCTCGAATGCATTGACATCAAGACCCAAAAGATGCAAATTTTGAAAGCCCGGGAGTTGCGAAGGCGAACGTACGTCCCAAGCTGACGATGACGATGTCCTGAAGTCCAGCCTTATCGTCTGCAGAGCTCGTAGCAGCATCATGTGCTGGATTCCCTGGAATCCTAGGTCCCATACTTCCAAATTACGAAGATTGTGGAGCTGGGAAATAGGTTGTATGATAAATGGTGAATTGTTAGGAGACGGCTCGTCGATTGTACGGTGATATCTTAAATTCATGCTCTGAAGGTGAGGACATGAAGTCCCAAGAGACGAAAAGACCGAGAAAAAGGCGGGGGAAGCCGAAGAAACCCGTACGTTCAAGGACAATAGGGAGGGCACAAAAGCCATGCGCAAGAATTCTGTAGCGCCGTGGGCAGTATCGGCATGCCATGTCAATTGACAGATGTTGGGAAATAAGGACGCGGGTGCCAAAGGACAAGACAATATTATCAAACTGAGGGGCCCGATAAATGTCGAGTCGCCGATTTGTGTGATAGAGTACACGCGGGATGTGTATCTAGAAAGAGTGTCCCACATCTTGTGATCAAGAGGTTTCTGTAGCACCTGCGCACGTGAACTTAGTTTGGACTCTGAAGCTCGCAATCATATGATAACTGTGACACACCAAACATTCACGATCGATGCCAAACAGGTCGCTTGGTAAACATTTGACAAGTGGCTCGACGGACTGCAAATCCCTCCAAAGGACATTAAGTGCTGGGCTCTCGAAGGCACGGCATGTGGATGCAAGTGCAGGAAGGGATCTATGTTCTGTGTGCGAACTAATGATGTCTATCACTTCGAGAATTTGCAAGGCCGGATGCATGACCAATATTTGGAGATTGGAAGTACTAGATGTCGATGAGGCTCGAGTTGGAGGGCACTTGGCAAGTTAAACAGTTCGTTGTTGTGCTGAGCTCGTCTCAGACGTCTCTCGTATATAGGTGCGCGTCACTTTAGTAACCGTATTAGCCAAATCAGTCTCAGGTAAACACAAACCCTAACCCAATGTAGTTCGTATGCCTCTCTGCGTGCTGAATGGACTCAGCGATGTTAGACAGTAGATTTTGCTGCGCAGATGTTGCTGTTTATAATATTCGCCCAACTCCACTCTTGACGGGTCTGAGTACAAAGGATGCTCAATTTCAGGTCGAACAATTCACTTCTACGAAGTACATGTCCTATGAACCTGTCCCAGAGACATTGACTCGTATCTCTGACTGGTGGGGGGTCATAGTATTTTGGGTGGCCAAATCATCCTTCTTGCAAAGAAACACTTATCAGTGATGCCGCTGTTCTTCTCCATACTCGAGAGCCCTCTCGCACCTGGTCTATCGACACCGTCGCCACCCCCTCCTCATTCTCAGGGCTTTCCAGTGTCTTCAGCTGGCTATCCAACATAGCAGCCATCATTCGGTCTATGAGCACGTCAGAAGCTTTCCCGAGAGCCCAGACACCTTTGCTTCCGACAGAGTTTCACTCCTTAGCACTGACCAGTGCTATACTCCTTCACAGGACTCGGCTGCCCACTACGCCCGACATAGTCTGAGGGGCTTCTCCGTCTCTGGCTCCACATGCAACCCGTGATCATCCCCAAGCTGACTGAGAACGTTCCTGACGGCCATTTTGCGAAGCCAAGGCTGGCGGCCTGCGTCTAGTGACATCGGATCGCAGGTGGAGGTTGATTGTCGCCCATGAACGTGCCCCCGAATGCGCTGCGCCGCGCCGAGAGAATGTAGATCGACCTATATCAGATATGCGGTGAGCATGTAATACCCAGTACAGTCGGGATTATAAGAAGTCAAAGAGGAAGTAGACATACCATCACCACCACGAATATCGCATCGCTCATGCCTCGATTAACAACACCTGCATGATTATCTCCTCCATCCTCGGTATATGTCGGCGCCTCGGAGCACACACTCACGCTTGGGGAGGAGACATAACGAATCGAGGTGGCGCTGCCACATACGACTGAACCGGTACCTCAAGATCGGTGTACCCGCGCGTACAAATGATATACTTTACACGTCAGTTGGTTAACCGGATATCTGGAAAGAGAATTCCAAGACGGGCGAGGAGCTGATGACCGGCGATGAAGACGTATTCTACATACTATATGTAGTAGTATGCGAGTAACTTGGAGACGTGTTTGGTCCTGGAGAATCAAGAGATCAACGCAACGCTTTGCAATTGAGTTTTACGGACCGTATATCCACCATAGTCTACACGTCATATATCATATCTGATGTCCATCAAAAAAGATCAGCGATACTTGACATGGACATATCGGTAACTTACTACACTTGCTGTACGGCGCAACACTGGTCCGTGTGCCGACTGTCGATGTGTTGCGACATGTACTGCGTTCAATCGAGTCGTCACTGAGTTCTGAGAGCACAAAGCAAAGGTATCAGTGCATCCTATCCCCATATGAAGACACTAATATATTTTCCTTGTGCTCTAAACAGCTGCAAAATGATGGAAGAGCACATTGGATAGGGACGAAAACAAAAGCAATAGATCGAAAAGCTGTAGCTATTAATTGGGAAACGTTACCATGCACGTTGATGCGAACGAGCACAGGTGTTATGTATGTATACTAGTTAGTAATATGAGCTGAAGGACTCGGAACGTACGACCACGGACATCTTTTTGTTTCCTTCTATAGGTTTGACCCGGAGTAGTAAGACGTCTGGCCATGGCCAGATCCATCATGGTCCCTGCAGGGCACGGTGACTGATCCGCAGTTGCGGTATTCATAGTACAGGCGCTGAGGCACAGCTGCAAACGTGGTTCACCTTCAATCAGTATCTTTGCTTCGAAAGTCCGATTGAGTCGTGGTGCCGAAGGTCAGCATCCCTCCACGTACGCGGTTCAAGTTAAGGGCCGGGCCCACTGTCCTCGGAAGTTCCTCCTGTATACATACTTAGCTCCGGGATATCCCTGGCCGCGATTCCCGGGTGTAGTCATAGGCAAGGCACATGTATAATCCTGGTGGGAGCTTGTACGTGGCCTCAGAATCATACCCAACGTTCAACTCAGCCAATCAATTTCTTAGCCCCATAATTTAAATAGTCACCAATAGCTAGTCCCCGTTCGAAAAACAAGGAATATTACTATGGCTATTACTGTAATCACCCAGCCCCACGGGCCAAGCCATCTTGATCAGTCTAAATGAAATCAATCCACAGGAATCACGATGTCACCCGCGGTTCGCCAAGCTTAGGATATTTCCCAGCACAAAGCTATCGTAAAAACACGACATCGAGAACGTGTTACTTCACTTAGTAATGAGCAAAACAACATCTTTTGATTGGCGTCGAGTCCATAAAACAAACATCCTATGTATATATGCGTCGAAATATATGTATGTAAGAGTGGGGTAAAGGTCGATATCAGCGCGTGGTGGTACGTTATGGCACGATCAATCAATTGAGGATATCAGGTACATGGTCAGTTGGAGAAGGAGTGGCTGCTTGGCTGACGGAATTAAAGAACAAAGATGTGTGTCAAAACAACAACTGAAAGAAGAAAAATGAAAATATAGCAAGCTTGGAATTAAATGCAAAGATATTTTCCTCAAGGGACTAATCAGAATTTCGTCGCGAAAAACTTCTATCATTATTGGCGTCACGTATGATATATCCATAAACAGGAAAAAGGAAGGACCGAGAATTTAACTGGGATTGGGTGGTGCGCGGGAGTGTGGGGGCGTTGAGAAATCGATGGCGTTGTACGCTGGTGGAGCTTCTTCGAGGTCCCCGTGCTCCTCGACCGCGCGCCGGTGATGGTGCCTTCGGGTGACGTTACGTACCCACCCTAGCACTTCATCAGGATCCTTCTTTGGACGGTTCCTACCCCGTGGTTGCTGTGCGGTTGATGGCCGTGCAGGCATTGTTGTTGATATCGGCGTTGAGACGACGTTGGACGAGTAGGTATAACGATGTCCCGTGGAGGGAGAGCGGGGTATAGAGGCAGGCGTTGGGGGAAGGGTACGTGCCAATGTGGGAAGGCGTTTGGGCCGAGTAGGAGGTGAGCTAGTAGGGGATGCGGGGTTTGAGGGGACGGTAGGTAATCGGCGGCGAACGACAGATCCCGAAGAAAGAGCACGGCTGCGAGACGGGGGTTGTATCGTCCACACTATCCATATCACTGTCTAGCAGTGTTGGTGGGACTAGCACTCCGTCTTCTGTGACCAACTGTGAACGCCTGCTGGTTGTGGATGGGATGGATGATAACCGGGGTGATGACCTAGATCGGTGAAGCCACGGCTGTGATACAGCAGGGGGGTGCCATGAAGACGGTGGTGCAGGAAGTTCTCGCCGTGTACCCGCACGTGGCGAGGGGGAGGGCTGGGATGATAATGGGATGTAATCAGATGTTGGAATGGGTGATATTGCTCCAGGGGACAGGCTAAGGGGAGCCGAATAACGGCTGTTGGTATTGATCCTTGGGACGGTTCTTTCCGAGTCGTCAAAGAATGTGGATGCATAGAAGCCAGTCGATGGTGCTGAACAAGGGGTCGCGGGACAGCACACAGACTCAGAGGAGATGCTTGCAGAGTCCCATGCGGTACCCGGGCGTGGAGGTAAGTCGAGACCGTCTGCACTATGAGGTCGTAATGATGGGTATAACGGTTCACCATATACAATTTTGCGCCATTGATTTATAGATGTGGGAGGGGGCGCTGCGCCGGAGATATCGAGTACATCTGCATCCTCATTGCAGCGAGTGTCGATTGCAGGGGTCTTGAGGGAGGGATATAGAGGTTCGCCGTACATGATTTTACGCCACTGACGTGCAGATGCAGGAGCGGATGTGGATTTAGGAAGGGATACGGAATCTCTTGCTGGGGTATTGAGTGAATTTGGGTTGTGCCTTAGAGTCATCCAATCATCGGGCTCTGTAACGAGTAGCAGAGCGGTGACGAAGAGGTTATCTAGTAATGAAAGGGATATTCCAGCGTGTTCTACTTGAGGAACTGATTGATGGACAAGATCAAGAGTCTCGAAAACTTTAAGTCGTGGATTGTTTTCGTCGTCTTGTAGTGTATCAAGTGATGCGATGAGTCGTTTACATGATGAAGTTGTGCACTTATGAGGAAGTGTGAGCATAAGCGGAAATATGTCATGAAAACGAATATTACCTGATAAGTGCGACCAGTTCGCTTCCACTTTAGCACATGGGGATGGTTTGGTAAGGTGAATTTACGGGAGCTGGTGGAATTAAAAAAAACAATAAGATGAGGGATTGAATAGATGAGGAAGGAGCATACTTTCCAAGGCTACCATACTTGAGGTAGCTGTCAGTGTCTTTCCAGCGAGGTTCACCCATCTGTATAATTGCACCGTGGGTATCCCTCCCCTTGCCCTTGAGAGGAAGATCCTTGGGCCAGCAAATATCTGCAATTTTTACAGAAGCATCCCAAGGATCTGAACGCCATATAGTAGTAGAAGAGCCGACTGTTTCGACTGAATATAGAGGAGTTTCTGCTACGAGGTCTGTAGCAACGGAATCTAGGAAAGAAGGAGAGGACAGCTTGAGTACGAGAAGAGGTCTCTGTTGGCGTCGAGAACCCATGTCGTCGCGAATTTCAAGGCGATGTAGGTAGGGGAAGATGGCAGACGGGTTAGAGGTAGATGGACCTGGAATGGGTCGAGGGGGGTGCTTATTCTTTGGACTTGTGACAGGATTTGACGATGATGAAGGAGAGGCAGTAGGAGGAAGTGAAAGACGTTGGATGGGTGGTGGAACGAAGGGGGAGAAAGACGGTTTGTCAGGATCACCGATGGAAAGGGACATAAGCGCCCGATGCATGACGATGAAAGTGGGTTACTAACTTGAATATCGATATGGAAGTGAGTGACACTATATGGTCACTCGGAACCTACCTTACACCGTGAGTTTAATCTCAGCGGTCCAACTGAGCTCACATCTCATAACATCCCACGGCATATACCGAACTAGCACAACGCCCAGTCGTCCGGGAGATGAGCGCTCACTTTGTGTTTATAACTCCGATTGAAATCAATATTGTCGCGTCAACACATACAAACATCGCCAACGCGCTCTTTTCCACACGATTGCCACTCACTGCCCATTTCCTATCATGTCTACCGAACCCAGGTATGTTCGGCAGCATGTTTTCGCTTGCCTAATCTGATCTTCGTTTTAGTTCCCCTGCAAAAAAAGACGCGACTACTGTCATAAAGTCTCCCGATTCAAAGGGGAAAAGTAAAGCAAAGGTCCCCGCTGAGGACATATCTATGGAAGAGGAAGAAGAAGAAGAGGAGGAGGAAGATGAGGAAGAAGGTGAGGAGGAAATGGAAGAGGTATAACTTTTATTAATTGATATCTCTTTGTGACACTGAAACTCTCATAACAGGAGGAAGAGGAAGATGAGCTCGAGGAAATTGACCCCAGCGCCATTGTTTCTCGTCGCACCCGTGGCGTACGCGTCGACTATACATCCGAGGAAGCCCTCGAAAAGGCCGGCCTCACAAAGGATGACCACGAAGATGACGACGACGACATGGAACATTAAGTGCCTCACGCCAGATTACTTTAATATCCTTATCGCTTTCCTATCGTCTTGGTCAATTATTGGCAAGGGGTGTGTGTAATATTGACTGTTAGAGGTACTCATACCTTCATATCGTTTCGTCTTGAAATTCACAAAATCCAATCCTACATCCTTGCTTGGCACTTTGTTCGCATGTCCGAATCTGTTTATCCTCGCACGTTGCTTCACTTCTGTCACGCGCCATCGCAATGGCGGCCCTCCGAGTACTACAAGTATTTTAGATGATCTAAAATGTTGATACTGGAGCCTGAAATGCGCAAAAAATACTAGTATTTGCATGACTGGATTTCTAAGACGATGCACGCATGTGCGCGTATAGGCTCACACAAAGTCAACCAATTACAACGTGTTAATGCTACACGATATCCCAGTTCGGGGACACCAATGAGTTCTGAATCTCACCAGGACGAGCCGGTGTTCTAGACAGGTTCTAGATTCGCCAACATTTCCATCAACTAGAACCTGCTGATTCCTTTGCTAGTGCACTCCTTGCCTCGTTCCTCCACCGTTCTCACAACAATGACTCAGACGGATGACTCGGAAGCGATTGAACCTCATCAAAGCCCAGGTTACATCTCAGTCGCCTGTCCTCGCCTTTCTTTTCCGCTCTTTGCCCGCCGACGGAGTCATAAACTCCACTGATGACCAAGACAAGCCAGCTCTTCTCGTGGCAGTCCTCATGCTGTCCCAATTGAACCTCAGTAAAGCCCAGGTGACATCTCGGCCGCCTGTCCTCACTCCTCTTTTCCGCTCTCTGCCCAACGACGACGAACTCTACTGATGACCGGGATAAATTTAACTGGTTCCTCTTGTTGTGGTCGTCATATTGTCCAAGTTGCTGTACAATGATAAGCAGGTACGTATCTCTTGGGTGTGCTGGGTCTGATGATTTCTTTGCATGCATCACATGTTGCTCGCCGACCGAAAACAGGGCGAAACGCATCAAGAATCTCAAACTGTGGGTTCGTGTAGTGCTGTTTCTCTGTTATGGGTCTCCTGGCACCGACGACGGTCGCAACATGGTTCTTTCACGATCTCATTGTAAGTACATTGTACAACTCGGGTCTCCCGAGAACAAATATTGGTCGGATATCAATAAAAATCAGGAAGGTGGGCAAACCCAACCAGTTTGTCTCGCGCGAAACATCAATTCTTCATCAGATACTGCTTAGTAGGCATGCTCAATCCTGGGGCAAGCAACTTTCGATTCCCATGCAAGCTCCGCTGACATGGCCTTGAACTCTTCGTCATACATGGCTGACTTGGCCTGGAGTTCTCGGCTGGCTTTCCACTAGGCATCAAGTTCCTCTAGCTTGCCAGCCAAGTGGCCCTGACCTTCTGTAGCTCGAGCCTCACTTCTATCTGGTTAGGCGTGCCTCCAAAGATTCAAGATATCTCATCTATGAAAGGGTTTTAGTCAAAGTTAACAATAAGAAGGCTGCCTTGAAACATATCTGCGTACCTATATACTATACTTGTTTTGTGCCTCGCGCTGGATTTGTGTGGTTCAGCAACATAGCAACTCCTAAACTCAGGCCCAGCAAAAATCGACAAGAATCAGGCCGATATAGGACGAATACATCAGGGGCCGTCGATTTTCTCGCTGTGTTTCGTGTTTGGCACTTTTCAAGACACGAAAAGATAGAGGTCGAGAGAAACCTTTTGGTATATCGATAGGTTTTCGTTCTGTTTGGTTGAATATATGCGCTTGGAAATCACTCTATCCGGCCTAGAAAATGGTATCGGTACAGATCTAATAGTATTGAATGAGTTATTGATGGGTATCGCTGTGAATCGTTTGTATTAGGGAGGTATTACAACAAGGGGGTCGCTGCTCGCGCCGTCCCGCCCCCTCGTGCCTCGCCCGCCATCCGGCCATCCCGACGCCAATGCTATCACGCACGCATCCACTGGGATCCCACGGCTAGTCATCGTGCTCAATCCCACTGCCCTTGCCTTGGAGCGTCGAAGAAGAGTCAACCTGTAGAAGAACCCAGTCAGTACAGTGGCTCATAAAACTAGTAGGCAGGATGGCATTCACCTCCACCGTAACTTTTCGCTTGTATTCCTAGTGTACTGCATTAGAAAGACCATAAGAGTGAATACTAGTACATGGCTTACGGTATCGCTGCGCCAACTCTGCTCGGTATCCCGCGTGGTATTCATCCTTGTCACCGGCGCCGCTCCCAGTGGGTCCAACCGAGTCGGGCTACAAAGCAAACCATTGTTAGTATGAGAATAGGTTATGATGAATACCAGAGAGTGGGTCCGGTGAATATGAGTTCAACATTGCCTTTAAGTTCTTCTTCCAACCAGGCAAAGTAAGAATTAGGGCAGCGCCATCGTGGATATGACATTTTCGGAAGCCCTGAATCATGTCCCATGTCCGTCCGAGTGTCCAGGATACTCGCTAAAATATTTGGAACAAGGAAGGACCAGTAATACTTCTACCGGACATGTGGTGTGTGCCTACGCTGGTCCTCGCTAAGAACAAAAAAGCCTCGACGTGACTCTTGTAGTTTCGCGAGCCGCTCAGTAGCGTCGACAGCGCGGTCCCAGTTGCGCTCATAGTCGTTGCACCAGAGAAGAATCGCAGTCTGAGAAAATGCAGGAGTCTACTATCGACGTCTATGTGCACACAAGGCCTCGAAACTGCATTGAAACTAGTGTACGGTCAATTAGGAACTGTCCGAGATTCACGGTAAATTTACAATGCGCCCAGAGACCTTCAGATTCACAGCGTGAATGAGGTCAAATAGGGTGAATGAGGTGAATTAGGTGGATTTCCACTCGTCCCAAGCAGAAGGGTTGGGGACAGACGAGGACAGGTTTTTAGCGGCAGCCTTCTTTGTTGGTGCGGAATCCGAGTGCGAAGGCTGTTTTCCGATTGAATCGAACAGTTCACGTAGGTAGGGTGCACGTAAATAGATACCGCTGGATGCTGCAAGCACAAACGAGTATTTTTCCGCTGCCTTAAACTGTGAAAGAGCAGCGGGACCATCCAACCAATCTGTGCCATCGTCAAACTCATCTTCTGAGTCCGTGTCCATGTCCACTGTTCTTGTTTCGGGTGGAGGAGGCATTCGGCTAGCGGGAGGCAAATCTTCGGCAGGATACTTGCCAAGGATAGTGGATTCCATATCACGCCACTTGACGAGAGGTTTGTACGGTGTTTTCAATTTCTGTGGAGTCACTGATGAGACCGAGAAGAACGCGCGAAAATTGTTACTCACATTAGAATCGAAACGATGCCATTGTTGGATTTTGATATGATCTTGAAGAGTACCAATTTCCTGCCTACTTCGGCGAGGAGAGTTGAGCCAAGTAATCGTTGACATGGTGCGTTCATCTGGCATGGATGTTGGAGACACTGTAGAACACGTCATTGGTTTCACTTTGAAACCAATGACATGTTCTACAAGGTCTTTCTATGCAAAGGCACCTGAACCAGGAAGCTTTATAGTGAGCGCCGCACTCATTAGAGGGGAGGTGAGGGATGAGAGAGAGCGCAAGGCTTCCGTAGATTAGTTTATGGATTCGAAGACGAATGGATTTCGCGTACGCGACGCTATCGGTTAATGAAGCGCAGAAGACGAGATTAGTTTGAGCGAAGTAGAGAGATTAATCAGAGTGACCACGAAAGACTAGTGACCAAGGAAACGTAAGGAGAGGCACGAAAAACTTGCAAGGACCGAGTTCCTCTCTCCAAGGACAACACTGGTAGTGACAGTAAGCGAAACAACTGCTCGTGATTATCCTGTTGTGCTATAAAGACAAGGGAATGGTTGTATTGAGCTGGGGTTGCGGCGGGGATGGATGTCATGGTGGGCGGATGAGAAGATGTGCGTGGTTCTACTGCACTAGCACTTCATAGTAATGCAAGTACGGGGGTACACGGATGCAAAATACACGTGCATTGAATACATGCATATGCATTAAAGTTTGTTGAAAGTTTGTCGCAAAGTTGCAAACTACGTGATATCGATCGAAGTCTGAGATAAGTCTGTATGCTTGCCTTTGCAAAGATTCTTTGCGTTTTGCACATCATTTGAGTTTTGCCGTCTTAAACCTGTATCTAGCTACCGCTTGAACGTCTATCTTCACGTATCGGCTCGATTTTCAATGGGAGATCTGAGATCTAAGCTCCCACTCGAATTAACGTCCCATAAAATTTGGTCTGAATTCGGTCTGTGAATCTGCGGACTTTGCTTGTCCGCAACTGTACTAGTAAGCTGCTCGTAGCGCAGCAACTCTCGACTGTATCCGCAATTAGAAGACTCTCAAGGATTCTCATTCTCAACCTAGGCAACTGAAACACCAATTATACGTACTCCACCCAACCACAATGGATCACGGCGCACACGACATGAATGTAAGGTGCTCAATGAACATGCTCTGGTACGTCCCAACCAAACCCACCCAGTGACTCCACACTTACGCCCCATTCTCAGGAACACCCAAATCATCGACACATGCGTCGTATTCAGACAATGGCACATCCACTCTAACCTTCAGTTCTTCTTCTCCTTCCTCGCCATCGTGGCCCTAGGCCTGCTCTACGAATACCTCCGCGTCTTCTCGAGGGACTTTGATAAGCGCATCGCTATGAAATTGAGGATTCAGAGCGGACGTAGAACGCCGCTTACTACGAGTGGGCAGAGCTCGCCTGAACGTCGTGGTGATGGTGTTGAGGAGATAGGCTTGTTGAATGGGTTGAGGGTCGCGAGGAAGCAGGGGTGGGTGCTGCTATGTACATGTGCTTTTGCTTTGATTGTACTGACTCGCTTTGCTTTGTCTTTAGATTCGCTGTGCCTCCTCTCTATCGTACCCTGCGCGCTGTGCTGTATGGAGCTAGCGTGGGCTTGTCTTTCTTTTTGATGCTGGTGTTCATGACGTACAATGTACGTCTGACTGCCTGTTTTTCGGACACTGACTGATTTGTTTGCACACAGGCATATCTGATTTTTGCAGTTATCCTTGGTGCCGCAGTGGGACACTACATCTTGGGTGATACTATAGAGCCAAACGGCCCTGCTGACAAGGGGATGGCATGTCATTGATTCGTGTACATGGGGGAAGCTGCTATCACTCCTGTTTACATTGCTTCGATCATTCCGTGTTTTCCTTTCATCAAGGACCAGGTCTAATGTAGACAGACCATAGACGACTATCAATGGGGATGCTGGTTCCTTCTATGCTTCATAATTAATATACCTTGCCCATTCCCAAGGTCGAAGAAATTGTTGTACACGAATACAGCTGCGAGTATGACCAATTACTTCATCTCTGTATCCTCATCCTTCTTCGCAAGCCCTTCCGCCCGAAGCAGAGCATCAATTTCTGCAGGCTTGTATATCTTGGCTTTTGGTGCTTTCGCTGCTTCATCATATGTGAGGACTGCAAATTCGACTGTTGAGTGCAGGTCAGCGTCGTATTTGAGTAAAAAGGTAGGATGGACTTACGCTTTTCGCTTCCAAGGGTTGTGCTGTCCATCGTCTTGCTCATTACCCTCAGTACGAGCCCGATAGCCTCCTCGACGCCCAAATCGTCTTTGTATTCTTGTTTGAGTAAGCTCTGCGCCGTGCCGTTGTTTGCCCCAATACATGTTGCTTTCCACCCGGAGTAGTTGCCAGATGGGTCGGAATGGTACAATTGGAAATGGTAATGTGGGTCATAACCTGCGTATAGCAGGGAGACGCCGAAAGGACGTAGACCTAAACAATATCTTGTTAAAGCCAAGACAAACGATTTGGGGGAATGGATTAACAGACCTCCGAATTGCGTATATCCTTGCTTCATATCGCACAATCGTTGTGCAAGAAGCTCAACCGGTATATCATCATTATACTGCAAAAGATGTTGTTGTGCCACAGTCCGCGCGTAGTTCACCAGCGAATTCGCATCGGATGTGATGCCTGCAACGCCCCCAATTACATTTCTGCAAAACTCGGAAATCAAGGGGCTTCCTGGGCACTTGAGGGTAGTGCTCACGAGTTTAATAAAAACATCTTCTCTCCACTGCCACCATAGCCCCCGCCTTCTTTCGCGCTAGAAAGATCAAGCAGCTTCCCTGTGACACGTTTCTCAGCGGCCAGGACAACACCGTCCTTTGCGAGTACGCCGAGGACTGTTCCTGCATGTGAGATAGCTTCCATGGCATATTCGACTGAAATAACAGGGTTAGATTGTGAGGCATCTGCGATTCCCTGATGAGCGTACTTTGATAAAGCCGGCCTGTGTATGGCGAGCGAGTCAGATCAAGGCATTCAGTCTATAATGTTAATTGCGCACCTTCCGGAGAGAATATTGTTGTTCGACCTATAAATCAATGGTTCAAGTCAATCCATATTAGATTCAGCAAATTGAGGCTGCTAGGATACATACTGTCATATCTTCGGGCCTGCACGAGTAAACGATGTGAGCGTTCATATGTCAATGGGACTTATAAAGTGTACATACCATGTTTGATGAATCGGGGGACGAGGTGGAAGGAGCGCACTGGTAAGATGGAACTTGTCACTGACGCGTTCCCTCAGATTGAGTTGGCGTACGCGTCGGGTCAGGCGGGGGGTCGCCGGCTTTTGCCTATTACCTCAGACTCGACCCCTCTTGGCCCCCAGTTCTGTTGAATCCGTTGAATTCATCGATTTCATTATATATAGACTCCTCATGTTTTCTTTCGTGAATTCGCGCAACTGCGGATTTGTATATCCTTCATATGAATGGATTTTGAGACCATATTATATGGAAAGCCGAAGAAACCTGTGCTCTGCTCCGAGGAACGAATCCCAACGTTTGGCACTAGAATGGGAAGGTCTCCCCGAAACATCCGTTATCAAGAAGGCACGACTGTCAGCTGATTCTTCCATCTATATGACTTGACTGCGGGAGATTACGATTCTACGCACCTGCATACACTTTGAATGCCGAATGAAAAAAAATCATACTGGCGTGACTCCGACTCCTCGCGACTCCCCCACGGTGCTGAATCATGATCAGTTCTGCGTCTGCGATATATGGTACACGCCTGGCCACGTCTCCTCTTCCTCGCCGGCCATCGTCATCAATCATATCCTAACCTTGTCGTGGGATTATATTTCCAAACGTCTGGTTAGCCAAGGAACACGTAAAGTCACACCAAGCTTAAGCTCAAGGTACTAGCATCAGTCGCATTAACGTTGGCAGCGCTATCGTGACTCGCCATGTCTCTTCCGAGCGTGTACTCCGAGGCGCCAACATATTCCGAGGACAGAGGGCTTCGTCATACAGCTGTCGACTTTGACTCCTCGGTTGAGAGCAAGCCTCTGGTTGATCGGAATACGAGGGATGCGGTATTCTTGGTGGTGATGGTACGTCTACTTCCCGCTTGCAATTCCAAGTACCGGTATCACTCAAGACATGCTCACTGCACTCTCAGGGAGTATCCGGTACAGGCAAATCTACTCTCGGCGCTGCGCTATCAAAGGCGCTCTGCCTCCCATTCATCGACGGCGACAACCTCCATCCCCAATCTAATGTAGAGAAGATGTCACGTGGGGAAGCTCTCACAGACACGGATCGCCAGCCCTGGCTGGAAACTATCCGCAAGACGGCCGTCAGTAGCGTTCTGAGTCAGCTTAGAGATGACCACGGGCTGCATGTGCTGAGTCCCGTGAGGGATGGAGACCAGAAACCGGGGATCATCATTGCGTGTTCGGCGCTGAAGGGAAGTTACCGGTCGGTGTTAAGAGGTGAAACTCTGCCGGAAGCAGAGGGGCCGAAGCACTCGGGAAAGCTTCTAACATGCTTTGTTTATATGAAAGGTTCGCGGGAGGTGCTCACGGACCGAATGATGAAACGCCAGGGGCATTTCATGAAGGTGGAGATGTTGGATAGCCAGTTGAAGACGCTGGAAAGCCCTGAGAATGAGGAGGGTGTGGTGACGGTATCGATAGAGTGGTCGACTGGGGACCAAGTGCGAGAAGTGGTCAGAGCTCTCGAGGGTGGAGGACTTGGAGCAGTGTATAATACGAATATATCTTCCAGGCCATCGGGAGACCTATACCCTTGAAACAGATCATGTAAAGGCTCTCACCGAGACTATCATGAGTCTTTGAGCCATGAAGGTCGCGTGCGAGGATTCTTGCTCATGGTCCACATGTTCATTGAATGTCTGTATTGTAGGACATCATATCTCGCAGCCTCTGCATCGCATTGCGCATAAACAAGATATATGTGTTCATACACGCTTATCTTTGTATGCATGCCCTCGTTCAGAGACGAACTCAAAATAATGACTGTGACAAGGTAAAACTCTCGACCGTTTGTCATGCACAAACCAAAGGCGCCCATAGACCCCTCAGCATTCCGCACGCACCTCCGTATCGGCCATTGAACACAGCAGTGCCGATCGCAAAAACTCGCTTATGCCTTCCCGTGTCTCAATGATCGTAGTAGCACCGAACCGTTACTCAAGTTCACCATATATTTCATCATCCTCCTCAGCTGCAATTCATCAGGATATTCGTCTCGACCGTGTAAAAAGAAGACGTACTGATGATACCAGTTTTATTTTAGTACATCGACTCTGGAATCGTGGCGGCAGGCTGCGTGTTGATATTCATGGTTTGATTGCGGTGCTTGACCGTACTGATCTATGTTTTCTGAATATTTCGTCTCTCCTCGGTATAACTCTCGAGAAGTAGCAGACTCCCTGCTGAACAGCGCGCGCGCGGATGCTGAGTGAATGGTGATGTATATTAGAATTATCTAAAATCAGCGAAATGTATGGAATGAGGATATAAGTAATCACGAGAGACATTAACTCGGGCCTCCCGCGTTCCCTTGTGCTGAACCCGAAGGAGGCATTAAATCTTCTTCTTTCACAACGCGCATCTCGGCTTCGATACGTTCCCGGGCACGCACAACTTTCGATTGGAGGTAATGAGAGTGTGTAGGCGGAGCAGGCTGTTTTCCCGCTCTTGTGCCGGTTGTCGGTGGGGCTGGGGCTGGCCGGGGACCGTTCACTTTGAGTAAATGTTCGTAATTCTGGCATGGCGGTTAGTGTGACATGCAGTCAGGAAAAAAATTGACAAAGCAGTATGAATTCACCTTCAACACATTCTCGAGGGTTTCTCCTTGCTTTAGATTCAGAATGAGATGGGCCTCGTCCAGTGTCATACGGTGTTCTCGGGTAAGTTTATCTGTCAAGGAGCCAGAGGTAGCATTCCGAACGCCCGCAATATCTGATCCTGCTACGCCTTGCGGTGTGTGCTTTGCATCTGCAATTGACAAAACGAAAAATGTGAACACCAGAATCATCAAAGGTGAAAATGCTAAAGTACGCACTTTTGGCCGCCTGCTTTCCTGCTTCAAATAGTGCCTTTCCGAAGATTTGTGCACCTGTGACGAGAATTTGTATAATAATTTTTGGGGCCGACTACAGGTATCCGTCAGTCCACAGATCCGACCTAAGAACTACGACTTACCATCCCAAATTTCGGGCACTGCGACCGCTGTGGTGAACAAAAATAAATGACTTTGAAAATGTATTAGGCTCACGCATTACAAACGCCACACTGCAGCAAAGGTCGCGGCAGTTGCCGCAGCAGTCTTCACGAATACCTAAAAATTGCTTGTCAAATCTTATACATGTCACTATGACTGCCTTGGGTCACAAAAAACGGAAGAATCGTACATCCGACGCAGATCCTGATGCACCCAGAAAGAAGAAAGAGAAACTGAAACAGGACGCGGGGAAGCCCTGCACCAAACCTTCTCCAAGTGAATTCCGGGTGACGAAAGCAACCATAACACTCTCTGTACCTCCCGTATTCGCCAGTAATCTACGCGCGGGCGTGGAGGAAATGTTAGATAGCATGATCATGCGGTGCGATGGTACACCCCCTAGACAAATTTGTGATACTGAACTGAATGCGGAGATATAGATATATCCCGTCCTTGTGCGGAGTTCTCTTGGCTCATTCAAATTTACATTTCCTGAGTCCAACAGTGAGTATAAATGCCGACTGTCCTTTCGCGATCTGCAATGTCACTTTCGATGCTACGGTCTGGAGCCCAAGTATAGCCATGAAACTTGGTACGTGCTTCATTTGCCTTGTACCGCTTGAATCGAATAACACTCTTCAATAGTTGGCAAAATTATTCTGTATTCTCCAGATCATGTTTCGCTGCTCCTCCACCGTACGTTTAACGTTTCCATACCACGACACCACATTCCACAAGATGTCTGGGAATTTGAATATGGTCCTGCGGAAAACGATCCCGAGTATGGAGAAGGTGCTGTAGCATCATCTATCGTTGAAGAAGAGGATGGAGGAATGAAGGATGGTGATGGTGAGAAGGTGGAAGGCGAAGCGGTGCCGGAGGCGAGCGGACAGTGGGTACACCGTGTGACGGGAACGAAGCTTGGCGGAACAGATGGGTATCTAGAGTTTACAGTTATCGGGTGAGTGGATAGTCATTTTCGACCAAAGGAAGGTTGATCGAATTTTATGACAGAAAAACTGTGGCGAACGAAATGCTCTCCCTTCAAGGATCCATACAGCCTGATCCCTTTTCTGAAGAACATTCACAATCAGGCAAGAGCTCCCGCAAAAAACGTGCCAAATAATTTCAGATTATTGTTCTGGCATCTCAGAGGCTTCGTACATAAATCGTCGAGGGCTCGACTATACCTTACTTCTCAGCCGTTACTTAATACTAATCAAATATACCTGCTACGAAACTGGATGAGCCAGAAGAAACTGGGGCAGAATGTGAGGCTCAAAACTGGGATCAGCTCTCTGTGAGAAGTGCAGGCCAAGTGCGCATAGCGACCTTGACAACAGTATATCTGGGAGGGGTGCGACTGGATGGCATAGACCTTAAAGGCCCTGGCGGTGGAATCTGCAACGAGAATATCTAATCCCTTGTCCTCGGCAATTCACCCATCAAGTTCCTGGTAAAGGTCGCTCTCATCCTCAGTGGTATCTTCCCCCATCTTGAACAGATTACACATGATTGGCAGCATATCTGATTTGACTTTAATGGACAATCCGGAGTCGGTTAATATCTTTATTGGCGGCTTCAGCATTGTGAAGAAGCGGTGTATCGAAGCATGATAAAGTCAGTCAGGTACGATTTAATCATAATCTACATTTTTAAACTACGGGCGAACGTGTCATTAGATAGCTCTAGATACACAATCTAGATGCACTGATAATGTGCCTACAAATATGAATGGAAGGAAAAACGGGAGAAAGACGTCTTAGGTACCACTTTCCTATATTAGAAAGGTGGTAGTAACAGGTTATAAAGGGCTGTCTAGGGGAGACCAGAGACACCCGGAGAGTTGGGAATTTATATATTGTCTTCGTCGCGTCAGCACAAACATCTCCATGCAACAAGTTCAATTGCGTTACAAGTCTCTTTGAAAAGTCTGGATCTATCATCATACATCTTTCCCCAATATTTCATCCCCACTGAAAATTCACTGGATGCTACACACAAAGTCATTAGATTGTCTCAATAATGCTTTAATCAACAGGGCGGGAGGACGCACAGAATTGATCATGGATAAACACTACGCGCTGGTCCAAGGGCATGTCCGTGTCACAAGCCAACTACTGGACCGCTTGGTGCAGCGCTCGGGCAGCTCGCTTGGAATTCATCATGCCATCCCCACAATTTTTTGTAGAATCCCTCGACTAAGCGCTGCACAGTACTATCGTCGACCTTCCATAATGTCCCAACGACGCCCTTAACCCCAGCGAATTGCAGGCCGGCCACTAGGTGTATCACTTCGTCAGGGGTATCATGGTCACCGACTGCTGTTTCGCCAGCAGAAAGAAATGCAAATTCATGTCGAGAGGGATCCGTTTGTGTGATATTGAGAAGTGCAAGCGGCTAGTCACGCATGAGAAAGGCTGAATTGAAGGGGTCCTCGTAATTCTGTGTTCCGTGACACGAAAAGTGAAGCCAAATATTATCTCGCGGCATGAGGCACCGGCTGGGAGATTCTGACCGATGGGAGCAAAGGACACTGACAAGGACCTGTCATGTCTGCGAGCCTTTATCAGCGCGGTAAGCGGCGGCGTGTATGAATAGATGTGGAGCTGTGAAAGAAACTGCCCATATTTCCTGTACTCGCCAGCAGCGTGTAACAGCAAGAAATTGAAGAGAGACGTCGGGAACCACCATATTCGGGAACCTTGCCGTGCACATCTCTCAGATTATCGACCACCGGCCGGACGATGTCGTCCCACAACTCCATCAAGGCTTTTGTCAGCGCTGGTCTACTTGTACGTTGGAATTTGACCACCAATATCTGGAGTTTCTCAAGATTGATAGGGAGTTGAATGCTAGTCGGAGGTTGCTTGTGTGGAATGGTGATGGCATCGCAAGACGACTTGCTGGCGATGAGCACGATGATAGGCCCATCACGAGCTGCATCTTGAAGATTGGAGAACACGGGAAGAAGTAGGAAGCGAGAGAAGCCCTCGATCTTACGGATCTCCTCTACAGCTCTATTCCGGTCCTCCACTAGACGTCTGTACCGGTTTGCTTCTGCTTCTACATCGACTCTTGGGGTCCCTTTTAGATGGCTCGCGGGAGGTTTATCCAGGAGGGAGCCGAGATCTCTGAATCTCTTCATCAAGGCCACTGCATGATCGCCGCGAGTCTGGAGACTATCAAAATGGGTGCTGGGTCGTGTCATCTGGGTTCAGATGAGAGTCCTGCCTTGTTCCGACGGCTCGACAGCACGGCGCACGCCACTACTACGAAGAGCACATGACGCAGCATCCACGGCAAGTGTACTTGGGAATTCCTTCATGACATTATGACGAGACGACATTGAGGCTGTTGCAGATATGTAAGCGTCCAGAAGTTGCATGGAAGTTGCATATGCCTCCAGTTCAGTACCATGTGAATGTTGACTAGCATAGTGAATCCAGTGTAGACTTTCTCGCAGGCGAAGTAGCAAACTTCAGAGACAATGTTTGCTGCTGCCTTGAGATGATCCATGACAGCATTCAGAATACTGTCAGTGTCTTCACCTGTACCAGTGCCCCCAAATCCTAATTAATGGACAAACAGATAGACGGCAGCTAGCGAAATATGGTCTATTGATCGTCGAGGGTCATGTTACATCAACAGAGTCAAGGCGCAGTGGAGATTCTCTTGTGAATTGTTGAGGTCTTCGTCATCGCTCCGGTGCTTACTGCTCGAAGTGGGTAGAGGTTAACTTCCCAAGGTTATGTAATGACGAGTGCTGTCTTCATTCGATTTGGTCTGCCTAGGAAACCTCCCCTTTCACTAGCATGAGCGCATCTTCGAGCAGTCAACCGGACATAAGTTCGAAAAGAAAACCACATGTCATCATCACGATCGGGATGGCAGGGGCTGGCAAGTCCACCTTTGTCCAGCGCATCAACTCCTACCTCCATTCGCAAAATCCTCCACAGCCGCCATACATCCTAAACCTCGACCCAGCAGTTACTCATGTGCCGTTCGAAGCCAACATCGATATCAGGGATACTGTTAATTATAAAGAGGTCATGAAACAGTGTGTTGCTGTTTCCATATGGACAGCAGTGCATGAATAACGGAATGAATCATCGTCACACAAGGTATAACCTGGGACCGAACGGTGGTATTTTGACCGCCTTGAATCTTTTTACGACAAAATTTGACCAGGTTATGGACTTAGTCGAGAAAAGGGCTGAGACAGTCGAGTACGTGCTTGTTATTTTTATTCTGCATTCATTCTTACTTCTTCTCGTGCACCCACGCTAGTCACATAATTCTTGACACTCCGGGGCAAATTGAGATTTTTACCTGGTCAGCATCTGGTGCCATTATCACAGATGCCGTTGCTTCGTCGTTTCCCACCGTGGTAGCATACATCATTGACACTCCACGGACAACAGCCCCCGCGACGTTCATGTCTAACATGCTGTATGCCTGCAGGTGAGTGCCGCATCATCTAGCGGTTCAATAATCGATAACGCTTTATTAGTGTCATGTATAAGACAAAATTACCATTCATCCTTGTCTTTAACAAGACTGACGCGCAACCCCATGATTTCGCTCTCGAATGGATGCAAGATTTCGAGTCATTCCAAGTCGCTCTTGCGTCCCACTCAGGATCGAGGGACTCTGAAGGTGAACCAACCTATATGAACAGCTTGATGAATAGCATGAGTCTGGTGTTGGATGAATTCTACAAGCACCTCAAGGTAATTATACTACGTCATTCTGTAGAAAGCATAACTGACTGTATTACAGGCTGTCGGCGTCTCAAGTACGACAGGTGCCGGCATCAAGGAATTTTTCGATGCAGTGGAGGAGTCTCGTGAGACATATAGGACGTACGTTTTATCTTCATTATTCTTGTTTTCTCCTTATTTTCTTGCCGTCTCCGTAGCGAATATCTCCCAGAACTCGAAAGCGCCCGCGCGGCACGGGAAAAATCACTGCAGGAAGTAAAACAGGACTCAATGGATCGCCTCATGAAAGATCTTGCCGTTGATCGTGCCGCAAATCCCAGGGCAGCCGCAGAAGACCGCTGGGCATCTGACGAGGAGGATGTCGACGATGACGAAGAGCTGGAAGTCAACCTCATCGATCGGAGTGAGTGGCTTGCCAATCCTTTTGTTCGACTTCTGAAACATTTTACTAGGCGAAGAACCATATCCTGGCCAATACATTGATGTCACACGTATGCGACGACAAAGTGAAAATATAAATTGGCCGAACCCGGGATGAAATTCATCACACGTTTTCATTCGACGTTAACATGATGTACTCTACCATTCGTAAGTAGAAGGAGAACCCCGTAATATTTAGATTATTACTATCAATTTCGTGCACAGCACTGATAAGCATTATCAAATGAACGCGCCAACATTACAACGGGCAAGATGAAAGATTTGTGTGATAACACGATGGTTCATCGATCAAGAGAGGTCTTCGCGTTATACCACAATTCAACCGGTTGCTTATTGACGACGGCTGTGACACCCGACGGGGACTTACATTCCACGGAATAACCAGTTTGCTTTGGCCCGCTCTGACTTCGCTGGCTCTTGTCATCGATACCACCAAGCTGGACGGCATAGACCTCAAACTCCCCGGCGGTGGAATCTGCAACAAGAATCTCCAATCCTTCGTCCTTGGCAATTCACCCATCGAGTCCCCAGTAAACCTTACTCTCATCCTCAGCGGTCTCTTTCCTTACCTCGAGGCGGCAGGTTACACAAGATTGGCAACGTGACTTATTTAACAATCGGAGTCAGTTAATATCTTTCTTGGAGGCTCCAGCGTTGTGAAGAAGCGGTGTATTGAAGCATGATGAAGTCAGTTAGATACGATTTAATCATAACCTATATTTTTAAACTACGCGCGAACGTGTCATTAGATAGACTGGGACAATCCAGAGCCACTGATAATATGTCTACAATGATGAATAAAGGGAAAAATGGGAGAAACAAATAGGACCTAATCGTCGTTGTCGTCGACAGCAGCAGCCGACGGTGAATCCGGCCATTCAATAGGCTCGTCGTCCATGTCTAGAGGCTGAGTGTCCATCTGTACATCTGACGGGTCGGGGTGAGCTTGGCTGTCTACTAGCGTGGCATCCTGAGTTTCTATATCCATGGCTTGGGAGTCTGCCGAAGGGCTTTGCTTTGCCTGTTCAGCCTCGGGCGCAGCATCGATTTTTTTCTTTGCTCGCTTTTCCTTTTCCGCAGGAGGTTTCGAAGGCAAGCCAAAGAGCGTAGTCTGTTTTGAGAGGTCCTTCTTATCCTTTTCTTTTTCCTTGCCTTTAGCAGCAGCCGGACCTGTTGATCACGATTAAACGATCACGAAGGGAAGACAGAAAACAGTGTTTCATCATTGCTCACATTTTTCTGCGACCTCGACCTTGTTGAAAAAGCTCTCGCTCTTCTGGATAGACTTGTTGAGCTCGGATTTTCTTGCAAAAGGATTCTTCTTGACTTCTTGCCCAGTCTTCCGAGAAAATGGGTTGTCTGCCATAAATGATCAAAATTTACGCGGGCCCGGGTTGAATAGCTATGCACGCACTAGGCTTGGGCGATGGCACCACGGCATCAGACTCACAAACGGCTCGCCTCTTTACCTCGACGTCGAACGCGTTAGATGAGAGGTCGTCGTCGTTGTCATCACGTTTCCTCTTTCCCTCGGGAGACGTTGAACGAGAAGCAGGAGCCTGTGGCGCTCGCGAGCGACCCGCTCTGATCGCGAGATTAGACGCAGTGAACTCCGTTTGCTCGACGATCCCGGTAGATCGTGTCAGACCAGGTCTGTCGACCTTGGGTGGCGGATTGAAGTTCTGGAAAGGCTTTGGTCGAGCCAACGGAGCATCCTCATAGGCGAATCCTTGTCTCGCCTCCCTCGCCTCTTCTGCCGGTGTTGCGTTCTGTTCCCGCCACAATTTGATTGCTTCTATCTTCTCCTGCAGTCCAATGAGACGGTAGAACCCTGCAAGCTGACTTGCAGCCGCGATTGAGTTTGGAAAATGTAGCCGTTTGACGAGCTCAATCACACGCGGGGCCTTGTCCGCCTTGCAAGAAGCTTGGATGAGCTTGAGCAATTGTTTGTCTAGTTCGACTTCGCGTTTATCGATGTCAGAAGACGTTAGTTCGTCACCGAGGGCATCACGAGCAAGGTTAACGTGAATTCGTTCCCGAGCGATGCTAATAGTTCGTTGTTCAGCAGGTATCATAAAAGCAGAGAAAGTGCATACCGCTCTTCAATAGGTGAATCTACAGGGTCTTGATTGCGGAATGGTAAGCGGACCGGAAGCTCTTGTATGAGAGGTCGAGGGAAGCCAGGGTGGTCTTGACGACCCTTGAAATGGAGTCAGTAGCGATGGGGGTGTCGAAGGCTAAGCCACCTACTTTGAGAATCAGACACATGAACGTGTCTTGACTCAGGCCGACAGGCCAATATGACTCATCCTTGCCCTGCTTGCGTTCTAGCAAATTGGTGTCCATGAGGCGCGCCCACGCCGCACGATTCGGGCGTCGGTGATGGATCATAAGGTGTATGTAGCCGGCAGAATCATATATTGCTGGGGCCTAGCAAACCAATTGAGAACAGAGTGCCAACGATGATATTCACGTACCCCTTCATCTGTGGTTCCGATCCACCTCAAAGTGTGACCTTTGGGTATCGGTAGTGGCTTCTCTTGAAGAACTTGAAAGTCTTCAAATGAAATAAGCGTGGCGACCAAACTTTGGGATCCTAGAGAAATCTTTCAACATTTATGTTATTGAACGGGTTAAGGGCGTTACCATCAATGGTAGTCGCGCCAGGTCGGTGCACCACAAGTACATATTCCTCAGCAGCAGCCATTGTCACATATTCACCTTCCACGCCGAGGACAATTCTTTCCATACCAGAGCCGCTCAAGAACGTCAGGTCTCCCGAACTGGTTGCGATCACGATGTTCCCTTGTCCCTGAATGTCACCTCCAGACGACGAAGGATCTCTCAGGGACCGCATTGGTCTCTCACCACCTGCTGCGAGGCCAAGGACACGTTGACCCTTTGGGAGGGCGTATGTCCAATCCCCTTGCGTGGACCAAGTACCGTAAGGTTTATATATAACTTGTGCCACGTGATCAAGCTCAGGAGGACAAGCAAAGAGTGCACCGCGTTCACCTGTGAGGACGTCAGACTTGCTTGTGAAAATTGCAAGAGGCTAACCAAGAGAGCCAAGGTCATATTTGAAGTGATCGGTAAAGTGGTACCCCTTGCGGGTTGATCGGTCGTGGAATTCAACATTGACGATGTGATGAGTATCCTGATCTGTCACCTCAATGACACCAACCATATTGTACGCTATGCTGAAATAAGTATGAGCTGTGACATGTCAAGAGAAGTCTCTTACCGAGGTAACGCTTTTTATTTTCCATAGGCGTTGACCCTGGTTGGAAAGCAGGTTGAGCCTTCGTGATGCTCACTAAAATACCGTTGAATCATTGTCAACATTTACCCAGTGATCTTAACTCACCCATCTCCTTCACGAATCCGTCACCTGCACGTATCGCTTTTGCACCTTCAGGCTCATCTTCCATCCCATCACCAAGGTCGTCAATGATCCAGTCGTCGCCATATGGGTCACCCCCTTCCGCACCAGCATCAGGTTCTTCACCCCACAAGGGGGGAGTGGACTTTCGCTTTGTCGTCGTCCCTTGAGCGCTGCTTGCAGCCGTTTGGCGCACGGGATCAGGTGAGCCTGCTGGAATTGCATCCCGCCACCGAGAAAGGACACCTTCTGTATCTGTCCATGCCAAGAGGTTTTCTGTGGGTGAGAAGGCGATTTGAATGGTGAATGCATTTTGGGTGCCCGGGTACCTGCAACGAGTTGTGAGTAAGGAAGAAAAGACAGCTACAAAAGCTTACTTCCAAAGCACTCGCTTCGTCTGCACACTCCAAACCAATATCTCTTGCTTGCAAGCGCTGGCAAGGTATACGCCATTGGCTGAAAGCGCTAGTGCCGTCGTTACGCCGATGGTATTTGGATCAGACAGAGATGAAGATTTGGTCCATGTGCTCCGCGAAATCGCGACGATTTCTATGCAATAATGAGTGAGTGTGGTTTCAATGCTCTGACCACTTACCATGCGTTCGTGACGCTGCAAAGAAATACTGTCCTGACGGGTGCCAAACCGCAGAACAATCGTGCATGAATTCCGGAGACCTTACGGAGAGTCAGTAAAATGTCTCTGCAAATGATCTGAATAGTCTTTACTCCGGATCTACCACTTCGGGGATTACGCCATCAATAACGTTCTCCACCTTGGCTTCAGTATCGGATACATTCCATGCCACTATGGTCCCATCTGAGCTACTTGTCGTCTGAGGAATGGAAGACCATGAATATAACAGTAGTATGGATATTATTGATGCTCGTACCAAAATGGAGCCCGATGGATGCCACGTCGTCTTTCGTATACGTTTCTTATGCCCTCCTTCCAGTATCACCACATTCGTTATTTCATCCAAATCAATAATTTTCACCGAAAGTTCGCTAAAGTGCACGAGAGCAGTCAGTACACAGAACAGCTAACGCATGCAGAAACGCACTCAGAAGCGACAGCAACGCGCTTTCCAGAGGGATCCACTGCTAAACACCTGATCGATGCTCCAGCAGCGCTCGTCACGAGTCCATTAAACTGCGCCTTTCCAGGAATGTACTTTCGCACGTCAGAGTCATGGCCTCCAGAGAGCCAGCAGCCTTCCTGTTTTCCGTTGTCAGCTCAGACGAATGTAGGATACATGAAGAGCCACGCACGGCAGCGGCGACCGCCGTGATACCCTCATCAGCTTCATATGCGGCTTCCGGTTCTTGGTCCTCCCCTTGGTCGGTGTGCCATATTCGTACTAGGGTATCTAGGCCTCCCGTGTACGCAATCCTAGGGAAAGAGAGTGGGTCGGCAGCTGCTCTCTGATCTAAAACCGACTACTTACTTCCCATCTCGCGAGAATGCGATGCACGTCTGCCCTTGCTGATGGGCTGAGTTACTGATCGCCTTAGAAGTGCTTGCCATCGTCGCTGGTCAAGGATTCAAAGTACAGGATATTGGACAACGCTTCACGACTTCCTTGTGCGAGCACGTGACGCGTTCGCGATGGTCACAATCACGTGAAGGTATGACACTGATGCTTTTAATGTCACGGTCATCACCTTGTGGTGGATTTCTACTGTACATAACCCTGTTAGCGCATAGCACCAGTCTCGATTAATAGTAACATAGCAAACACATGATTATTATACAACGAGTACGAAGTAAATGCTGCCATATAACTGGCCGCGGCATAGGCGATTTAAACAGGAGTCAATTATCGCCTAAAACACCGCGTCCTTACAATGCGAAAACCACCAAGTAAGTGATTAACCAGCTTCCATTGCTCCATCTCCCATGGTTTATCGGACAATGCATCCAATGGGCCACCAATCCAAAGGGTAAGATTCACCTCTGGCAGGTTGGGCAAAAGACTGCTGAGGACAAGAGCCACGTCCAGTGGAGAGCCAATTAACGAGTTACCGAGGACAAGCTCTTGTAGACCGTTTTACGAATACCATTCCCGGGAGATTTGACATCTATGCCATCAAGCTGTGTGGTATCGATGACAAGAGATAGGGATACTAATTCAGGGCAAAGCCGAAGCACATTAATTAGCCCATGGAAGGTAGGCAGCACAGGACTAGCGGGGTCGCGATAACACCCGAGTCTGAATATTTTGAGCTTCGGCCATGCTTTTACCAACTCGCTCAGTTCGTCATCGGATATTGAGATGGTACATGCTGCCTCGACGTCGAAATGGGTCAAATTGCGAAGAAGGCGCAGAGGACCAAAGTCGCCTGGTTGGGCGTATACATTGTGGAAGGCGTTGTAAAATTGTTCGCAGAGTGTTATGGCCTCGAGAGTGTCGTTGTCGCATCGTTCTAGGAGCATGGCGCAGAACCCGGACATAGAATCGGATTGCTGTCCAAATACGTTAGAGGAAAAGACGGCCGTAATATGTTTGCTCCGGACAGTCCGAAGAGAACGTAAAAAGGCTGTCATATGGCTGAGTCTGGTAGCTTGAAGACCCAAGAGTTCTAAATGTTCCAGACCAAGTGACTGCGGTGGCAACCCCGTGCGTCGGAGAAAAGATGGCCCTATGTAAAGCCAAAGTGTCTTCAGAGACTGTAGCTGTGTAACGTGTACCATCCCTGGATCTTCTAGCTCGCATACGGTCAAAGCAGAGAGATGATGGAGCTGACATGTCGCCTGTGTCAGGAAGGGCGCAATCTCACGGTTCAATGTCGGGTCGTCTACTTGAGGTCGGAAGGAGGTAACATTAGGACATGTGGTCCCGATAGTGGACAAGATGGACATCAAGGCGGGCGAAATCGAGGTGATTCGTAGATCCAAGGAAACCAAGGAAGGCACAAATGCCATACGCAAGAACTCGATGACGAGGTGGGTTTGATCGACATTCCAAGCCAAGGATCGAAGATTTGGAAACATGGTCGAAGATGGATAAGGGTAAGACAACATTATTATACGAATATGTTCAATGATGGGGGATGGATCTCCAGATTGTGTGATCGAATGCACGCGGGATGCGTATTTACGAAAAGTGACCCAGGCCTTGGTGTCGATGGGCCTGAGTAGTATCTGCACAAAATAATGAGTGAGATATCGCGCGAATATGAAATCCTTACTAATTCTCCTTGGAAACTGATGCCCCAAACATGCATTGGTATACAGTTGACCAACGGCTCTAAGGATGGTAAATTCCTCCATAAGGCGTCAAGTGCTGGACCTTCAAGTATGCGACACGTCAACGCAAGGCCAGGAAGTGAGCTGCGATCAACGTGCCAGCTGATCTGGTCTATAATTTCGGCAATGCGCAGAGCTTGATGCATGAGATTGAAATCGCAAATACGAGATTCAAGGGTGTGATGAAAAAAAGGAGCTCCGGTACGTGACTGAGATGGGGCACTCGGTGTGATACCTCTATAAAGGCCCATGAAGCTGTGGTGAATTCCAATAGTATAGATACTTACAGGAAGCAGCAAATGCCGATCGATGAGGCAATGTTGAGTCCATTTAAGCTTAAGGGCAGTGACATATGCCTGTTGAAGTGAAGAGGCGGGATGTATTGCATTGATCTCGAACAGCCGCATGGTGGCGGACAGAGGTGGGCAGCACACTTGGAGCTACAGCATGAGGCATGGAAGACTGAGTCGCCACGTCAAGGTTTTTGTATCTCAAGTTAGGCACTCTTGCCTAGGACGACCTTAAAGTAACAATTGTTGAGGACAATGGGATTATTGTGGCGGAGGTGTATTTGTACATATTTACCAGGTGATATGATTGATTCGATGGATGGGATTAGCCACGGTTCATTTTGTATTTTGTTGTATCTTTTGAATAAGTGCTTTCTTCTGCCATTCTATCATCTCACTAAAGCCTTCTACTTAAACACTAGCGACACCCCTTTTACCCGATTTTTTATCATTCTTCTCTTATCTTTATATCAACCCTTTCGTATTCCCAACATGTCTTTCGCCGAAGTTGGTTCCGATTCCCTTAGGCCGATTCTTCTACGCTCGAGCACACCAGGTATGTGCATTTCTTCATTTTTTATTTATTTCTACAGCTCACAAGTTCATTCCGTTTGATTTATTTTCCGCAGCTCCCAATGAGAAAGGTCAGCCCTTCGCTTCAATATTTACAACCACCAAACTCATCCAGGGTCATATTTTGTAGTCCTGCTATACCTAGAGGGTATGCAAAGAGAGTCTATGGGTCTCGGATCTCCTACTTCTACTCTCATGCGCAATGGCCTTCCGTCTACAAGGCGCAGTGCCTTTGGTGATGACGACGGCGCCTCCGATCTAAACTCAAATGTTCAGGATGGTCGAAAGACTGAGATGTCCATCAATGCTCATTCTGCATTCGTGAGTACCAATCGCCTTTAAAATTTTGGATTTTTGTCCGGCTTTCCCATGGTGTTAAACGACCTACTGTCAGCACGAACCTGGTCCTCAGGATCCCCCAGGTCCACGTTATGAGTCATTTGATTCTGGTCCTTCGTTTGGCAATAAAGGCCCTTTGCCTGACTTTGGGCCCAGTAGCGGGGCACCTCCCTGGAATACTTGGGAGGTACGTCGCCATCGGGCTCACATAATCATATCTCCAGTTCTACCCTTGAACTCATTCTATTCAGCATTCTACAGTGGCTGGTGCCGCAAGAGTACCTCTCCCAAACTCTGTCACCTCCCCGACCACTTTCAACATCAACATCGAACCTCCATCCACACCCAGCGGTTCAAAGTCGCGCAAGTCCACTTCTCAAGCCAGTGGTGCCCCTTCAAAATCACGCAAGTCAGCTGCTTCCGTAGTTGAAAGCGATTCACGGGATACCGTTAGAGGCGTACGTCTTTTAGTGTCGTCAACCGTACAAGTAATTGACGGAGATGTTATAGCACCACAATACTCCAAGCAAGGCGCATACAGCACACAGCGCAGCACCTGATGAAATTCCCTTGTCCCCTCGTCGATCACGAGCCGGATCAAGATCACAAGTCCCTCCCGAATACCCCCCTTTACCTCCCAGCACATTGCTAAGTCCGTCAGGCCGAACCAGTCATCTTCCTCTCTCCCCACGATCGCACCGCCATGCACCAAGCGTGTCACCATCTGACTCTCCCAGTCAAGCCCCACTCAAGGCTGCTAGGATGGCAGAGAGGGAACTACGGGAAAAGGAGAAGATGCGCTCAGTTGTGAGTGGCGGCCCCATGAGTGACGTCGATGGAGCCGCATCGAAACGTGGAGGTCCACTGAGCGCTGCTGGCAGCCCAATGTCTCCCTCGCATCATAACCGCCCATTCTCCCCTTATCGTCATGCCGCCACCCAAGAACCCTTACTATTTACTACAACAATGCAAGTCCAAAGGCAGACATCTTCACAGTCGAACGCATTGTCTCAGTTGAACGTGAATACATCTCAGCTGGACGGTGGTGGAGGCGGCAGTAAACTATCTCATGTGTCGCACCATTCCCATCACAGTCATCAATCCCATGTCTCGCATCAGTCGCATCATTCACATCACACTCATCAATCGCAGTCGCGTGCGCGCTCGCCGGCACGCGTGGAAGAAGATGGCAGAGCGACGCCCACACCCTCTCGTCCACATTCTCCGTCATTATCCCTGAATCAGGCTGAGGAGGAGATGGTGGCAAAGGCATTGGCTGAATGTGGCGCTGGTAATCGCACTTCGTACGCTCCTAGTACTCTCGAACCAGAAATCATTGACTCCCACTTCCACGATATGGACCTTTGCATCTTGCTTCATCAAATGGACGATAACACGACCCATGAAGTGGTGAAGAAGGCGCTGCGGAAAGCATTGAGGCAGCGCGTCAAGAAGCTGGGCATGAAATACGACCAAGATGTGCGCTCAACTGGTTATCTCTTTTGTTAAATGATATCTTACATCATAGCAGTCCATGCGACAGTACAGGAAGTCATTCCATGATCATGATCCTAGCGTCCATCTGGATGCGGGTTTCCAGCCAAACACAGTAAGTTGCTCTAATTGCTTGCGACGTTTGAATCTGATACTAACTCTGCAACAGCAAGAGCCACCTGAATGGGCCAAAGAGCTTATGAGCGGAATGATAAGAGTCCAGGAGCGTCTTGAAACTCTCAGCCCTCAGTCATTGAATGCGCCCATGCCACCTCGCAGCCAACAATCATATGCCGAGTCTGCTGCTTCTCGAGACCAATACAGAGGGGAGACGGAATATTCAGAAAACATGGATCAGTACGGTCAAACCCCGCGGACCCAAACCGTGAACATCAACACGCAACCCACCGGCACGATTCCAGAGTCGATGTACCAAAATGAAACCGGTATCATCGGTACGTTTTCTCTTTACGCAGTCGAGATGAATATCCTGATGAATTGTAGTTGAAGAAGATGACGAAATTTATGGTGATCACACAGAACTTGAGCAACGGTTCGGCGCTACTACGATCACTGAGACACGGGGAGGCATAAGCGAGTTTTTGAGTGGCGATCGAGACGACTCCCCAGGTCAGCAGTTCTTGGAGGAGGAGCTGTACAAGTTGCGTGTGAAGCCTGGAGGAAGCCAGTCGGCCATTACGCACAAGACTTGGGAAGTCGCGAGAGATGACCAGGACGAGTTCGAGGAGGGTCATGGAGCGTTCACTGAGTCTGGTCTACCCGAAATTCCGGACTCGGGCAACTACACCGAGCGCCGTCAGCCCTCCCCGCCTCTACCGCCAATTCCCGGACAAGAGATCAGTCGACGCGAGATGATGCCTTCTCAGAACTCGCAAATTCGGAATCCTGGTCATGACTACGGCGAACTCGGTCCCCCACCATGGCAGCGCATCCATCAGCGCCTCCTTAATTGGGCTATCATATGGCCAATGAGCGAGATTGATGGAGCGCTCAACAGCACAACTCGAGGACAGCAGGTGGATGAAGTCGCGCTGAGCATTTGGTCAACGCAGACGTACAAGCGATACGTGAGAAGCCGCATGACAGATACTCCGGGTGGGCGTGTGGACAGGCTTTTCGTTCCTCCAAATATGGCAGATGCGATCAGCACTGCTGTGTTCAATGGCCGGCACGGAGATGCGTGTGGAATGCTGAGGGATCTATGGTCGCCTTTTGGTTTCGAAGGTGCTCCGCGATTGATCGTTGTACTTGCGAAACATCGGTCGGATGCAGGTCATTGGGTCGTCCACAGGTTGGTCGATTGGTTTTACTCCTTTGCGCTATTTGACGAGTCTTTTTACTAGATTCTCACTCCCTGATGGTGCACTCACGACATACGACTCGTATCCTGAGCGAACTCTTCCCGATGGACGGGTGAGTAACCTGATATCTTATGTGCTTAACAAGTACTGAATTCTCACAGCCTCTTGGTTGGTGGTTTGCCATCCGAGTAGCATGGCCCGGTGCCATTTATGCAAACCCAGACCACCTCATGCAAAAGATGGTTCGCCTGCACCGTCCGATGCAGCTCAACATCGACAACTCCGTCGCCGCAGCTGGTATCTGGCGAAACGTGCTCATGGGCTCTCGCGCGGAACGCAGTCTTGACCTGGAACGTCTCCGGGATTTGATCAATACAGAGGTGAAGAATTTGAGGCAGCGCAAACAGCAGGGGAAGTTGTCGATCAGCTCGCCTAAAGCGAATTGGGAGGATGTTTAGTTTTGGTTGCTTAGATTAGATTACATGTGCTGGACTCGGTCGATTGTTTGGTTAGTTATGGTTGTGCTGGATCTGTTATGTGTACTGTATCGTAGGATAGGTGCAGCAAGGACTTGTTTTTCTGTATTCCTTCAGTGCTTATTGTAATTTTTGACTTTGGTGGTCGGGAAATTTGTTTGTAACACTGAACATTTAGATCATCTAAAATATTTTGCGGACCTTGGTATACGCGTAAGGCTACACAACTGATTCATTCATGTCCCCCGGGTAAGTAATATGAATATGTAGTTGTTTTCCTGACTGTGACGACTCCTTATATATATTGCGCCTGATCCAAAGTCAATAACAGTCAGGCACCATAAATATTAGATAAATGGTCAAGAGCTTCACCTTGTCACAGTCATCATTTTGAGTTTGTCTACGAACGAGGGCATGCATACAAAGATGAACGTGTATGAACACGCATGTCTTGTTCATGTGCAGTACGATGCAGAGGCTGCGAGATATGGTGTCCTGCAATACAGACATTCAATGAACATGTGGACCATGAGTAAGAATCCTCGCACGCGATATGGATCAAAGACTCATGATAGTCTCGGTGAGAGCCTTGACATGATCTATTTCATCTTGAGGCCGATCGGAGTGCGAGGTTGTAGGTCTCCCGATGGCCTAGAAAATATGTTCGTAAGCATTGCGAGAAACCAACTCTAATTCACATGATTTCAATCATGAAAAAAAGACGGAGTCACGGTCCCCGTGGTCTGATCACTGAGGGATTAGATTCCAACGCACCTCGTACAATGTTCGAGCATTCGAATCAAGAATATGTCTAGCTTGGTCGACCTGTTCCCTAGAACGCTGCTTTTGCTTCTTCTTTGAAGAAGATTTGGCTGCGCTCCTGCGGATTTCCTGGGGACCAAGAACTGCGCGTTTATTTTGAGTTTTGCCAGTCTTACCCATGCCTTCGAGATGCTAGTGCAAAAATCAAACAAAGTCGCCGCTTACGTCAGTATCTTTCCTCGTCTAACTTTGAATCTGATTTTCTAACCCAGCTTTCTCTGTTACTAGGTTGAGAAATTCACCATTTCTTCTGCTTTTCCTGTGACCTTAAGTCTGGCTATATCGTGAACCTTGAGACTGTTCTGGATTGCCACATCATCAACTTGGACGCAGACGTTAAAGGGCGAGCAAAGTTATGGCAGACTCACCAACTCTGAGTGTCACGCTCCTTGGTGCAGGTCAAGAGGTGGGAAGATCCTGCTGCGTGCTGCAGTACAGGGGGAAAACCATTGTCTGTGACACAGGAGTGCACCCTGCGTACAGCGGTATGGCTTCGCTCCCATTTGTGGATGAACTTGATTGGAGCACGGTAGACGCGATTTTGATCACTCAGTGCGCGATACGTCCCCTAGAATTATTTTGACAACTTAATTCGATCTTCAGCTTTCACCTTGATCATGCTGCTGCCCTGACTTACATCATGGAAAAGGCAGGCTATATTTTATTTCTGGCCGACTCAGACTTGACCGGATATGTTAGACCAACTTTAGGGATGGTAAGGGTAAGGTGTACATGACGCATCCTACGAAAGCTGTGCACAAGTTCATGATGCAAGATTTTGTTCGAACGAGGTATGTTCGGCACTGATGCGAAAACAACTGATCCAATAAACAACGACAGTTCGTCGTCCTCCGATGCCCTATTCACTCCCCTTGAAATGAACATGTCGCTGTCGTCGATTATCCCGGTCTCTGCACATCAATTGATTACACCTTGTCCTGGAGTTTCGTTCATTCCTTATCATGCAGGCCATGTATTGGGTGCATGCATGTTTCTCATTGATATAGCTGGCCTCAAGATTCTGTACACAGGGGACTATTCTCGCGAAGAAGACCGACATCTTGTCAAGGCAGAAGTTCCCCCTGTTCGGCCGGATGTCCTCATTGTCGAAAGTACATACGGCGTTCAGAGCTTAGAAGGTCGCGATGAGAAGGAGCTGCGTTTTACGAGTCTCGTTCACTCAATTATTAGGCGTGGAGGACACGTCCTTCTACCCACTTTTGCTCTTGGACGAGCTCAGGAACTTCTTCTTATCCTCGATGAATATTGGAAGAAGCATCCAGACCTGCACAACGTGCCCATTTACTATGCTTCTAACCTGGCACGCAAATGCATGGCTGTATATCAGACGTACATACATACAATGAACTCGAACATTCGCTCGAGGTTCGCGAAGCGAGACAATCCATTTGTATTCAAGTGCGTGGAACGTTAACACGCTTTCGGAAGTTATCCTGACCGCCTCTGTTTTAGGCATATATCTAATCTTCCACAACCACGCGGCTGGGAACGGAAAATCGCGGATGGCCCACCATGCGTTGTATTGGCAAGTCCAGGTTTTCTTCAAACTGGACCCAGTCGTGAATTACTCGAACTTTGGGCGCCTGACTCTCGAAATGGACTCATTATTACTGGATACTCTATCGAAGGAACACTGGCTCGGGTGAGTTGTCTTATGTGTAAAATTGTACCGCGATTTGCGTGTCTCCTAATGACAAATTCGTTTTCCGCACCTCATACTTGAGTGACAAGATCTGAACTTTTTTCAAATCAGGACATCATGACTGAACCAGATGAGATTATTGGACTGAAGGGCAACACTATCCCGCGAAAAATATCAGTCGACTATCTTTCTTTTAGTGCGCACGTGGACTACTCTCAGAATTCCGAATTCATCGAGCTGGTGAAGGCTCAACATGTGGTAAGTGCCCGTACAAATTTGACGTCGCCTTACTCAAGTCCTATTACCAAAGGTTCTAGTTCACGGGGAGCAAACAGCAATGGGGCGTCTCAAAGCAGCCATGACTGCAAAATTCAAGGATCGCGATGAGGATGTGAAGATCCACACCCCTCGTAACCTTGAAACTCTCGAGCTATCCTTCCGCGGGGAACGTGTGGCAAAGGTCTCGAGGTTTAATCTTGAATGATGCGGATTAATTAACGCAATTGCATCTAGGCGATTGGTACTCTGGCTAGTAAGGCTCCTCAAGAAAACGACATCATATCAGGATTGCTTGTTTCCAAGGATTATTCTTATACCCTTCTCGATCCGCGTGATTTGAAAGACTTCGCTGGGTTATCGACTTGCACTGTCACTCAGCGACAGAAGGTAGTCCTTGGCGTGGGCTGGGACCTTGTGCGGTGGCATCTGGAAGGAATGTACGGTAGTGTTGAAGAGGGTTTGGACAAAGATGGCGTGAAGGTGATTCGGGTAAGAGATATCTGATTCAAAGTAGATGGAGATGATCCACTGATAGGTCTGAACAGGTTATGGGTGCTGTCGACGTCAAACACACTGCAGAACACGAACTCACGCTTGAGTGGGACTCGACCGCAAGTAACGACATGATTGCCGATTCTGTTTTAGCTCTTATTACGGGCATTGACAAAAGTCCTGCCTCTGTAAAATGTGGGTGATGCATTGCATAATTTATCATGGACGTTGTTAAGTTTATTTAGTAACCTCACAGCAACATTCACATACTCATCACCCTCACTCGGACCATCATGAAGGTGATCAGTCTATCACTAGAATCCAGCGGATTGCATGGTTCTTGGATGCACATTTCGGTGATGTGGAGCTGCACATGCCCGAAGCAGGTGGTGAACAAGACCAAGACCAAGAACAGGGCGACAAGAGCGAACCAGCATTGATCGTGCGGATGGATGACTCAGGAGAAGCTGATGCACACATAAATCTAGTAACCTTGGTACGTATTGACGTTGACGTACCCACCACCCTGCTCAATTGACCCATTGTAGGTGGTGTCGTGTCCAAGCGACACCATGCGTAAGCGTGTTGAAGCAGTATTGGACATGGCTATAACTACAGTGAGCTCCCTCGCGGAATCTTTCGCCACCGGGGTCAGTATGTCCCCTGAAGACACGGACCCGAGGCAAGAAAAATCCACCTCACCCGAACATACGGATACGAAAAGTCTAGAGGATACGATGACTACCAGTGAAGCTGATATTGCTTCATGATGATTGTAATTTCGTCTACTGTAGCCTGTCTTTGTAGTGCCGAATATTTATTAATGATGTTATACTGCTACATGAGCTCAATAATATGCCACCATGCAGCGACCGAAGCCAAAAGCCCAAGCTGAAAGGCAGTAAGTAGCAAGTGCTTCATGGTTTTGTCACTCTTGAATTATGCTTACTCTGAGTCTGACTGCTAATTATACTGCACTAGCAACAAGATGATGGATTACTTATCCTTCTAGTTACACGGTGATCTCCCATTCAGCAAACACGATGTTTATTTTCAGCGGTACGCAGCAGTACGCAGCAATAGTCTGCTAAGCACATCCGCCGGCCGCGGCCCGGGGGAATAAGTTCAAGCCGAGATAACAAAGAATCTTGCTCTTCCCAAACCAGGATATCTCGCAGGTCCCATGGACAATTTGCCGCTATTATACCGCTGATAACGTTCCGATGGCATTAATTTATAAGGCGGTAGTTCTGAGCTCTCAGAATATCGTCTTCGCCCCCAACCCAACCAATAGCGATTATGTCGACTACACAGAAGAGGATGCCTTATGGTATGTTATTGGTTGTTCGTTTAGCGATGCTACTAATAGACCGCCTACTATGAAGTTCGCCTAGGCAACTCTGGGCTCAAAGTTTCCAAGATCATTCTGGGAACAATGCAGTATGGTGTGTAGAGCGTTTACTCGCGCACATGACTAAAGTCGCCTGATTCTTCAATATAGGTACCAGCGAGTGGCAAGATTGGGTTCTTGGAGAGGAAGAAGCTCTTGTCCACATCAAGGCTGCGTGAGTGCTATTGTCGCGTAACTTCGATGCCAAAGCGCGTTTTTACCATCAATATTGAAGTTATGACGCGGGCATCAACACCTTTGACACGGCGGATGTAAGATAGAACACCTCTTCACCTGGCATGAACTACTTATTGATATGATTAGATGTACTCCAATGGACTTTCTGAGGTCGTACTTGGAAATGTCATCAAAAAGCTCGACTTACCGCGGGATGAGATTGTAGTCATGACCAAGGTCAGACCTGCAATGTATTGGTTGTTTACAGGTCTTAACAAATAAACATCTAGGTCTATAATGTTGTTGGCCACACTCCGGGTGAAAAGGTCTTCAGGTCGGCTGCACATCCTGATCAACTAGGCTATGTTAATCAAAGGGGTTTGAGTCGCAAGGTGTGTTGGCTCCTGTGGATTTGTTCAAACTGTTGTACTATCTGATCTTACACAAATAGCACATTTTCGCATCCATCAAGAAGAGTCTAGAGCGCTTGCAACTTGATTATGTTGATGTTCTGCAGTGTTCGTCTTGACCCAGTGTTGGGCTAAAGATTCGAGATTGATTGATTTTCAGGTCATCGCTTTGACACAGAGACGCCGATTGAAGAGACGGTATGTCAGCGCCATGCCTTTTCAGCGTCTATTGACCGACCTGTATCATACTTAGATGCAAGCCCTCCATGACGTCGTGCAGGCTGGCTATGTCCGGTACATTGGCATGTCTTCATGTTGGGCTTACCAATGTACGTCTTGACATCTATTCTATGCATGTTTCCGGTCTCACAATACATCTTCAGTCCAAGCAATGCAAAGTGAGATCATAACTTTGGTGTGAGCGAGTCGAAATCTAACAGCATGTATCTGTTTAGATTATGCGATCACAAACCACCTCACACCTTTCATTTCTATGCAGAATCACCACAGTTTGATCTATCGCGAAGAGGAACGAGAAATGTTCCCCACACTCAAGGTTTGTTTTGTTTGTCTTTGTCTCTTCCTTGTCTCCTGATTATCATAATAGATGTTTGGCGTTGGATGCATCCCTTGGTCACCACTTGCCCGAGGACTACTCACCCGCCCTCTTGGCCAGCAGACAATTCGTGGAAAGACTGACTTGTTAGTTGTCATCATCTGGATCTAACCATGAGTCATTCATAAAAAATAACGTATAGGGCCATCAACTCATACGTCCAACATGAGTCTGACAAAGACATTATGAACCGGTGAGAATGGCGTCACCCCTCGATCTAGCGGATTCTGAAGCGATACGCATAGCCTCGAGGAAGTTGCGAAGAAGAAAGGTGCAAGCATGGCGCAAATAGCTCTTGCTTGGTCGATGGCACAAGACGCTGTCACGGCGCCAATCGTTGGGACAACGTCTCTTAAGAACCTGCAGGATCTTCTCGGTAAGTGTTGCAATCAAAGAGCAGACATCTTGATATGATTCTTCTTTAGGCGCCGTCAATATCACTCTTACCGCAGAAGAACTTAAGTACTTAGAGGAGCCTTATCAACCAAAGTCTGTCGTTGGTCACAAATAATTTTCTTCCGACAACGAAGCCGTGACTGGTTCGAAAAGAACATGTTGTGGTTAGTAGATCACGTTTGTAACCAGAACTGTACGAGGCTAATACTGTATGTATATATACAATGTTACGTAGTGGCTTCTGCGTTGATCAAATGACTCGGAATATAACCGCACCGTGATGCAACATATTCGTGCCCACGAATGGGGGGCGCCGATCAATATTTGCAGGGTTGCGTGGTATTTGCCATTCTTAATTTGTCAATGCCTGTTTTTCTTCTCCCCCTATGAACCAATCTAGCAGCTGACGTGGCTAGAAGACAGCAAACGGCTTGTGCATTTCAGGACTCTGGGACAGCTGCATCACTTAACGCATTAATACAACCACGTCTATTCGCAAACACTCGGATCCAGCTCTTGGTCTGGCCTTGCCATTGTTAATAACTTATCAGCTTACTCTACGAAACGTGCCTATCGCTACTTTGCCGAGTTGGAATACATCAGTTCCACCCCGTTCTATTAGTGTTTCGTTATTTTTTTAAAAAAGGTTGGTTATTTTATACATTAACCTGACTTATGCCCTTCACAGAAGCATTAGCAGACATCGTGTCACACTTCACGTGTGCATAACGGGCGCCATCTACTATTGGATACATGATGCCTATGCTATCAGCCTCGTCGCACTATGGTCATCACCGACATCCGAACTACCTAGGTTCTGATCAGTGACTATGTTGAGACAGGATTGCCAAGTCATGGCGTTCTCAAGCAACCCTGAATTACTATTTGTCTATGGTACCACGCCCGCTCGAGCTTTGCTGAATTTTCGAATCTAGCACATCTGATTTCACCCGTGTTCACTGCTATATGAAACGTAGTACAGTCAACACTGTTACACTTGCAGTCCCAAGAACTGAAGCAACCTGGTTGCGGTCCGCAACGGCCCTAGGCTACTTTAATGTTTAAATATTGCTCGTTTGTCATTTTTTTCTGAGTGTTTCTTCGCACTCGGCTGCCGTTTGTTCTCTTATTAACCGGTGTAACTTGCAGGAATGAATATCAAGTGACTACCAGCTGTGGAATTCGGAAGCAAGGTCCGACGACATGGAAGTACTAATGTGACAACTGCTGAATTGTGTCAGAAAAGCAACGGGCTTGTCAGGCATGTTGGCCTTTCTTTTCGTAGGGGCTATGTGGTAACCCCACGCACTGCGTGTTCGTTATGGCCGGCAACGCTCTGGAGGGTATGACGCCCTCATGGCGGTAAAAAAAACATCTCCAAACGCAGAATGAATCTTATATGTTCCAAGTGCTGCATGGCTAACTAAATTTTTCCCCGTCCAAAATGACGTGAGAAATCTTCATCGAAACTTTTGTGACTGATGGCAGTTGGATGGTAGGTCTGGAAGACAGTGCGACTCTAAAAACGCGCGGGTGAACACTAGATCTCAGAAAGTTTTTCGCGGGAGGTATGTCGTCGCAACAGGTTATACTCGTGACCAGCTACCTCATGCAATCATGACAAGGAGTGGTATAATTACTACAAGACAGGGCGAAGATCAACAACGGCCAGTTCCTGAAGTGCTGCCGGTGGGCTATACTGCCGAAGAGCGAATCGATGTTCTGATGGTGGCGGTAAGTAGCATCAACTTTAAGGAACGCTTGCAGTTGGACCTCGTCCGCTCGAAAAGGCGAGAATGAATTTGGCGTGCCAAACACCTGACGTGCACTCTGGATGTTGATGGGAACCAAAGTCTCAAGTCCCCACACTGGAGTTTATTGGACATACTGCGCTAACAATAAACTTTGCTTTGACAGAGCCAAGAACATGATGCGTATGATGTGAAGACTGCCGGTGGGCTAAGGTAGTGCAGCGACGGTGAGGACGGTATTACTTGATCCCGTTGACATAAGGTCCTACATAGATGATCCCGACGACTCACACGATGTTCAGTTGCATCAACATTCGCCACAAGATCGGTCGTCCTCTGGCGAGAATTCGCTCTGCGTGGCCAATATCTGACTCCGGCTTGGCGCTGATACGCTAGGAGAACCGACGTCATAAAGCGGACGGAAGGGTACATCAACACTAAAAGCATTCGAATTGACCATGTCGACTGGGCGCAGCACTCACTCCCTGAACTTTGCTTGACAGGGGAAAGAAGCCAAGCTGCGGATGGCCTGCCGAGGTGATGCAGGTAGAGGAAACAACGTCCCCTCCGAACTGCCACGTCCACGGTTCCACTCGAGGTTATGATGCCCCTAGGGAAGCCGCCCATAATAGGATTGCCAAGCACAGGAATCAAGTATATGAATCTTGCGAGCTGCGTGTGACAAGGCATGATTTACTCGCGCCAACGTCATGTCTAAAAATGAGGGACTCGGGCTGTATACTATTCCGTCCAAGTGATCTTGGCTCGATAATGCGGGGTCATATTTTAAGTCAGGGAGACATGACAGGAGAATACACCTGAAACACGGTCAGAAAAGTTCTATGGACAGATGTGATACATATCCCGAGACATATTTATGAATATTAATTTCGAATATGTCCCCCGATTTGAGCAGCATTTGTTGAGGACTCTTGTTTGGCCGTGTCTCGCAGGTGTTACAAGATACGATGTGATAGGTCATCAGATGCCATTGCCCGATGTTCACGTATATTAGAAGGGTTTGAACGCCTCGAACGGGCGTGACAAAGTTCTAGGGAGGCCTCGAGGGATTTGCTGGACAACTATATACCCTGGGAGGAAGTTCGTGTACTGTTAAGAGGAAGAGTGTGCTCTTGGCAAGAGGTGTCAGCGCACATGGGTGATTTTGAAATATGACAACTTCGAGAAAGTTCTAGTTGTGGACAATTATAGTGATGACGACACTGCCCACGAACAAGCTGCCTCGCACAGCGGAAATGCTTCTGTAAATCGATTGGGGTAGATGCGGAAGGAAGAGACCGGTGGGCGGAGAGTTGTAGACGGGTGCCTTCCCGGTACTGGACTAATACATACTGCGCAGCTGGGAGAAGTGTTAATAACTGGGTTTACATTTAAATCGAGGCGCTATTATGAATCACCGTGGGTCTGTGGAGTGGAGAGAAGGATGCTGTCCACGTTGACGACTGAGGTGGCCATACGTGAAAGATCTGAGAGGGAAGTACCAGTTCTTGCCTTTACCTCCTTGATAATTGATGCAAGATCATACTAAGATCGAGAAACTGTGCACAGGCGCGCTACTGGCGGAAGCTAATCATTTTGATCTGGCCAAAGGCCAGATCTCGACTCGGATCTTGGTGAGCGGTTATTGTACCCCGGGGACTGAGTCACTTCGAATTCAGTATTCAGTATTTAGCTTTGCGTTCTCCATTTGAACTGAGCTCCCAATTGATGTTGATTTCCTTCCAGTACCACCCAACATCATGGCCGCAGTTTTACGCTCACCAGCTACACAGTCACCTGTCCTCGCAGCCCAACACCTGCCACCCTCATCAACCTCGAGAGCAAGTAACTCTTCTTGCTCGCACGCGCATAGCGCCAGCATCCCAATGCGTCGCATTAGATTCGCACCCCTCCCTGAGCCCACTGCTCAAGTTGACGATTTGGAACAAAATGCCATCATGGACACCCACTCACGCACACTCTCTCCACTGTCCTCCAACACCATCAACGTCCAACACAGTGCACCCTCCAATCCAAAACCAAAGTCATCCCTTTCTCGCCAATTCAACTTGTTCAAACGCTCTTCCACTGACCCAACCCCCCATCCTCCTCAACCACATGACTTCAGTGCCCCACTCTCCCGATCCGCATCCATTCCCTCTAATGACAGTCAATCAAGATGTCTCTCCACCGCCCCCTCTCCATCTAGCTCTCAAACTCGTCCTTCCAATTCCTTTACCTCAAATGGCGACCACCATGCAATGCCAAAAAATCACTTCCCCAGTCCTCCCACCCCACCTCCCCTCCAACACGCCCAAAAGTCCCTACAGATGGTAGGCACATGCTCAACGGACGAGTCTACCGTTCAAAACGCCAACCACTCACAAACCTCTTTGCAAATGCGCACGATGAACCCGAGTTTGTGGAATGGGGGTACGGCGGCATGGGCAGTGTCAGCTGCAGCAGCAATTCAAAGTATTCCGTCCTCGCCAAAGGCACCCCTGCCCTGCTTTCCCACGGTCACGCCCAGAACGTCGTCGGTGGGGGCCATGATGATGCTGCGAGGCAAAAGAAAGATGACGTGGGTGCATCTGATTCAGCAGGAGGCGATGGTGATGACTGGAGTGGCATGGCATGGGTTCGCAAACGACGACAAGAGAGAGAACGGCTCGCGAGGGGCAATACGTGCTAGTGCAGAGCGGTGGAGTAGCAAGAGCAAGTGCAGGGAGGTGAAGCGCAATAGGCCGATCACCTCAGAGTATCCACTGGAGTTACTAACCTATATCATGAGATTTACTATTTAACAGGTCATACTTGGAAAACGGCTCAAAAAGCCCAACTTACCTCGGGATGAGGTTGTAGTCATAGCAAAGGTCTGACCTGTGATGCATTTGTTGTTTATGGATCGTAATGAATACGTCTATATGTTATTAGCCGCGGAACCCCGAATGAACACTGTCAGGATTAGTACACTTGACTTGAAGACCTGTTCATCGATTAGGTCTTCGAGTCAAGTGTACACCCTGATCGACTAGGCTATGTCGATCAGATGGTGTGGTGTTAAGTCACAAGGTGTGTTGCATGGACAGGATAGATGTTAAAACGTACATTCACCGACTCCCAGCTGGACGTTAGTGGGAAGAGAAAATTTTCGTTAACATATGTAACACTGATCGATCGATGTGTGGGAACATTTTGGAAAAACTATACAGTTGACATCATAACAATGTTGATGAATCCTTGGTCTAAGGCAGTCTGACAGTCGTCAGTGTCGATCGTCTCTACAGCGAAAAAACTTGTGTACGTCTTTTCAGCTTCTCTCGGTGTCCTTATTTTATGGATGAACTTCATATTCAGAATCTCTACTTCTTTCAAAATACCCTAGCACGTCTCCTCGAATCCTCGATGGCTACAGATTTTCCCCTCACAACATCCTTCATGATTCACAAACATATTTTTGTACTACCCACGATATCACGAATCCGTATATGCAACGGCCGAAATTTTTAGTTGTTGGTTACAACAATCACTACAGTAACAGTTTGTGTCTTAGATGTGGTCCCGCCAAGTTTGAGAAAAAAAAACAACTCCCGCTATAACAGCGCCTTTGAAGTCCACATCGACGTGAGATAGTCAGGGAGAGTTTTCGGGCGAAGGCGCTCCCGGCCTCAGGATCCAGAGAGAAGTTAGGATTGCAGCTTTATCAGTGAGGCGCTGAATCATGGTGGAAGAGGGAGAGGGAGATGGGAAAAATGAAACACTATGTCGACGAGGTCCACGGAGTGAACGTTTGAACGATCGTCGCAGCAGAGAAGCAAGAGGTGCGAAAATATTTGTTTGTTGTTCGCTCAAAGACTAAACTCTATTTCCTCCGCTCGTACCTCGCTACGTAATAGAGTGGGTGGCAAACTGCCACTAAGTGAAGTGGGGCCCTCGGCGATTTCTGTACGAGCCTCTCCAGAGGACTGAGCTTGAACTTGCCCAAAGGACCGGATTTTCGAGATCAAATTCACCACCAGTTGCGCTGGCACACTCAGGGGCCTCCTGACTTCGAGTTGATGCGACCAAAGAAGGACTGATCACCTGCAAGTTGAAGACATACATATAAATGCATATAAATGCGACGGTAATCGTTGGGTCCAATCGACTTATGGTATGAATAAATGGTTGGTTAAACTTGTACGGACATTGCGAATATAAAATGTTCTGACACCAAGCACTGTTGTATTTCATCATGGCTCTGATGTTATCAAGCTTCCTCACTGCGATCGCTACCTTGCTGGAGACTGGAGTAACCTCGGATTCTAGGTGGCGGTGCACTACAACCTTGAGCGACGCGAATGTACGTTCTTTATGCTGACCATGCCGTCGATCATGCTGTTGAAAGTGTCGTATCTATCATTATGTCTAGCTCGTCGCAGACCAGCTGCAGCTGCATTACTACAATACTTCCGCGGGCCAGTACAACCACGGCGAATTGTGGACCGATGCAGTACGATGCCAGCTACATACAACGTCTTGATCTCGCACAAACATTCGATTTACATTCAAGAATACATTTGAGGATTTGCACAACTTGATGCTGGCAACTGGTTGTGACGACTTTGAAAATGTCGCAGATACCTCGTACATAGGGAAGGCAGCCTTGGAGCCTAAAATGGTCACAGCCTGGGCGAAATTCCTTGGTGATAACAACGATGATGCCCAGGTGAGAGGTTTTACAAGTCTGCGATAAATCAAGATAGCAGTGCATATATTGTAGATTCCCCCCTCTTTTTAAAGCCTTCCTGATGTCGGATCACAGTCTAGTGCGGCCAAAATTTGTGACATGATTGCAAGGGAATGGCGGAGGTGGAGGTAATGCTAATCACGATCTTTCCCACCTGTAACTGATCTTGCTGAACTATCTAGTGTGGTGATCTACTGATCACACGTACAGGGATGTCATCACGAATGAACTGTTTTTGCTGACTTCGGCTGCTGCGTACCTGCCAACGAAGAAGGAAACGTACCTTAAAAATGCGGACAAGGTGGTTATTACATGGCCGTTCTCAACAACAAACGCTGCCACGACAGTCACAGGAATGGTCTCGGTGTATGTATTTCATATTTGCTCCTCAACGTGACGTTGTGAGCCTGTATTTACAGTAATTGCTTCCGGCCCAATGTGTGGCCCCAGTGGACTGTTCAATAATGACCTTGATTTGAGGACGTGTCAGAATAATGGGCAAGTTAGTGCATCTCATTACCACTACAGCATCCATTGCTAACCACAGAAGAAGCTGGACTACCAGGACCTATAACCAAGTATGTCAGACATTTGATCGCCGTGTTGACAAGCAACTGATGTGAACTGCCTGTACGAAAGGCTGTTGTCGTTTCAGGTCTCGTAGCTCTTTATACTGCAACGGGCAACACAGCTGAAGTCGGCTTGGATACAACTATAAAATTCCACGGCTCACTCACTGGCAATGGCATACTGAGAGAGTCCTGTGACTCGGCGGATAAAACATGCAACCACGATCAGGTACTGTTTTTCCGCGAAGTATTTATACATGTACCTGGTGATTTTCCTACCAATAACAAATTTTCAAGGTGGGATCACTTGAGTAAGACATTTCTTGGCTGACAGGTTCCATAGGGTATCTGAACTGAACATGTCCAGTAATACTTGGACAACACCAGTGACATTTCTCGCATCGCCAAATACAGCCATTTCCTTGGCTTTTAGCATTCGGGTATTGTACGCCACGCGACTGATTCTGCGCACGATGTCGGATTGGTGTGGTATACCGCGGATCGGGGGCGGTCACAGCGGAGTCCAGAGGCCTCGGCGAGTGGCCTTCGGGCCTTTATATCTGCTGCAAAGGTACGGCGATCTATTTGCCTGTTCAACACTGAAATTCACGGGAACATCAGTATGGTCCATGCTGATGCATCATTTTATTTCATTCAGATCCGTTTGAGAAACACTATATTCAAATCATCCTAGAGTAAGACATCAGTATCATAAGGAAAATACCATATATAAATATTCCTAGAAGCACGGCTACATCAAAACAAGGCTCGATGGCACATTAGAAGAAATTAATATATTTACTACCCTTCCTCCGCCATCTCCCTGCGATGAAATGGGTAAATTCTGGGTATTCCACCCGCTGGTGGCTCTTCGTCTTCAGGGATCGTTTCCTCTGAGTAACCTCTCCAGTTGCCAGATGCTGTCGCGGGGTCATTGTCATCAGGTACTGCAACAACCAGAGCGCGTTCTAGCGCTTTTTCGCCTCTCTTCTTCAGACGCAGATGCATGGCGGATTGCAGTGACTCAACATAAGAATCGTACTTCACGATTTCAGTGAGCAGGAATTGCGACTTCTTCTCCCAATTACTCTGGGCTTTCCCTCCGTTCGTTGAACGTGGCGTGTACTAAAACAGAAATCAGCTGGGCACGAGTGGAGAGATCAAAATGACAAACCAGAGCGTTCATCGGTTCCCTCAGTTCATTATGATGCTTGAGATCCTTCTTCAACATATGTACATATTTCTGAAGTGCCTCGAGCTGGGTTTCCTCGTCATGAATGCTGGATATCGAGGGTGGAATAGGAGGCTTCCAATCATTGATGAACAATCTCTCCGACCACGACGAATGAGCGCGGACGGTAGCGGCACTCTCTTTCCACCCAAGTTTGCTTCGGGTACTCCGCCCGCTGCGTACGCTCATCGAATCGGCGCGATCGTGTTCGGGTTTCTGGTCGTCTGATGCAGAGCGTCCATTCAAAGCATCGGCGACACGATTCCAGCCATACTCCATGTTGGAGACGCCACCTGCTAATGGCTCTTTGCTGGTACGTGCCGCCCAGTAGTTGCACGTCGAGACCCACTCGTTGACGAGCTCCTCTGTACCAGCTTGGAAAAAGAATACGCCACCGTTAGCCAAGGTTAAGACCATGCAGTGGGGACGTTGTCTGTTGTAGCCTGGTGGAGGTAAAGAGTGGGCTAGCGAATGAGATAGCTGTACTGTGCCAACGGAGTGGGCGTTTTCCTACGAGAGGGTGTCAACTAACAATCCGAAAACAATAAAATAATACACACCAGCCAATTACCACCACCAACGACGGCAGAGAACCCTCCACCATGATCTCCAAACGTGAACATATTCAGCTCCCCTCTTTGGATGACCACGAAAACATCCATCCAGTTCTTAGATTTTGCTCTCTTGCCCGCGGACTCCCAGTACTGTTTGCGGCAAAGCATTCCCTCCTTTGCCCATGGCGCCCCGAGAAGTGCAAGTTCTTCATCTGTGATACTAATAGTTGTCGAGCTAGATTCATGACTGCGGTAGCTGCGTCCTCGTCCTCCTGTGCTTCCCTGATGATTGTATGCGACAGATTGGACGCGAAACCAAGAGAAGGGGTGAGGAAATTACCCATAGAGCTGTGCATGCCCTACGCCAACCTGTCAGTACTCCATGTAGTCAAATGTCTCAGACGCCTACCTCACGAGTCGAGGTCACATAACTCGGTGACGGGCTGACACGCCCATCGATACTGCTGTTGCTGCTGTAAGGACTGTAGCTTGGCGTGAGTATCGACTGAATACCCCGGATACTACCCCGCTTGAGTGTCGTGAGCCGGTCCGACGGTCCGCGGTAGCTGCGATTGCGACTGATGAGATGCGGTGCCCCTGGAGCGAGAGATGATGTTGAAACACGAGCCATGAACGTGGTTCCTAGGGGTTGCAAGATCTGCTGGCTCTTGACTGCAGTATACATTTCCTAAGAGAATCCATGAGCCAAAAGGTTTGTCCAGAATCTCGGCGTAGCTACCTTAAGCAGGTTTTCCATATCTACCTCCCAGCTCCTGTCAAACGCAACCGATGAGGGAGCAGTACTCGGAGGTTTCGATTCTGGACCAGAGGAATGCTGGAAAGATGTAGTACTACTATTCAGCGAGGGCTGCGCTGTCGAAACGGCAGAAGAAGCCGCAGCTGAAGCGAAGAATGTATCTTTGGAGATACTATTCCAGCTTGCAACACTGCCACTTCTCTTTGACCGAGCGAGGGACTGCGTCTCGGTGCCGTCAGATGCCGTCAACGGCCCGCTGCTATTATCATCGTTCAGATCTGGACTCGAACCGTAGCGACTCGGGTGATTCTGCGACTGAATGGCCATCATCGTGTTGCGGACGAATTGACTCCTCGACATCCTGTTTGCAATATCTGCGATGTGGAGGTCGGTGTTTAAGAGGAGAATGGAGTAGACGACCGCATGGATGACGCCTGAAGAGTATGTTAGTACAAGTGACGAGCTCATGATTGTTGACGCACTGGCACTCCCGTATAGACGCGTAGGATTGCAATCCCAGAATCGTCGACTGAGTTCCTCGAGAATTCGATCCACTTGCTGGGTCTCAGCCTTAAGATACAACTTTGCACAAAGATGTCTAGAGGGGATTAATACGATCCACCAGTATTTCAATTATCACCCACCTAAACGCAACATCAAGCCTCAGCCCCGTAAAGTCAAAGTAGTTCATGTAGTGATGGAGCGCTGTCTTGTTAACTTGCCCACTGTTGCAGCACGTTCTCAGTAGAGTCATAAAACGAGGAACGAAATACTTACTGTCCGCCCAACCACTCTGCGATCTTCTCCTTCGGTAAGAAATCCTCATCCTCGGTATAGCACTTCGCAGCCAAATCCTTCCCCCTCTCTTCATCCGAATCTTCCGTCCGTACAAACGACGGATTAGATGCATATCGGTTTAGAATGAGATCATTAGTTGTCAGCTCCTGATGAGCCTGAGAAGAAGCTAAAAGCACGTCATCAGCATTACCCACGCACAAAAATAACCAAAACTCACGTGGCCGAACATCATCAATCACAGGGATCAAAGACGGCTCAGAGCTCGAAGCTACAGAGTGATGTTGGACGCGAAGACGAGACATGTCGCGGTACGAAGACTGCATCTGGTTACCGTATCCTTTACCCCTCAAAGGGCCTGACAAAGGGCTCGACCCGTGCCGAAGCGCGGTTACTCTCGGCGAACCGAGTGCTCCGGATCCGGAACGAGACCGTGAAGGCGTTTGAAGGGAAGACGAACGTGGCGGGACGATAGGTTCCACTGAAAGCCCGCCTCTTGAGGGGGGTCTTATATCCGTATTAAAATCCAGCGACGACTGAGTGGGCAACGTCACAATCGGAGTGGACGGAGGAACAGGGGGTAACAGCGGAGATTTTGAAGAATCCCCTTGAAACCTGAACTCAGGAGTCTGAGTTTTCAACCGCGCACGTCTCGCAGGCGTAGAAGGGTCACGCAAGTCAAGCGATGAACCAGAGTCCGGATCCAGTTGAGACAAAACACCCTTCAAATCACTAAGAATCCCGTGAAGCGAGGAAGAAGACTCCCAAGCCTGGAGTTCGGTAGGGGAAGAGTCCTTGGGAGGAAGCGTGGGCGCAGGAGAGGAAGAAACGTTTAGATTTTGTAAATTGATGTCGTTCACGCTCATGCTTCGTCGCTTGCTATGACAAATAAACCTGCCGTCTGGCTTTGGTTTGTTGTTAAAACGCGTGCCAGAAGGCGGCCCTTGGTCTCGTGTTCGTGACATGGAATCGATTACGACAAGAGACCGATCGTCTAAATCATCAGTGGCTGGACCGAGATGGATGGGAGGTAGGGGTTTGTGATCTGTAGAATTCGAAGAGGAGCTTGCAAAAGCATCAGAGGTGGGGGATATGGCGGAACGAGAGGCGTCGTCTGGTAGCGGGGGAACAGGAGGGGCAAAACTGTCTACGAAAGACGGTCTTGAGCGCGGAGACCCAGTGATGGAAGCATCCGTCCGCTAAACAACCCATCTCATGAGCCTATATTGATCCTAAAGAAAGCAACCACACTCACCGAGCGGTCCCGCGTCGTCGACTGACCCAGCATCTTACCCAGAAACGCGCTTGTCTTGGCTCTTACAGATTTAGTCGGTACCTAGCCCTCACATTCAACTCCCAGTCATCACACAAAAGAAAGGAAGAAAGAAACGCACCTTATCTTTATCACCAGTATCCCTATCCTTCATACTTCCACTCCTTGTTCTCGGGCTAGCCATAACCCACTCCGAACTCGGACTCGACAACTCTCTCGGACCAAGCTTCGACGGCCTCACCACCGCAGGTGACACATTCACCATCGGGTTCCCAGGCGAAGCAGACGAAGAGGCAGAAGGAGGGGAACCCGCAGAAGTCGATGATCTCGGACGCGGAGGCCCAACTCCAAGTCTCGACACCCCCCCTCCATGCACCGGCAACGGCGGCTCCGTGCGTTTCTCAACCTGCGGAACCACCCCACCCCTCTCTTTTGCTTTTCGCACGAGCGTGGCGAGGTCGGGGCTGCTGCTCGTACCAGACGCACGGTACAAGCTTCGCCTTCTAGTCTGCATGTCAGGGTCTTCGGCATCGTAGAAAACGTCGTTGGAGCTGGTCGTAGAGGGACATCTCGCGGAGGAGGGGCCGGGATAAGGGCCTGGGGATGGTGAAGGTGGGACGATGACAGGTGTAGGCGGTCCGTGGGCGCGTGTCAACAGCGTCCGCGATTCCCTCGATGGGGGTCGGGGTGAAAGCGAAGTGAATTCATGCGCGGGGGGAGCAGGGCTGTCAGATACGCCCAGTGTGTTGATATCAAGGCTCTCTTTAAGCTTCACCGTGCCCCCATGCCTCAATGCCTGTTCGAAATTAAGGTCGGTGCGAGAGATACGACGGGATTCTTTAAAGTCTTTTGAAGCTACAGGTTGGAGCTGGCCATTGGAGAAGGAGGCGGTCGGCATCGGAGTCAGGGAGCGTTGCTGGGGAGGAGGAGGCGCATATTTGAAGAATGAAGCCAGGTTGAATGAAATTTAATGGTAGTCGTGTCGTTCGTACAGCGTCTGGGATCAAAACGAAAGTTTTCAAAAAAAAAAAACAAAGACACAAAACAGTTTGGAACTAGAACTTTGCACTTTGCCAATTGCAAGCGGAATGGAAGCGCTTTGCAAATTTCTGATACAATTTCGCGTGTCCAACCTAGGGAAGCTGCTAGGGTCGTCGTATTCTACACCTCTTTGGGAATAAACCATCGTACTGGAAGACATAATCATGCAAGACAGAACATGATGTACACGTATGCAAGCAAGCAAAGAGATGAAGCGGATGGAAAGGAAAATAATCTATGGTCAAATGGAATATCTACGTACCATCCTGCGATCCGCGCAAGAACAAAAAAAAATATAATTCGGACCACATAACAGGAAAAATCATACATCAGACAATCATCAAATCAAGTCTCATAAACCAGCCACGTCACCCAGACGCCGTAGGTGCACTAGGCATGTGCCCACTCGTAGACGTCCGACGCTGTCTCTTCAACGCAACGGGGGGAGACGGGCCCAGCCCCACTCTATTCGCATTCGTCACTCCTCGGCCGTTTGCAAATCCAGTCGGCACCGTGCTAGTCGTCGACGCACGGGGCCGAGTATTCGATGATGCAAGTTTGGGCAATCCAGCGCCCCCTTTGCGTGCATTTCCGTTGGGCGCACCAGAAGCCCGGTTCCTACCATGACGACATCAGACATCGCCCGAATAATAATAATTAATTACGAACCGTTTCTTAATCACGTCCGTCTTCAACGACAGCGGACGAACGACACCATGCAGTTTCTTTTCTCGGAATCAGCATCAATACGAAGCATCAAGTACGTCAAGAACTCACAAAAAATAACCCGCATGCATTGCCTGTGCGTAAATACCATCAGTCAGTCAACACCCCAAAATTACCGGCGAAAAACACGCACACAAAGGTTGCCCTTCGGGATCACGTCTCCAAAGCGGCGTATTCGTAGTCTGGCAATTCGTACATGATGTGGGCGGCTGGTCACCATCATCACTACTACATTTCGGATTCCCATTGCTCCCGTCTCTTGTACTCAGATCAGGGGTACTCGTTGCTGATCGCGATACGGTCCCAATTGTGGGGCTCAGCGCAGAAACCGATTTCTTACGCCTGATTTCCTGGGCGATGCGTTTCGTAGACGCAATCTTCCGCATCTGATTCCGTGAGTTGGGGCCCGTGGTGGTACCTTCGACAGATGGAGGTGAGGAAGCGCTCGAGGTTAAATATGGTTCAGGGGATGCGGTCGAACTGGACGTAATGCCATTGCCCCATCCGTCGCTTGATGGACTAGGATGGTAGCTCTGCAAGACCCCGTCGCCATGCTCCACTGGAAGAATCTGTGTGGGATCAACCGTATATGGGCCTTGTGAGAGATTGACGCTGGTGTCAATGTTTCCAAACGGAAGTCCAAGGAGATGGCTGAAGTCGTCTGACGGAAAGTTGGCAGCGGCGCTGAGATTCCGATATCCTTCCGCCATTGCTGCACTTGCGGCCACGGCGGCAGCCGAGAGACCCTCATTAACGCCCGAAGAAGACCCATAAGTAGAACCGTTGAGAGGATGTGAAACAGAATCATGGAACGACGAATGAGAATCGTCTGTGGCGTGGAGCATATGCGAGAATTCGTTATGTGAGCTACCGTGCATATCAAACATCCCATAGTCCCGCGGGAAGCAGAAATTGAAAGGGGTGGAAGGGAAGGGACTGGTGCTCACGTACTGATCTGGCTCCTGAGTGGTGCGGGGATTGCCGTCTACATTGGAGGGGTCTGCGCGCAGCATGCTCTCTGCATGAGGTGCATCTGCTCTCCGTTTCTGCCCAATTAGACTATCGGGCGACAAGGGCTTGCCATTGACCTGATGTCTGCCGCTGACACCGGTAAATAGACCCTCCCGCTTGACAGTATGATCGAAACTCGTTTTTCGCACGTGCCTGGGGAAGGCACGTGCTTTGGGTGACTGATCTGGCAGCAATTTCGAACCTCCGTGGAAACCGAAAGAGGGGAGCGAGGATGGGTGGAAAGCGGGCGTATCGAGGGCAGAGAGGGAGTTGTTGAGTTGACCGAGTTGTTGGTCGTGATGGAGTCCGTTAGTGAAAGAGAGCGAATCGTGGTCGACTTGACCTTCATAAACGGCTGGAAGGGTACCAGAAAGTCCAGAGCGGGGTGCCGAAGAAGACCCCGGATAAGAGCGATGAGCAGATGTCCCAGGTATTGGAATACTAGGCGAGGAAGCGAGGCTTTCGAGATGTGACTCCCTACTTGAATAGCTATTCCGTCTGTCCCTGTCACCGTTGGTTGGGTGGCTCACGGAGGGGAAATGATATCGAGAATCAGTTTGAGGGAGGACCACACCATGATGATCAAAGACTGCTGCGGACTGCGGTGGCCTTGAACGGGAAGCGAGATTGAGGTCTCCAGTCCATTGATATACGAGAGCGAGATCTGCTCATTGCACGCCAGTCCATGGCCACGACACTAGATGAGCGTTAAAAGGATGTCAGACATCACGTAATAATTTAGAACTCACTCGTCATCTTCTACGCCATCTTGATTTGTACCGTCAAACCCGATGACTTGGACCTTTGCTTTGCCCTTGTCGATTCTACGACCTCTTTCCTCGTCAGGATCAGGGATGGGAGTTGGAACAGCTTCTGATTTAATATCTGAGTTGGCGTTTGCTGCTTCCTCTTCTTCTTTCTTCTTCTTTAAAGCGAGAGCCATCATTCTCCAGGTGATGTTTTCCATTCTCTGAGCGTGAGGTAAATTCGCCTTTTGCCTAGCGTACATCTTCCAGACTTGAGTTGCAAGGGGATCTTGTTTGGCAAGCTTTTCTGGGTCACTTTCGTCAAAAGGAGATTCGAGGTCGGGTGAACCAGAAAGTCTAGGAGAAGTATAGGTGCTCGGAGAGTGATCAGGATGCGGGGAACCAAAGAGATCATCTGAAAAAATGTCGCTGAATATTGCGGATTTTGACTCAATTGTTTCTGAGGGAGAGGAAAGCTTGTTAGAAGAGAGAGGGGAGGGTTCTGGATGTGAAGGTATTGTGAGCTGAGTTAGGGGGGAATACAACGGAGTTGAAGGAGTCGTAGAAGCGGGGGACATCCATAGGGATGGGGGTAGACCAGTGTTAGAGCGCTCAGCAGGATGATCGAAATTTGAAAACTCTGTCGCTGAGGGGGATAGGAGAGGAAATGAATTTGTACTTCCATCTGGACGTGAGTTTGTGCCTCTTGATAAATTGAGGTTCAAAGTGTCGTTGTTCTATTAAAAATGTTTAAAATATTACGCTGCGGATGATTATTTATGAATGAATTACTTACGATTGTACGACGAGGACGAGAGTCATGAGGTGGACGAGTAGGCATTGGTTGTTCGGTGGAAGAGTGGACCCTAGTTAAGGATGGTCTGAGAGGGTAATGGCCGGAGATGGAAGTTGGCGCATGTGACCAAGATGATGAAGGATGTTCAGTGTAATGTCTTGAATGATGATGATCTGGACGTGGTACTGGAAATACGCCATTAGCAGCCAATGTTGCAAAGACTGAAGGGTTCAAAGGGGCAGAGAATAAGGAGTTCCATTCGTTTGTTGAGATGTGGTGAGTGTCATCCGAATGATGGAGCATGGATGGATAGTAGCTAGGATGTGATGAACTAGGGTCGGATGAGAATGAAGTGGTAGTAGTGGTCGGAAGTTCGGATACCGGCCATGAAGTAACGATATTTTTATGATCGTCAGATGAATTTGTTGATGGGGACATCCGTGATCCTTGAAGTACTAGAACATAAAAAATTGGGAAAAGGAGGAGAGGAGGTACCACACAACACAATGACCCCAGATACAAGTTAAATTATACATATACTATCCCCTCTGCCCTTATAAAATTCACATGTCTATTAAGTGTCCGGGGTCACTGTGGCGTCTAGCAGGACGATCTTACATCAAATATAATTTTCATCTCCTAGCTTATTTTAGTCTGCAAGCCGTCACCCACTTTCTTCTCCTGCTCAGTTTTTTCTCACACTTTACATAGCGCCAAGCCGGTCGGATCTCCCTTTGCCTAATTTTATCCAACCACTACCGTATAATCCCCACAGGCAAAGGGCATATACATAATTAAAATAAATGGTTAATTTCAGTCATGTCAAGCTCCAGAATCCCACCCCGTCATCACCGCCCTGTGCCGTTTTTGATCTAACTTCGGTCCGAACTTCCTATAGAACCACGTCATCCGATCCTCACATCTCCCACTCACTACTTCTCGAATCTCAGGCAAGTCATCAACAGCGCCACCATCACAATCCATTTATAAATTAAATTATTAACCACACGGTAAGCAACCCAATTCAAACTCAAATAGGCATCCGTGCGACATCCCTCCTCTACTCCAACTCAAACACACGTCCCCCGACGTAAATCCATCAGATAATCATTGCACCCGCTTCTTACTCTTACTCTTATTCTTCCTCTCCCCATCAACCTGCTCCACATTCTCATCACCCTTCCCGCTCTCATCCCCCACACTCTTCTTCACCTCACCATCATCAATCCACTTCCAAGCATCACCTAATTCCCCTCTAACAATCCCTACCCCGAACAATGACAACATACAGGCGGGGCTAGAGCGAATAAGAACATCTGTCATCATACCAGAACAACAATGGGACACACCTCAAATAAAGTAATGCAGGCTGGGCTTTACCAAACACGTGCATAACTGTCATAGTCGTGACGAGGCCAGTAAAGTACGCTGCCAGGGTCGCATAAAAGTATGGCTTCCGAAATGTGCCTTTCCCACCTGCACGTGCATGGTCATAACGTAGTGCCAAGGCAACAAATGTACCAGGAATGACAATGTCCCCTAGTCCGAGTAATGTATAACCGCGCTCGCTGGCAAAACTAAGTGATTTGGGCCAGAGCAGTTTAATTGGGACGTCAAGAGACGTGGCCACCGTGAGCATCTAGAACGCGTCAGCCTAGTCTGGGAAACATTCTATTAATCACTTACGACGTCCGTACCAAACACCCAATATATATCATAAAAGAACAGTCCAGACAGAAGAATACATCCCGTCTTGAACGAGTCTATTTTCAGGAGACTTAAAGCATTGTGCGAGAACGAAAGCGCCAGGATATCTGTTATAAGCGCTGACTTGCGATTCGTTTCCGAGGTATTGAATAGCACAGAGGGTATCAAAGCGAGCGGAAACAACGCAATCGTCGGAGTGCGTAACGACACCGACAGCAATTCTACGCGCAGATCAAACCGGCTCCTCAAGTAAAGCATCATATGAATCCACATACCTCGTGGACCCTTCAGAATCAACACTCTATTCCGATCGAACTTCTTCCACCGTTCTTCACGGACCGCAAATCTCATAAGCGACGCAGCACTCTGGGAAACACGCAACTCGATTACACAACCTGCGACGTATCATGAAAAACACGACTCACCTTCCATACACTGCCAACGCCAGCGATCGAAAAATACCACGCGAGAAACCAATTTATCCATTCTTTTCCGAAGAATTTCATTATAGCGTACATCCCGAAAGCGCTACTGAGCCTGCCTGCCATCGTATTTCAGCTCCAATTACGTATATTGTATGGAGAACTTACGACTGGGAAAAGCCATGCGTCGCCAGACGAAAGCCTATCTGCCACACCCTCGTCATCCTCGTCATCTTCATCACCTTGCACTACCGATTTATCTGTCCCGTTGCTTTTTTGCTTCTTAGGAGCCTAGAAAAGTATTCAATTCCGTTAGGAATTAACTAATAACAGTCCATATCAACCCACTGGAAGTGAACCGTGTGCTCCGGCATATATGGAGATGGAAGCCAAACACAGAAGACCTGCGTATGAAGAAATGAGGTCCCAGTCTGTGCTGGCCATCTCAATTCAGTACTTGTTTGGGGGTGTGAATGGTTGGATGAAACGCTTCTTAGGACTACTTTACATGCTACGTGACAAGAGACGTGTCAGTTTGGAGTTGTTTGGAGGTGTTTGATTCTAAGGGTGATGCCAAACACTAGACTCGAATTTGAAATATGATTGCTTGCTCTCGGACCTCGAACTACAGGAAGCGCGGCTAATACCCCTCGGAAGCACTAGACTTGGTGATGGATTTGGTCTCATCAAAGAAGACATGACATAAATTCAACCAACAACATGATGATTAACTTGCTTGCTACTTAGGTAGGTATACGTACATACTGAACGCCGCACGTCGGACCACGGCTAATATCCCGCGGCGATACCATTCTTTCTCGAATCACTGGCCGCTGTACACCATCACAAATCAAAATCACTATCAATCACGCAAGACACCACGTCAAAACACTACATACCAAATATGCTGCCATCCTTCCTCATCACCGCCTGCACAACAGCAGCCACACGGTTGATATCTGACACTAATACGACAACCCGTGAGTACTCTTTCTCATAAATGGTGACAACATTCGACATGCCTGTGATATTATGTCCCCGTTCTGTCAGAGAGTTTAGTATGGCGCCAGGCACGATGTCATCAGCGTCTACTTCGAGTGGGTATAGTTGATCGTGGACGCGCCCGTTTTCGATCGCAGCGCTGATGTCCATTCCCCAATCGAGATTAAGGATGACTTGCAGGACAGCCCCGAAGATCCGGCCTCCGCCTGATCCGCCGATGGAGAGGTAAAAGGACCCGTCGAGATTTTCGATTATCGTGGGTGTTGTTGAGGATAGGGGGCGTTTTCCGGGCTCGGGGTAATTGTCTGGGGATTGTTAATTTGGGATGATGGGGAGGAGAGGAGCTGCGTACATGGTGAAGGCCAGAGTCCGAAACCGTTAGGGCTGCCTGGAACCGCAAAATCGTCCATCTCACTTGCATGATTAGTTATAAGAAGTTGTTGGGAACGTAGGAGAACTCACCTCATCGTTCAGTATAATACCGGTTTCGGGGTCGAGCACCATAGATCCGAATATGAGATTCACGGTGGTCGTGAATGCTACGGCCATTCCGTCCTTGTCGACCACAGATGTATGACTCGTTCCATGATCGATCTTGACGTCAAACTCTGGATTATAGTATTCGGGTGGATGCGTACAATCCTGAAGCACCATCCAGATACGACAGCGCAACAGAGCACAGAAAAACCTACATCAGTGAGGTTAAGCGCCACAGCATCTGCAAAGGCTTTCGTGGAGATTTCGGCAATGCGAGCTGTTCCGTTAGTACCATATGGCAAGTCACCAATCCTTGTGCTGGTGGAATGTGAGACGGGTTGCAAAAAAACTGGAGAAAGAACTCACCGAGCTGCAAAACCGACTGACGTGACACCGCCAGTTCTTCAGGAACTATTTAAAGCGAGTAGGTAAGCGCTCACACTTCAAGGCCTCGATAAAGCGGTGAATGTTCAAGCCAGTTCGGCCTTCGCCGATGAGATCGTAGCGTTCTAAGAGGTTCAGAATATGAAGAAGCACGGGTCCTGAAGTCGGCGCATGGCTAGTGTACACTTTCTTATCACGATACGTCCCTTGAAGAGCGTGATCCACTTTCACAGTGTAATTCTCTAGATCTTCATTGGTCATTATTCCTCCAGCGGCCTGTACCTTGCGTGTAATGGAGTCAGCTATGGGACCCTGTTCAAAAATAGCTTAACTGTAGCTCCAACATGAAACACGTCGCATGTCAAACCTTGTAGAACACATCAGGTCCTTCCGATGCGATGGTGGAAAGTGTGCGTGAGTAATTGGTCCGTCTAATAATTTCGCCTTCAAGCAGCATGCGTCCTTCTGGAGCGAAAATAGCTCTCCAGTCTTCATTAGGAAGGATAAGTCTTGCAAACATCTGGAAGGTATGCAATCAATCAACGCCTCAGGTTCGCATGCCCAGCATTTTACCTGCAGACGTCGCGCTAGCTCTTTGTCAACCGTCCATTCAGCAGCAAGGTCCGCGTTTGGCTGCACGAGTCTAGCCCATGGCAATTTCCCCCAGCGTCTATGTGCTTCCTGGAGTCCACGAATTTCACCAGGAACACCAACTGCTAATCCACCCCATCGCGCAGCCATCGGATCATCCTTGTACATAGTACTGTTTGACAAGCCCGGTGCAGTTTCCCTGAAATCAATAGTATATACTTCCGAACCACCACCCTCAGATGAGGGTGGAATGCGAACTGTCATGAATCCCCCTCCACCTATGCCTGAGCTGATTTATGTCAAAAACATGAATTTCGAAAACGCAGATAACCCACGAAAACATATTGACCACGCCAACACAGAAAACGGCGCTGATAGCGGCGTCTACAGCATTTCCTCCTTCCTTTAAGACAGCGACACCAATGTCTGAACACCGTTTATTTTCGGTAGCAACGGCACCGTGTTCTGCTTCTATGAGATAGGCAGGGTTACGAAGTTGTGTCTGGGATTGGGTATGTAGGAGCGGGTTATGGTGGTACATCCGTAGCAAAGGTGTCGCTAGACATATAGCAAGCAAGGCAACAAATGCACCCTTCTGCCATCTACGTCGACCTTTCGGCTCCCTCGTATGCAGGTAAAGCGGGAGCTCGGCTTCGGTAGAACGAAATGCTTGCTTGAAGCTCTCCACCGGAGGGTCGCCTTTTCCAGTGGGCGAGGGTGATATCCGTTTCATGTAATCCATGTACTTCAAAACCAGGTCAACTGGAGTGCTGAAGAAGGTATCTTTATGATGAACTGAAGGTGACCCGAAGTAAATGCCTCCCTCCTATTACCAATCGTTATCCTCGACTTTCCCTGGCTGCCTACTGTTCGGATTCCGTGCGTCAGGGCCACGTAATACCTGATAACAAAGATACTCACACCTTACCCGGATAATAGAAAGAACCAATCCGAGACTTAGCACCACACGCTTTCACTATGAATAGCATGCCGACATGTGATTCGGGTCCAAACAAAGTATGGCCTTATGTAAGTCAACATTAATCTTCGTAGCCTAATTTATCCCGGGCTAGGCTGACGATGCCAGGTTACCGATCACTAATGTTTCAATATGACGGCTCCGAGGCCGACAGTGCCTCGAATATTGGCTCTTCGAGCCATACTAGGTGAGCCCAGAATTCAGCCCCGCTCGTCGGAATACCTCACGAGAGTCTCAGTTTTTCACCGATGATGTACAAAGGAATAGGAAGAGCTGGTATGTTCAAAGTTTCTATTGCAAATTGAAGTGATGCTATGTTACAACATTTCGTCAGGGATTGCGCCAGGACTTCTGAAACGCAGAAAAACCCTGGGACTTAATACTCGTTTCGATCGGATGCTGGCCCAGGTGAACGTTACACATTTGTACAGTTCTGATCCGAAAACGCGTCGAAAGCGTGCGCGTTCTTCCGGGTCTTCCTCCATCAGTAGTTATGATCTTCCTAAGACGCCTGTGGACGCATACAGCTATGAAGATAGACTTGGAAGTGACATCTCTGTGTTGAAGATGAACCAAAGGGCGTCAAACCCAGCCAAGTCTCCCCTGGTGCAACGTAAACTCAAAGCATATCGAAAGGTATGCTATATGCGCGCGCTTTTATGCTCCTGAGAACCTAAACTTGGCTATTGCCGTATCAGGGTTCTCAAGTACAGGCACCGACAAAGTCCCTACCTATGTGGCTCGCGAGTACGTTTAGTGCCTTGGAACCCGAGCATCCACTTCGAGAATTGCTTCCTCCTTCTCTGGCTCACGAAGACATGATTGAAGCCAGAACTCGAAACGAACCTCGACCATATTCTGAAGAAGTCAGGACAAATCGCATGTTTGCATTCTCCCCGTTCGATACCGATGTACAGGAGAATAATGATGCAGCTCATGGAGCCTCACGTCCACCGTCTGCTGACCCCGCCTTGTGTGACGTTGGGTTGCTGCCTTGTGGTCGGACGACTGTCAACGCGGTGTCACAAACATTCCACCTCGAAGAAGGTACCCTCGGGTTTCGCCCATTTTCCACTCCCGGCTCGTTCGCCGCTCTACAACACACTGTTACTTCAAATGCTACACCTAACTTAGCATGCCCACCAGAATCGCAGAAGACCTTGGCGCACGTAAAGCCACCCCTTTTGTCTCACGACGCAAGTGTCAATCATGCCAATTTCACATCGTCTCCTGTTTTTCGTCCAACTATTACAGAGCCGGAAACTTACTTGTCCTCCTTCCACCGCGGATCGCCTGTTGCTTCTAACGATCTTGGATCTCACTTACCTACGCCTGATTTTCAAGAGAACGAGCTGATGATGAATATATTTTCCACCCCTGGACCGGCATTTACCGTCTCTCGACCAGTGTACTTCGATTCTCCCACTGAAGATCCATCACTGTCCGACCCTCTGGAGCCAGAATCGTATGAACTTGACTTGGACGCACTTGATTTCCGCTGGCAGCCATTCTTGAGGAAGACCTTGCCTGATCCCAGCTTGGCCAACAAGCAGACTTGTGCCATAAATGCTTCGGCTACAATTCCTCCTGTATTTGAAGATTCCGACGTTCTTTTGTCGCATTTACCCTATTCCTTCTGTGGTGTCGCTGGCGATCAAGTAGCAATGGCGGAGGCACCTGACGCACGCGTAGAATCCGACGTTTATGATGGACCCGTTCGCGGTTCACTTGTATTCGGACACGCCATTCAACAATCTTCATCTCCTCAGTCGAATGGCCAAAGCGACGCAGTGGTCTTCACTCCCCCTTCTAGAGTTTTCATTATGGCTCCTCCCATCTTTGCAGACTCTGACGTCCTTTTGTCGCATTCGCCTCATGCTTTCCGTAGTGTCGCTGACGACCAAGCCACAATGGCAGAAGCATCTAACGCATCCGTAGGATACGACCTTCGTGATAGACCCTTTCGCAATTCACCTATATCTGGACATGCCATCCAAGAATCTCCATCACCTGACTTGAATGGCCAAAACGACGCAGTGGTCTTCGCTCCCGCTTCGGGAATTTTCATTTCACCGCTCCAGGGAGCAACATCACCCCCTGCTGTCCCTGGTATTGCCGATGTACAAGAAGTAAGCCCACATGAAACAAAAATATCCCATCGTATGCAAACTCATCTCGCCAAAGCTTACCGCAGAAAACACAACATGCATCACAGAGAGCCGCGAGCAACCTTTCACGCCCACACGCCCAACCCAGGCGTCACAACCAGCAACGCCGAAAAAAGATCGATTAAGCCAAACACGCAGTACGCCGATCCCGCCTCGGCAAGAACAACGATCGACTGTCTCATGGATGCTATCACGTCGGTCGCTTGTAGGGAGGGGCGGCGTTGGCCGTGACGACATTGAGGGGTTGCTTTCGCAGCGTTCAGACACTAGTCATGACACAATTGAGTCATGGACGGATGACCATTAACGAATTTGAGCATTCTACAACTGTATTTCCACTAGCGAACTCGAACTCTACGCAGCGTTCCTGAAGTTTAAGTTAGAAGTATTCTATGGAATGAAAGTATTGCGAGGGTATATAAATCCAAACAAGCCGGTATTGGAGAATTACCAACCAACTTCACCACCGTCAAACGGTTCAATGGTGACCCCACGGTTTCCCCGTGACTTTCGCAGCTTGTATCGCTCCAAAGTATATATCTCGTATGAAGCGGCTGCAAGCTTCATCGCACGGATGTGGTGCGGGCGCGAGTTGGCGGCCACTGCATGTTTCCGGGACTGCCAGATGCACGTTGCAAGATTCATGCCCGTTTCTGGATTTGGCACACCATACCAATACATGATAAGCTAGGGGGTGAGGTCAGCAAGAGCCATTGAAAAGGAGTTGGTTGCATACACCACCGTTAAGCACGGCCTCCTCGTGAGCTAACTTGTCGGCATCATAGAGGGCTGTGCATGCGAGGAGAATTAGTCAAAGGCCTGGGTACGAATGATGGCTACTTACATCCACTGTCGCTCCCAGGCAATCGCTTGCTGCGAAAGACAACACAATACCACTCACGCTCCTCGTCTTCCGGAAGTTCAAGCTCTGTCCAATTGAACGCTTCGTCATATGGCACTTCGGCGTAATACGGAGTCGCCGGATGGAAACGATGCAAAGCTTTGTGCAACGACAGCGATGTGGGGTCTATATCAGGCAAACGGGTCTCGGAGAGCATCGGCTGCCGTTCTAGTGATGTATGGAGTAGTACCCCGAGCTCGTGAGGTAGAGAAGAAAGTAGCGGAGGTAGATAGAGGACGATACATAGGGGGTTTGTGAGACTTTTAGAACTGAACGTGGGGAGCTCATGAGGGTCACGCTCAGTGTCGAGAGCCCCGAGGTCGACGTTCAGATCGCCCAAGTCATGTTCAGACTCAGTATCATCAGTCACGAGACCAATATCTGGGGAGTGCTGCGACTCTGAGCCAACGGGTTCAGCATGACTGTGGATAAGTGTGAAACCCATGATGATACGCTGACTCGGAATGAAGAAAAACAACCTAAGAGTCCACATAGCACGCATGCAAGACTTATATTGCAAAGCCAACGCGCACGCGATTCACTAGGTGAGTGATGAGGATGGCGTTATGTTATTGCGTGATTTTAGGTTGACGACAACAATCGTGACGTCGTCAAGGAATGACTGTCCGTGACCGTCTAAGGTCTCAGTCAAAGACTAGCCTACCATTGTACACCACCATGCACAAGCTTTTGCTTCGGAGTTGGAAGCCCTAGAACAGGCATGATCAGAGTGCAGAAAGGCAGCTGCGATGAGGTGCAAAGATTACTATTGCCAGCCAGGCGACAGCTGGCATATATGATCTTTAGACGGAGCCTGCTGAACAGGCAGAGTGTTGGGGTCTGGTGTGCTCTGTACGAAACTGTGCTACACATAATGGCAGACGTGTTGGCGTGAACCTAAAAGATAACAATCTGATATACCATAAAACAGTTACTCAAGTACTCGGGTATAACTGATTGTGGCAGTCAAGAAACATACTTATGTAATCATCTCCTCGCTATACTCCGCGGTTCCCCGAACTTCAACTCGAACCTCACAGATGGCGGCTACGAAAAAAGCTGCAGAGTCGACTCTTTACCATGTTCATCCGAAAGGCTTTTGGAAGAAGTTCCGTGAGTTGCTTCATTTTTGCGGCGTATCGAATATCTGTGAACGCCTTTTACCAGGCGACGCTCTGGTTGTTAATCCTGAAATCTCGAGTGGTATTCCATTAGCCGGAATCTACAGATGGCCGCAGCCTGGTTCCAGACCAGAGAAGTACTCAGCTCCGGCAACCAAGGGTAGGACATTGTGGCTCACTATCGGCTCTGCTCATCATTTTTCTTGTCAGCTTCCGACCCCGCCCAAAATCCGTACTGGAAGAGAGATGTTCGAAGGGCATATCCCCAACTTTCGGTAGTCACGCAGCCCGACCTATCGTCACTTCTCATTCAACACTCCAAAGTCCAAGCGTACGCCCCCGCACCCTCTGCGTGGCAGCTCCCACTAACATGTAATCATAGAATTCCTGCACCATCAGAAGCCAAAGAAGGAGAGAAATCGGACGTCCCTACAAAAATCCAGGAGATCATGGATTTGACAGGCGCCATTGCTACAATCACATCTGTGCACAAGGCGTATGACCAGTCAAAGCTCCCCCCGAAGGTCCCCACACCCTTCAAGAAGTGGAGAGCCGAGCTCGCGCCGGACGCCCCTCATGATCCCAATGCCTATTTCCCAATGTTGCTATACAAGTAGTCGACTTCTGCATTCAACTCGAGGAATTTTCCACCTCTTATTGTAGACGATGAATCAAGAGATAACCACCATGTCTTCCGTGCCGCGGATAATGATCTATTCGATGCGAATAGTCACCTTCTTCTGTACGGAGTGTACAGAAGTTTCCTTGTGCTTTTTATGGACTGAAGCTCAGTAACACTCACTTGGGGTACATTACTCAGTCGCGAGCCGTATAACAGTCATGTTCGGTGTGGTTGAATCACTCTGTTTGATTTATTTCTCTTGGTCGAGCATCTTCTAGAGCTATCTGATACATACCTCAGACATGAACAGACGAGGCCGCGCCTACCGGATTTCCCAGCGGATATCCCATTGTGATAAACCACCAGCGTGCTCCCTCTGCCGTTCTTCCAAGGCTGTTGGCATAGATTGATACCAAACGCCATGGAAGAGGGGTGTGAAGGAAGTTCGCACAAATAGGAGAGTCGGATGCAGCTCGCTCGAACGACATATTGGACGAAAGCTGAGCACAGGTGCGTGTCAATGGTAATTATAAGTAATGACCGCAATATTTGAGCTCATCGCAATTCTTGTGGGGACAATGTCATACTGTTCGAATGTGAATGGCGTATCTCGTCTATATTATTATCCATGGATTCCTTGGAAACCGGAATGCTGATCGAGTATCCCTGAGCGGTGCGCCCATCTACAGGATATCCCATTTTTGGCCAAGCCATATATTACTCTTGCAGTTCCATTGGCGATAACTGCTCTCGAATCCACGTACTTCCTCTGAAGGAACGGGTGTTCGTTGAACCAGAGTGAGACATAACGGGTTGGTCACAAGTCTAGCCTGAGGATGCAAGAGGGAGGCGGTATTTGGAAGCGATAATTATAGCTTGGACGCACTGACGCGACAGTTTTCCGGGACGGTCTTGCATAGTGGACGTATAACCAGATATGATCTTGGAGACTTGTCCAGAAGAATTCTGTTAATAATTAGGTGTACACGTGTGAGGGAACTGCAATTTCAAGGGTTAGCGGTGTTACGCGGTTGGATGCAAATGCGTAATACTTTCGCGTGAATACTTTACGCATCTCATAAACGCAAATGAAATGAGCTGAAAACGCCAATCATAAGTCTCCAACGTGCCCTGTGACAATGTGTTCTCGGCACATGAGTGCTACTGTCCTCCTCCCAGATGTTGTTCCGGAAATGAAATCAACCTCAAGCCTGAAAATATTCCATTGACTAACATGAGAACTTATGCAGCATTTTCAGGATATTATCACACGCGTTTATGGTGCAAAAGAAAAATCAATGTCTTGAATTATTTTTTACAACGTACACGATGTATAGTCCTTGTACTTAGACTTTGGTCTTCACGCAGTCTCCCAAAGGTAAACCACTAGTTGACAAAGTTATTTTTCGGTCTCTGCAGACCAGAGGAGAGAGGAGACACCATCGAGATCGCCTGGCACAGGGTTACGTATCCAGTCGTGTGTGGACATACGACAGACCTTGAAGGCCCCATCGGCGAGCCACTGCGTCAACATGGGATGAAGCTCTTACCCAGCTCACAGTTGGGAGGTGGGCGGAAACCACCAAACACTTGCTGGACTACCTAGGTTTCGTTTTCGTTATCCACCCGAGGTACTCTCATTGTGAACATTCCTGCAAGCAGTACCGATGTCATGAGCGGTTTGATGTGTGTCAGGAAGAGATATGGCGTTAAATAGCGCCGGGCGAGGACAGAAGTTCAGTGTTATGAGACGAAGCTGTGGTGATGATAGGGGAGAATCCAGAGAGCCTACCAAGCTGTATGGCTATGAATTTTGTGAATAATTAGCCAAGGGACAAGACTGGGTTTGCACGCACCATATTGCCCGATGGTTGATGTATCACCCATGTTGAGGATAGGCTGTCTGGCATGCTTGCTATTCCCACCCTCTGCCATGGCGCAAGGTGAGCCAGTCCTTCAGGCTGCTGCGCATACAAGGAAACGACGAATAGAATTATGCCAACCTGCACGGAGGCCGTTTGGTCGAAAGAAATGTTATCCGGAATCTAAGGAAGGGTCAGCGTGCGGGAATTGGTTTTGTCGGAGTGGAAGGTTGTTAACTTGTTCCCTATGTTCGCTTGAAAAAATCTGCCGAAGAAATAGTCTTTCTATCTTTGACGTCACTTACACCCTATTCCCTTCCTTGAAATCAGCGACACCCTCACCGGCAGCTTCCACATTGCCAGCAGCCTCTTCACCCATGACTACCGGGTACGACTTGACGAAAATGACTACTTTTTCTTGGATTTTCCAATCTGAAGTGTTCAGACCGCTTGAAATTATTTTGACGAGAAGTTCGCCGGGCCCAGGTGCATCGATCTATTTAGTACCAACAGCAAAATCCTGTCCAATAAAAAAAAGCCACAAAGCTTGTTAGGTTGATGTGATGTTGAACACAGGCCAGTTTGGGAGAGATCGGGAATGAAGCGCAGGTACGAAAAGAGTTCCTGCGAGCAAGTTGGTAGGAATGGGGTTGACTACTTATGAATTAAGTGGCGCCGGCGATCATTAGAGTTAGGACCTGTATGAGTAGGAAGGGGAATACTAAGTCTTGCATCTCGGGCGTGACAAAATCAGCCCACGTATAGTTGCGCATTATCAAGATACCGGTCTGGAACTCGTCAGTAAGTATTGCCAATCAGATACTAGGGCAGTATTTTGGTCGTTTGAAATTGGGTACCCGTAGTCGCGTCAGTACGTGTACACCTTCAGACCGGCATATGACGAGTGACAATTACCAAGACGAGTGACATTCTACAAAGCTGTGTCAAGGCCTTAGAATCAAACACGTACAAACAACCGCCTGAGATGTACGACGCACCACCATCAGCAGCCGCGGGCGCATCCGCATCTGCTCAAGCAGCCGCTTTCGCCAATGACGACCGCATCCACTTTTCAAGAGAGACAGAAACATGGAGGCTAGAGAATGAAGACGGTACGGAGCTCGAGTTTGATTCCGCCAAGGGTGCATGGGTACCGGTGGTGAGTGTGAACTTCGTGGGGCGCCGGTGATCGTGAGGCAAGCAACTTTGGCAGCTGGATGAGGAACTGATCAAAAAGCAACAAGCCGCGTATTCAGTTGTTGGCGTGGATGAAGAGGTCAAGTGATGGTGTTTTCGACACAATGACTCCTTAAACTAATAACGTCCGTAGACACCAGCCGCGCCCGTGCTCAAACGCGCAAATAAGAAGAGGAAGGAGCCTGAAAACTACACATCCTATACACCTCCAGCAGAGCCTTCTGCAAAGCGTGGCAAGAACGACAAGCCAGCCAAGTCCAAAAATACGGCAGTCTACGTCACTGGTCTCCCTGCGGATACTGAAGTGGACGAAATCGTTGAGCGCTTTGCTAAGTTCGGAGTCATCGAGGAAGATGACGAAGGCGAACCAAAAGTGAAGCTGTATGCACGCGAGGACGGATCATTTAGTGGAGAAGCATTGGTGGTTTATTTCAAAGAAGAATCAGTGACTTTGGCGGTTAACCTCCTGGATGACGCGGAACTGCGGATAGGCGATGCATCGACGGTCATGAGTGTGCAGAAGGCGGAATTTCGTCACAAGCATTCAGGTGGGACAGGAGAGGAAGTGAAACCACGGAAGACAGTGGACAAGAAGAAGATCACCAGAAGGATCGGCAAGATGCAGAAGTATGTTCCTCCTCTCTCGGACCGCATTGTCGTATCTCTAATCCGCTTACAGAAAAATTGAAGAATGGGATGACGAAGATGGCTTTGGCCCCGCCAAGAATGAGGAAGACGAAAAGAACGTGGTTAACAGGAACTGCCGTGTAGTGGTTCTCAAGCACATGTTCTCTCTCCAAGAGCTCGACGAAGACGCGTCTCTGTTACTTGATTTGAAGAATGACGTGCGTGAGGAATGCTCATCACTAGGAGAAGTCACAAATGTCGTTCTGTATGATGTATGTTACATATTTCCTACTCCACAGCCATATCTGATCTGCCTTGCAGAGAGAGGCCGACGGAGTGATGACAGTCAAGTTCAGAGACTCGCTGAGTGCTCAGGCCTGTGTCATTGTACGTCTCTCTCGCTTACCCCTTGGCACGTATTGATCGACTTTGTCATAGAAAATGAACAACAGGTTCTTCGCCGGAAGACGTATCGAAGCGTTTTTGTATGCAGGCAAACAGCGCTTCAAACGCAGCGGAGCGGGCGACGACTTGGACGGAGATAACGACGACTCAGAAAAGCAGCGGCTGGATGACTTCGCATCGTGGCTCATGACTGAAGGCGACTGATTGGATATAACATCGTCCTTGCATTGAGCTTGCCGGACGGGGATGCGAATATTCGACTTATTAAATGTATATAATGCATTTCAAGATCTTTGGACACTTATACCAGATAGCAAATTACGATAGCAACCTGAACCATAACACGACAAACTGGACCCCTCTATGTATGAAAGAAATGTGTGTATATTTCACCAGCAGCTGAGAAGAGGTTTCGCAGCGACCGTCTCAAATCGCTGGGGAGGATCAGATTATTGTCACTAATAGGGGCAGTGGACATACCTCGACAATAACAGTTCGCTTCTGCTGTTCAAGTTCGTCGACGTTCATCCAGTCTAGGCTATGGTCAGGCTGGTGATACATCCGCCCAGCATGGCTGTTCCACCTATTGTGCTGAGGTGTAAATGGTGACTCGACATGAGACATTGACTTAGACATGACTGCCAGATCCTCCTCTGTCATAGAGCTGGCGAGTGAGTGTACCTCCGGAACAGAGGTAAGCCCACCCGGACTACCAGGCGGGGTGAGTTGCTGTGAAGCCGATAGATCATCAGGTGGAAGCGCGTCACCAGTGGGGATAAGGAGTGGTTGTGGTGCAGACGATATTCCGACATCGACTTCTTCCTCTTCGTCCTCCTCGATGACCGGTTCTTCGACGCCAAGCCGTTGCAGCCCGGCTTCGACAACGTCCAGGCGTTCAAGATGCTCGAGAACTGTGACACCTGTCGTACCAGGATGTACCTTCTGAAACTTGGCAGAGAACGGAACGGGGCGATCGGCCTCTGATGATCTCCGGCGGACGGGTGGAGGGAATTCAGCAGAGTAACTCTGACTGCGTGTGCGTCGTGGTAATGGCATGGTGCTGATGGACGGGCGTGGTGATGCAGGTGAAAGACCAACACCAGGAGGATGAGGTGCTTCTTCCATGATTTCAATTTCATCGTCCCAAACAAGTGCTCTCGTGCGGCGGGTCAACTCCAGGGGACCTGCAATAATGAATACCGAAATTATGTGTTTGACTGCCTCTGGAGCTCACCTTCATCCTAGCAGTAGATTGATCAGTTAAACAAATTCAAACGAACCAGCCAACAGTTCTGGCTCACCACATGTTTCAAAGACTCGATAATGTTGTAAGCTTGACCTTTCATGACAGCCAATTGCCTCTGAAATTAAGGATGAGATAGTATTGTTTTCATCAAGGTGCTCTTACAACTGACCCGGAACATTTTGGGATGGAAGTCAGGGTCGACTGCAAAGAGTTTACGAAGCTGGAAGGTTGTTTCCTCCCACCAAGTTTTAGAGGTCAAGAGGGGTAAAAAATGCGCTCGCGTCTTTTCACTGAAAGGACGCCCAATCAAGTTGACAGGGAGATACAACCACCCATATGTATATGACCGCCAGCCTCGAGGATGCTCATGAGGGAACGAGAGCGAATTGTCTATGGCTGCAATATGTATATGCGGCTGACGTATGTAGCCAGACGAAGCAGCGTTAGCTTGAGATGGAGGGATGGCATTGACGAAAGTCACAGTAGACTGTGAGGATGGAGAATGTGTCTCAGCACGGCGCATCTGTGGCATCTGGGGATGAGCTGAAGGTTGAGGGGCGACATCAACCAGCTTTTCGTGGCTGCCTTCACAGTACTTGATCATGTAGTTATCGGCTCCACGGTCGGTATTTAGCATCAGGTAGTCTGTTCGCAGGGTCAGCCATCAGGAAGAACATAACAGAGAGGGCATCACCAAGTATTACGAGCCTAGTTCAGAGTGGGATGCAGCATGAGGACCTGTGACAGAACGTGAACCAACTAACGTACTTTTCTAGCTCTTCTCTAAAACTTTGTTGAAGTGCTCGCGACCAATAAAACGGACGTCCAGATTCATTGTCTTCAGTAACGTCGAAAAGAGCACGTTCTTCCTCTGGGTCCTCATCGTCTATGTCTTCGTCACCAGTCCTTCCGCATATTATTTTCAGTGCACTAAGAAAGCGTTTCGTGGGGAGACCCTTGCGGTGCGATGAATCGTCAAATGTGTCTGCGATGGAGCGGCCAGGCCAAGGATGCTTCCGTAGGAAATCTGATGCATCTGATAAATTGGGGATGAGTCCATGTATAACAAATAAGTAAAATAAACGCAACCAGTGTATCCATGCAAGAAATACTGCATGCTTCCTATCTTTTCAGGTAGTGGTTTACCTTTCTTGGTTGCACTTCTGTCAATCCAATCATAGAAGAAGGCCTGAAGCATGACAATTTAGCCAGGAATTCGAGGAAGTAAACCATGGACTCACAGGGCTAGATAGTGAGACGAGTTGTGTACGAGGGACAATATTAAGCCCAAGGCGTTCGTCAAGCAGGGATCCTGCAGCTTCTGAGATGTAACTAGGGACAGTAAGTGTCACGCGGGGTGAGTTGCTGTTCTAAGTTGTATAAAATTACCTGAGATTGGGTATCAGACAAGCTCGTCCGAATGGAATTATCCATCTAAATTGCCGATGTAACCACTTAGTAGTCTGAAAAATCTCTAAGTGAAAGTCTGGTCGATTATAAAAATACGCACTTTAGGATTCAAACGCCCATAAGGTTCCTCATCTTTGGGCTTGAATACACTACATATGATATATGATATATGGTGAATTGATTGTCGCGAATGTGACCAAAGCACGATACTCACGCTACTGTCTGGACTCTCCCATCAACTTTCGCACGAGCAAAGTAGGATCCAGAAGACCCCTTCACGATCATCTTTGGGTGGATTCCAGCTGATATGGCATTTCGCACTGATTGTGTTAAACTGTTGACCATAAGCTCGGCATTGAATTCCTATAACCCTAGCTTACTTGTCGAAAGTCGCCTGGGACATGGGAGGCTTGTGATCAAGTGTTTTGACCTATGAATGCTATCAACACGGGACACTTGGAGCCATCCAGAGCATGCATTCTGAGTATAAAAACCACAAGGCTTACCATGAACTCACTTCCGCTCCCAATGGCAGAAGGTGGCGCACAAGGCTCAAAGACACTCTGCCATATCTCCTTACGAGAGTAGTCTTCGACTTTCTTCTTCCGTTTAACTTTCTGTGCGATAGATTCTGTCCACCTGAATACGTGTGTTAGCTCGAGACTGCCATTGCAACTCAGCAGGCCCCTCTCCTACCTTTTGAATGCGTTATCTAACTTTCGCAAGTCTATATGTCCTGGTTTGTGTGCTCGGACACTGCGTCCGCGGGCAGCCTTGGCATGATTCTCCGTGTTTGGTTCCTCGACGATAGTTTCATCTACAACGTCTTGGGGCAACTGTTGATAACCGGCAGAGTGGGGCATGATGAATCAAAGAAATCAGACGCCTATATGAAGGCCTTTTCAACGTTTGTTCGCCGCGTGTGGTTGATATGAACCTCTAGTGAGCCTTTGAGAGTAACGTTGAGGCCACGCGTGTTCAGCACTCGTCGCTTACCGGCACCACTCGTAGCTTAATATAGCTGCGAGGCTGTAACTTATGTGGCTGTGTCGAAACGAAACTCCGTCAAGGCCGTCTCGAGATATCTCATACTTGCCTGGCATGTTGACTGTACATGTAACATTGAATATGAACACCAAAGGCCTACATGCAGCATGATCAGTGCTGATCGCTACTAAATTAATTAACAATTCAAGAAAATAGTGCCACCGGGTGACACTGAACCGCTCATTGACATGAATTTTATACCAGAGAGAAGATTAAGGTAACGTCAGATTGAAATTCTCCTGCACTATGATATTGGATGCTGTAAATTCAGCGTTGCACTTTGTATCTTCTAGGCAGCAGGCAGTTGACTTCAACATAGTACGCTGAACATCGTTTGGAGACTATGTGTAAGTGGCAAGGACCAACGATAGTGCACAAGACACCCGGAGACTGAAGCAGAGTCAAAGTAACGGCGGTAGCAATGTCCTAGGATAAGAAGTAGAATCCTGAGCGAAGGAAGCCGGATGAGACCATCAGCCAGTCCTGGCCCATGACTCATGGGAGTAGGTCAACATCTGTCTTCTGCTAGATTGAACAAGGCAGAGATGACCACACATGTCAGCGAACAAGAACTGTGACAGGCAGACATACTTTTGAGCACCCCCGGATAGTTGAATCAACTTACCCGCCGCAGCATTCCGTTAGGCCGCATTGTTTTGCTCATCACTTGTCGAGTAGTCGACGGAAGGGAGAATTAAATCAGATGGACTTCTATATTTAATGCGTTCGCCCCAACCCCATTACAATTGATAGCGTCACCTTGGTGTGTCTTCCTGTGCGCGTCATTTGAGCACATGCTGTACGCGATTGGCCATGGTAAGCAATCTAGAACATTCGAATTGTAAACAGACGAGCTTCAATGCAACCTCTAGTGAGCAGTAGTGATGAAGAGTCAGGATGAGGATGATATAGAGATGGAGGAACGGACCTATCAAATATGCTTCTGCGCTTCAGCAGCCTGACGCCTAGCCTACTGACAATCCGAACAATCATCTGCAGAAACACTCCTACAAATGAACCAAGCGTTTGTTCCGTGAGCTACGCCCCACAACAAAGTATCACATCAATCAGCATCACCCAAAGCACCCCCAAAACACGCACATAATATTCAAAATCTCTACACAACGGGGACGAAGTTGAGGTCTGTTTGAGTGGTGTGTTCAGTTGACGTGAAGGCAGCGCGTGAGGAAGGAGGTTATGAAGGGTTGGGCTGTTTGTGTCACGATGTGGTCGTGGGGGTTCCATTTGGGGTAGGCGCGTGATTAACAATTGGTGTATGTAAAAGATGATGGGCGCGTGTAACAAGAGATTGAGCAAGCATTTTAGAAGCACGTCAGCGCACATCTAACGACCAAGCAAACGAAGTTCGCTCACCTCCCACCTCGACAACGCCTCCCCATCACTCACAGTCAAAGCCTGCCAACCACCCCAGTCACCGATCTCAATCACCTACTAATAAACACAAAAACACACCTGATGGATCGTATCATACGGGCTCGCAGCGATACAGGACCTGAATCCGCCATAACTATATGATCTAGTGAACTTTTGAAACCGTGTCAGTAAGCGGGAGATGTGTTGGGGAAGGGGGGGACGAACCTCGCTCGCCTTTGTCTCCCATCTTGACATTCAACAAACTCGTGCGTCTTGTCATAACCATCGGCATTTCACTGCTCAAGCCCAAACTCCACGACGCAAACAACTAATATGCCCAGTGTCACGAACCGAAAACTCACCTCGGCGCCATCCCCTCTCTCAAACTTGTCACCAAAAATGCATCCGCAACAGTCAAAAGCATCAAACACTGACTAAACGTAACCTCTTGCGTATGGAGGAACACGACAGGCTATACTATAGATAAGTGTGCTGAACGCGTTGATGCGTGCTACTACATCTGAAACTCCGCCTACTGTCAACTCGTTGGATTCAGTTGTTTGGAGGGCTACTTGGAGGATGTCCGAGGAGGACTTGTTGGTTATGACATTAGTGTGTGTTGCGTTTCGGATCGGAAAGAGGAAAAGGGAAGAGAAAGAAGAGGAAAAGGGAAGAAGAAGGAAGGAACACAGTGACCTCACAATTGCATTATCATATTACCGGCATATTTCCCAAAGTGGACACAACTTCCGTTTTATCAATACCATTCAACTGTTCAAGGTTCAAGCCCAGTGAGAACTGGCTGTGCCCAGATAGGGCCGTATAGGCTGAGATGTGAATTACCATATTAGTACTGTGCCGAAATCTGCTTCTTTCTGTCGAGAACGACATTCTTCGAGTGCAGCGCGTTGCAATTGCACGAACGCTGTGCATCATTGCAACGTTTTTGCATCGTCATCGTAAATACTTTGCAAATGCGCATTGCAAACGTGCAACCATTGCAACTTTCTCAATGTTACCATCAAACTCAAGTTCGGCCAAATTCATATGTGTCTGTAGCAAGCACAATTTTGGCTGGCCACATAATGTTTCGAGGTCAACATGGTATGAGCATATTCAACAGGTTGAGACAACAGCGGAGAAAGATAGAATTCGATTGGCCCAAGCATTGAATATACCAGGTACTGTTTGATTGATATTTTAATTCCATGGTGCTGACTATGCACTATAGACATAGACAGTGCTGTCTTGAATCTCCCTCCTCTGAGTGGGCAACCTGCCCAAGGTTCTTCCTCGGGTCAATGTCCTAGTGACCGTCATGCTGCGACGATACAAGCACTTGCCAAGATTGCTCAGGAGAATGCTGTTTCGAAGCATACTGGATGTTGCAAATGTACCCGGGTTTCAGAGCCTGATGATACATTAAAAGATCTGGTAAGCTTTAACTTTGATGAACAACTCAACAACTTTAATTAAAACATTGGTAGTCTATGGACCAATTTTTGGGTGAATTTGACTCCCATGTTCCTCCTGATGATTTCCCCATGCTGAACAGACCACCCATCCCACCAAATGAGCCACCCATCCCACCAAACGAGCCACCCATCCCACCAAATGAGCCACCTGTCCCACCAAATGAGCCACCCATCCTACCAAATGAGCCACCCATCCCACCAAATGAGCCACCCATCCCACCAAACGAGCCACCTGTCCCACCAAATGAGCCACCTGTCCCACCAAACAAGCCACCCATCCCACCAAATGAGCCACTCATCCCACCAAATGAGCCACCCACCCCACTGAATGAGCCACCCATCCCACCGAATATCCCTGCTGAAGTCAATGGGCACCAGCCGCAGTATCAGTTCGTTCTGCAGTGCCACCCACGGCCTAATATTGACATGGAGGCACTGGCTGGAATAGCCAAGCTTCCAAAGATCAAGGAGACTATGGAGTACATACTGGCGCTGAAAAATGCATCGCTAGAAGATCTGATAGCAAAATTAGGTGATGATGCACTTGAGAGACTGCAATCCACCCAAAGGGCCTGTTACTATAGATAGCCCAGGGATTTGGCACAGCATATCCATGTATCTTGCATTGGAGCATGCATCCCAGGTGGCCTACAATCGGATAATGAGATCTACAATGCTCAACTTTGCAGGAGCTGATGGTGTTGATGATTTGCTGAGTTTTTATAAAGTTGAGAGACTTGTTGCTGAATATACTGGTGTTGAATCAATCAAGCATGACATGTGCTTGAATTCGTGCTTAGCTTTCACGGGCCCCTTTGCTGATCTCAAAACCTGCCCAATGTGTGACACATCTTGATGGGATCAAGCAAAGCTGCGTGCGAGCAATGGACATACCAAAGTCACTGCTCAGATGTTTACGACTATACCTATAGGTCCACAATTGCAGGCCCTTCATCAGCATCCTGACAGCGCACATGATATGCGCTACCTCCACAACTGAGTTCAGGAAGTTCTTGCAGGCCTTGCACAAACTGGAGAGATTCCTGTTTTTGACCATATTGTGATGGGACACGATGCTATTGGTGCTGTACTTGACGGGGACATCAAGGAGAACGATATTGTTCTGATGGTGTCCCTGGATGGTGCCCAGTTGTACAAGAGCAAACAATCTGACTGTTGGATGTATATCTGGGTCATTGTCAACCTTTCACCTGACAAGCGATACCATAAAGTCCATGTCTGCCCTGGTGGGTTCATACTGGGGCCTAATAAGCTGAAGAACTTGGATTCCTTTCTCATTGTGGGGCTACATCACCTCGCAGCTCTTCAGAATGAGGGCCTTGTTATATGGGACTCATCTCGTGATGTAACATTCACGTCTGATCTTTACCTCATCTTCACGACTGCAGATGGACCTGGACTCATCTACTGGGATGGGATGGTGGGGCACAGCTGGGAAGAATGGATGTCGAGTTTATTGTGGTGTCCTTGGCAGGTGCAAACCCAATGGGACACATTATTACCCTGCTCTATTGAAAGCCACTAGGTCAATGTGCACCAGGTAGTGACCATGCTGATATTAGTGTGTTTCGCCTCCCCCCTGGTGGTTCTCAAGAATATGCTGACAATTTATGCCACCTCATCTCATCCCCTAGTCAACGACAATTGGAGATGTGCAGGACAGAGACCAGTATCACGAAGCCACCTCTTATTCTTGGACTCAACCCTTCACGTTGCCTTGGAGTTCCCAACTGTATGACCATGGATATTATGCATCTTGCTGGTAACCTCAGTGACCTCCTCATTTCTCTCTGGTGTGAAACAATAGATTGTGCCACTACAGATGATGTAACTACATGGGATTGGGCAGTACTCCATGATGCGGAAGCTTGGAGTGCACATGGGGAGTTGGTTGCACAAGTAGGTCCAGTTTCTTCCCAGTTCTTTTGATCGCAAACCATGCAATACCTGCAGAAAAACTCAACACAAGTTATAAAACTTGGGAATTCCAACTTTACACCTTTGGTCTCGCTCCTGGCCTACTCTATAACATCCTTCCTGAGCGATATTGGAGGAACTACTGCAAGCTCATGCGAGGTGTTCAACTCATGTGTCAGCACAGTATCACCGTCGAGCATATTCGAGAAGCCCAAACACTCTTGTGTAATTGGGAATATGAATTTGAACTCCTGTATTACAGACAACGCCAAGATTGCATCCACTTCATCCATCCCTGTGTTCACCAAACTAACCACCTTGTTGCGGAGACCGTTCACAAAGGCCCCCCTATTTGTTATGCACAGTGGACCATGGAGTGCACTATCAGGAACCTTGGACAAGAGATACGTCAACCATCTCGCCCTTATGCCAACCTGTCGCAAGAGGGTGTTTGACACTGTCAAGTTAATACACTTCTATCTGCCATCCCAGAGCTCAATGAACCTTCCAAAGGTCTTCCAATAGGTGCAATAGACTCAGGAGATGGATTTGCATTATTGCGCAAACGTGACAGATATGCATTCAGTCCAGTTGGAGGTGCAGCACAAGCCATACTTGACTATCTTGGAGATGGGTTGACACTTCCTTGTATCAAACATTGGACATGACTCCTCTTGCCCAATGGACAGATTGCATGGTCTGTCTGGAGAGAGACACTCAAACCATTAGATCAGACTTGCACATCATGCAATGTGAAAGTGAGAATTTCGGACATTTATGTGATGAATGTTACTGATGCATCCTAGATAAAATATCATGGGGAAGTTCGGTTTGGTGAAGTTCTATACTTCACCAGGCTTTCAGTTGAAGCAGGCCTTGACGATGATTGTGACTGGTGCTGGCACAATGTTGCCCTTATTCAGATGTATTCCCATCCAGACGATGACCTTCTCCAGCTCTCCTCACATACCTGTCACATCTTGCTCCCATCTTGAAGATATTTGCATCGTTAGCATAAAGCAGATCCTAAGTGTCGTTGTGATGATTCCGCACAAGCCTATACTACCTTCTGGAGTTATGGATGAAGAAGGTCGATTTTTCATGCTGGAGAAGCCCGGATTAGATCTTTCAAGCGTAGGAATCGCTAATGTCCCTCCTGATGATGAGGACAATGTTCCAGACGTAGAATAACCAGTAGACTGATAGAGCGTCTATTTTTTGTTACAATTGCCAATGTATTACAACAGGTATTTATAATGAGGCATTGTTTCTATCGTCGGTGAGTACAAAATATAAGAGCAAGTGTAACATACATCGAGTGAGTGCAACAGTGAGTATGAGTGAGTGCAAAATGTAATGGGTGAGTGCCAAATACAACAAACAAGCAGAACATGCAGACAGAACATCAAAATCTAAAGAAAGGAGGGTTAAAAATCAAAGTCGAACATCTTTGTCTTGCATCTTTCAATCTGTGCCAGCCTCCTGGGGATATCTGACACACTGAATGGCCTAATGATATGACACCAAGGGCGAAATTGATCAAGGAGGATCTGCCTGGTAGTGGGATCTGGGTTCCCGGTGATTTGAGACAGATGAATACATGGTGTTGCAGTGCCCAATGCACATGACCTAAAAAATGAGTGTTTATTATACCCTAGATAATTGAGGACTTACATCTCAAGCTGATCCAAATCACTGAGAGCATCCTCCTCCTTGATTGCCAGGACATCTTCTTTGAACTTGATCTTCCCCTCCACTTTCTCAACCTTAATCCCTACATCTGCTTCTTCAGCCATTGATTCATGCTTGGTTTCCAAGTTGCTAGTACGGTGATATATTAGTCCAATCTATGTCTTTTATAATAATCAAATAATACCTTGTGCTTGGATTTGGATCTGCACCATCACACAGGCGGAAAATGAGGGTCTGAAAGAGATGTAGCACTATAAGCACCACATAATAAATGGGGAAAAATAAACTTACTTTGACTCCCAGTGTTTCAATGTTTAATTTGATGCAATAGTTCTTCCAATTGGGAAGAACACCATCAATCTCAAGGAAGATAATGTTGCCACAGACGCTGATGCTATCAGTCTTATTAATGGTAAGAGAGGACATAATAACTGATCGATAAGGTAGAGGAGTAGAGTTTGCATAAAGGTTCTTGGACTTAGATGATCAGAGAGATTGCGGCAATTCCCAGTGGGATTTAGATACAATATCATTGGCCTCACCATATACTACAGAGTGTCTCTGTCTCTTAAATTTATCACTCCAGGATGTTTTCTTCTGTCAACAGAGGTTCTATGAATTTAAATGGGGGGAATTTCTTTCACACCATGCATAACTCAAGCCATCCTCCACAGAATCCACATTGGGGGCAGGAATTTACTCCTTCCCCCCTATCTACTGGCTCTACTAGTATTCCTGATGGGGATCTCTTTACAGATAGTTCCAGGATCCCGCAGCCTCAATTTCAGCCTGTATGTTTGCTCTTCATGCTTTTTCTGCTAACAAAAACATTTTTAGGGTGCATACATGCATGAAAACCAACAGTTTCAGATGCTGCGCGAACAATATAGGGCACTGGAGTCACAAATTGTGAAGGTCACAGCCGAATGTGATTCTGTCATGTGCGTATCTTCTTGGTTTATTTATTTTTACTTACACTTGATAGTGCTGCATATCAATATCTTGCAAGTGCAGTTCGCTTCCCGATTAATGACCCATTCCAATTCAATCCTTTGTTGATCCCAACACCAACAAGTACAAGTAATGCCGAACGCCCAAATCCAGAGACACATCCAAACGTTCAGTTTTGGGACAAGGCTGAGTACCTCAAGTGGTTGGATTCTGCTGATGCTGAACACACTGCACTGCATGGCAAGCTCACATTCCTGGAGGACAGCAATGGAAATCCAGTTTCTGAAACCACAATCAATGCTATCCATAAAGCTCTGCATGCAGCATGGTCGGAGCTCCTCATTCGCAAACTTGCACCTTTGACTTGGGGGAAGCTGACTACATCAGGCACCCAGCTGATGAATAGCTTGATGGAAAATGCCTACCCACTATTTAAGCTCGCCAACAATGGCTGGAAGCTTGACTACCTCGCTACAATGTCTTACTCGTCTTGGCGGCAAAATCACATGGATGAATGCGGTAATCCACTAGTGGGTGGCGATGAGGAGGGTGATACCACTTCAAAAGGCAAGAAAAGAAAGCAGCGTATTAAATCTGAAGCACCTGAAGTCCCTGAAAAGAAGATCAAAGGTTCATCATACTGCAGTTACTGACAGTGATTAATACTCCCATTTTTCAGTCGATTGTGGTGCACTAGAGATTACCATCCTACCACTGACTCCTCCACCATCGTCTATTTCATCTCTACCAGAATGCCCAATGCCATCCTTGACACCATCATATCCTCCTCAAGCGGAAGAAGGTGCAACAACAACATCAGCAATTCCACAAGAGTCCACTCCACAAGTCCACGAAGCAGTTGCTGTACCTGTTCTTGAAGATATTCAGCCTAAGAGCATCCTTCCTGAGCCTATCTGTGCTCCAAAACCTGTCAAAATCACAATCATTAATCCACTGTGAGTCACCCATATAGCTTTATTCACTGCTAATGACTTTAAACAGCTCTACACTGGCATTTGTTGCGTCCAGTGTTGCTTCCATCAACCCATCACTTGAGCTACAATCTACCAGTGAGCCTGCACCCAAGGACATGCCAGGAAGTGTTCTTCAAGTTGCTCCGAACTCTATGAGCAAAACAAAAACAGTAAGCAAGGGACCAATGCGCCCAAGTCCCACGAGAAATGGACGGTGAGAGTGCTTATCATGTTTTGCTCATTATGTGCTCACTATCACAATAGAAATTTGTGTGCATTGCATTGGCTTAAGCAGATCAAGCGAGGTGGGAAGATGGACGAGTTCAATAATTACTATGGGTCACTAACACCAGATCAGTGTGGGGTAAGTGATCCATCTGCTGCTGTGTCACTCCAAGTCATTATTCTTATTTGCTCAAATTTCAGAAATACGATGAGGAGGCTAAGATTCTGGTACTTGGTATTGGATCCTTTGTCTATGATACTAATACAAGATCTGCAGGTTGCCAAGAATACGTGGACCAAAAATGTCAATGAGGGCCATGTCTACTAGACCACATCATACTACCACGACATTTCCCGTGTGCCTTGATGCATTTTTGTGCCTCCCGCCTCTTCTCTGCTCTGTTCACCATGTCTGCTCTCAACATGTTTCCGAGGTGTGCTCCACCTGTTCTTGAACCATTTCATATCAGTTTCGCATTCCTACTAGACCGCATCATACCACCATGATATTTTCCGTGTTCCTCAATGCATTTTTACTCTGATTTGTGCCTCCCGCCCCTGCGCTGCTCTCAACATGTTTCCTGAGGCGTACTCCATTCATTTTCAAACCATTCCATATCAGTTTCATATGTTTTGCAAGTGCTTTCAGATACCTATACTGCATAATACCTTCTGTGCAATCAGAGAATATTTGACACTATTCTGGCACATCCTGCAGCGACAGCGTGAGCATGCATACTAAAACAATCAGAGCATATTTGAGAGTATTTAAGCACATTCTGCGAGGACAGTATGAATATGTGCAAATATGTCTAGATGTGCTCGACATCACAAGAAGCACAAGGGAGCACGTGGAGCACTGCCCCGTCTTATAGAAAATGTGCTGTGAGTCCGGATATTGGGCGAGATGTGTGAGTATGCGCTCTGTCTCTCGAGTGGGCATCTCAGCAGATTCTGTCCTATTTGGGCACAGCCAGTTCTCACTGGGGTTCAAGGTTCAACCTCAACCATGCTCATTGCTGAGTACCTTCAAGATCAATATCTCCCAGGCCATGCCCCACTGTTCAATATCCAGCATCTGGTACTCCTTGCAAAACCACTTTAAGATGCTCCATCAAGATCATTCTGAAGTAGTTAAAGACAACAGCGTGCATACTATGAGTACATGTGGATTACCACGATTCGGATGGACAGGGTGAGTTTAATATTTGTGAGCATGCCTACAGCATTTGAGCATATGTTTTTTATACATGCAAGTACTTGTCCCTGTTGGACCTCAGAGCTTCACACAAGTTTGATAGACTGACACAATCGGCAATACACCTAGTATTTCAATTTGCCTTGTATCCCCATGAGCACTATTTAGCTACTTATGATTCCCTGTAACTTGTTCTGCATAAAGGTCTGATTCTGCATAGTAGTTGCCCTGTGTACGATACTCAACACAATGATATTTGATGCGAGACAAGTCTTAATAAGAATAGAGGTCTGCTGCGGCCTTAGTGGTACATGGGTCTGGTTCTGGAGACTCTTCCTGTATGCCACATATGGTCAGTTTGACATGATGAGTTTGGGTGCGAAACAAAGCTTACACGCCCAACTACCACTGGCTTGCCTGGGTCTGGTTCTGGGGACTCTTCCTGCGTACGTTGTATGGTGAGTTTGACACGTTCTGTCTGAAGCAAGGCTTACATGTGCAAGTGCTACATAATTGGCCTATGCAATTGTAAGATCAAGGTGATATCTGATGCTGTGGCGAAGCTAGGCTTACTCAGACCACCATCGCCATATTGTTACACCTGTCAGGGACCTGTAGATGCTGTATGACAACATGACAATATTTGATGCGAGGTGAGGCTTACTGGCACACCAGCGCTGACAAGGGCTGTCAGGCCGAGGAGAACAACGAAAACAGTAGAGAGGCGGGTAAACATGATAGTGAGTTGATTTCACTCAGAGCTTGTTGGGAACTTGATTGTTGGTGCTGCCTGTTTTTATACTCCACAGAAGAGGACGTCAGGTTGTGTTTTGGACATATGACAGTGTTGCTAGAATTGAGACGAAACTCTTCAATATTCATCCAAAGGAGTTATCTGTCAATGTATACATGGCTTGAGTTGATCCAATTCAAATTTCTGCAGGGCTGCAAGATTTGTGACAGCCAACTAAATACTGGTTGCCATACGTATACTTCTGCTTCGATCAATCTCTGACTTCCAAATTAGAGGGGAGGAGAGCCTCGTGGTAAACAATCATCGTGTCCTCCCATGATTCACTTTCCAGCCGAGGGGTAACAGAAATCGTCAACAGCCGCCATTCCCCCACTCATCCTAGCAATACATGACAAATGGCAAAAACAGTAAGTTTAACTGGCGGTATTACCGTACCAGTGGCGTGAGCTGCCTTGTGTATATGCAATTTACATATGACATTACTTGTGGATGTTTGTTCCATACTACTGGGCCACAGCATAGGTGTCGAGCGATATGTATAGCTGTGGTAGTGCTGCAAAGGTTGTAGGCTGGACAGCAGGGCAGAACTGAGTAGCGCAATTTGTTTTTTTTTTGAGTATTAAAGCAAAATAAATAAATACTAATTAGACAAAAGATGTTAATGATCAATGATTTGCAACAAGTAAGAATGGTGGGTCACTGCCAGTGGTCAGTCTAAGCAAAAATTAACATATCTCCTGGACATGGGCCCATACTACTGGAGACACCGCTGACATTCTCACTGTGTAATGAAAGTGCACATCACACTTGAGCTTGAGGGTGCCAGATGTGCAGGGGACGGCAGCAGGACAAGGTAGGCATGGGAGCGACAGTATACAGACATAGGATGAAGGACAATGTCCGCACTGGGGGTGGCACCAGCAAGAGGTGGTGAGCAAAGAATTTGAAGCAGAGTCAAAGCCCAAGACAGCACCAGCTTGGCCCAGGTACAAATCACCGAGAAGCTGCACTGATGGCCAAAGGAATAGGAGGTTCTCCGAACCAAAGCTACGTGCACGATTAGAACAGCTAAATCACGGTGTGGAATAGGGTTCAGTGAAATAGCCTATAGGGATCCCGCTTGGCATTGACCAGCAAAACAGAGCCTAATCATATTTTATTTCTCAGTGTCAAGGTTACAGTAAGGGAATAACAGGGGAATACCATGTATACATCTACTAAGTTAGTATCTAGTTGCAACTTTGCATGTATGTGTATCTACATATTGTAAGAACTAGACTGTAGTTGGGACTGTGTCACTGATGTTGACCATTTGTGTTCTGAATCGTATCATATTATTAGTGCTGCTGTGGTCCGGTTCGGTTTTTTCTCAGTTTGAATGCAAACCAAATGCAAAAAAATTACAGCCAGGAAAAAAAACATAGTCAAGGTGTTTGTACTCGTAGTTACATGTCCAATGAAGCCACATGTCCCTCAGCCTCTACTTCTGCAGAAAGGTGCCCATTCCTATATGCTCCCTTCAACAATTGTAATGCAGTGAATGTGGAAGTCACAAGTGCATTGCATCGGATAGTCGAAGTGATTCCTCTGCTTGAGAATGCTTGTTCAGAAGGAACAGAGCTGCCTTGAATGGGTAGATAGTCTTGCGCAATGCACGCGAGTGTAGGGTATTGCAGCAAGTGAAGCTATCCCTGACTCCACTTTAGTGGAAGAGGGTTCTGTTGTGTCAAAATGCCTAGCTTCCTGCAAATGCACCCGTGGGAAATTCCCACGCACCCATGTGGGAATAAATGAGGGAACCAAAGAACTCGAAAGTTCTGTTCATCTGTCCATGATGGTCCATCCATGCCTGCCTGTCCTGTCTGTTTGGGATGTTCCAGCTGTCCCAGTTGTAAGAGCATGAGCCTGTGTGACTTTGTACATTTAACAATCCACACCTACATGAACCCTCCCAATCCCCTAAACATGCTGCCCATTGTTTGATTTCGCAAGGTACATCAAAGTGTGGTTGCAAGGCAAGGGCAACTGCCAAGAAATCCAGTCAGGCCCTTGGTGAAAACAAAGGGAAGATGCCTAGTGGTATGTTTTACATCTTGAACTATGACATTCTGACCATACAAATACTAGTAGGTCATTCCTGGCACATTTCTGACCTCGAAGATTCAAGAGGTCAATATTCTGCTTTGCTAAACATGTACAATATTTGTGGCACAAGAGTTCAGAGCCCTGACGTCTGAGACGAGCATGGAGTTTGCATACATGTTGGTGACTACAAGACTAAACTCAAGGAGGGTATGATTGTCAAGTTAGAGGTCATCTTAAAACTGTAAGTCCTCAGTTGTTTTCGTTAGGGTGCAACAGCTTAACATCTTGTAGGTGGACTATCAAACTGCATAGAGACAACTCCAACCCCTGCAACATCAATGGATCTCGTGTATACCAACTGATGTTACAGTATATGCAGCTCTTGCCTTGCACCAAGTACACCCAGCCTGCTTTAGTGGCTTCACTCAAGGATAGGAAGGGGAAAAGAAAGGCTGAGGATGATGCAACTGACCAGTCGCCCACTAAAAAGGGTTCTTCTTCTGCTGTGCTCGATGATGAGGATGAGCTTGAGTATACTATGATTGAGTAGGTTGAAGTGATCATCTTTCTTGGTGACTTCTTTATCTTGGCTTGAACTGTATAAATGTACTACATCATTGTCTTACAAATATCTGTGAATCATATCTTGTCTCAGTGTCTTTGAGTGGAGTCAGGGATTGGTGCTTGCGCCACTATGATTAAGTAGATTTAGTAGCGAAAAAACAAGTCAAAAAGATAACTTACCCCCCACCAGGCCACAATGTCATCAGTCTCCTCTAGTGGCGAAGACAAGTACATGTTGAGCTCTTGCCAAGGATTGTGAGTAAGGTGGCCTGATGTTTGATGTGTCCTAATAGCCTCGCACATCCAATTGTCACCATAGTGCTTGCATACAGCTCTTGTTGGTGGAGCAGATTGCTCTTTGGTAGGTGTTCGACTTGGCAGTGTATAATAGTCATTGAACTACAAAAATAAAATGAAAGGGGGAAAACAACATAGACAAGTACTCACCATGGCCTCCAGATGAGCCCTGCCATCTGCAACATCTTCAGTATCCCACTGACCTTCAACATATGTGAGCTTATACATAGTTTGGATCAAAAACTTAAATTATATTAGATAAGAATGAGTTGTAAAAATTGATAGTACTCACCAAGACAAATAAAATACATGTCTGATTGATTTGTTTTCTTGAAGTATTTGTTGACATTCTTGAGTCCTGCCTTAATTGTATCAGCAATTGGAACATATTGTGGGTCATCTGCCATGGATCTCCATGGATCAGCAAGGCACTCTAGTGTAGGGATCGTTTTCCATGCAGTCAGGTGTTTTGCTGACAAGAACGATTGCTGAGCTGTTGCTGGTTCCTTGAGGACTCGGTGAATAAGCCTGAGGTGTCTCCAATCACTCCAATTGAGCTTGAAGTTGTTGTAAGTCTTGTTGTGAAGAGTTGGCACTTCCTTGCTTTCATTGGCAAGGTTGGTGAAACAGTTTATGGCCTATTTAATTAAAATCAGGCCACTTTTAAACATTGAAAGAAAAAAAAACTCACTTGATGCAAGAGCAACATGCAGTCCAGGCATTTATATAGTGAAGCCCAGTGAGTCCAGATCCATTGCAACAACTCAAGTTCAGGTACATTCTTCTCTTTGCAAGCCTTACAGAAAAACGCATGAGCTTGAGGGGACTTTCGGATCTGAGGATCTTGATCAGCAAAAGAATAGTCTAATAAAGATAGCACATACCTGCTCAATGAGGGCAAGAGCTTTGCCAAGTGAATTGCCAGTATCAAATAAGGTGTCATTGTCATTGTTCTTGTCGTTACTGATGTCCATGGAAGAAAGCTGGTTATTTAAGGTGTTGAGATCAGCATCATTGCCATTATCAAGCACCTGTCAAATCTTCTTCATGAGAGCAGCTTGAGGTGTGGGGGCAACTGCATCAACAAAGTGGCATGTGGTGAGGTTTAGTATATGTTCCTGGCACCTGATGCGGCATGCATCAGGTGCCCACTGTGTACCCTCAGGATTGATTTCATGTCCAACTGCTTTCATGGCGGTATCATTGTTGGTGGCATTATCAGAGGTCATCCATCCAACCTACAACACACTGATTAGATTCAGTGCAGCAAAGTAGTAGACTAAACTTTACCTTATCTTGTAGTTCATATGTGTCAATGGTATCAATAATCAAGTGAGCAGTATTCTGACCACTATGATTGCCCTCAATGTGTGCAAAACTGAGTTGCTTGTGGCATAACTCCCATTGCTGGGGTTTGTCATCTGGGCTCCAGATATAATGACCTGTGATGCAGAAGAAAGGGTCGCTGATGATTGACGTCCATGAATCGAAAGTCATTGAGACTTGACTGTCTACCTGTCATATCTGCATATCCAGGTCTCGGATCTGATCCTTATCTCATCTTAGATCTGATCCACATCTTATCTCCCTCCAACATCTTGTCATCCATTCTGTCCACTCATCTGGTCTGGTCCACAATTCATCCAAATCCACAACCAGTGCTCATCTCTTTTTGGTAATCCCCTAACTCTGGCATTTCAGTTATCTGTATATCTGTCCTGCTCCCTGATCCATTACCTATGCTTCATTTCTGTTTCATTATTTGTGATCTGTTTCTACTTACCAATAGACCATCCATATGCTTCATACATAGCCTTGGACTCTGCTAATTGATCATTCCGTTAGATACCTATAGTATATAACCTCCTGTAACTCTCTGTAGTACCTCAGTTCAAATATCAACTTAGTTCTGCTCATTCCCATCCTCCGGACCTGAATACTGCTACTCTCGTCACCCTCCAAGACTTAGGATTGATTCCTATAGTCTATCCACATCTGCCTCTGTCTACAACAGCCATTACCACTAGTTGTTATGAACTAGGGTAGTTCTAACAACAAGCAACTTGATAAGAGTTAAGGACTTCTTGTTGAGATTCTATGCAAGACAATAAGTTGAGCATTCAGTGTAAGCTAAGGTAGAGGGAGTGCCTCTATCTTAAAGTACGGTTCAGATGACAAGAGATTGGAGGTCTCAAGCAAAGGATATTCAAGGTAAAACCTAGTAAGATTAAAGTAAAGAACTAAAGTGTACAGGAGGGCTATTTATAGTGAACTACTGTGCTTTAGGGCAGGCATGAGAATGAAATGGGTCAAAGATAAGGGATGCATAAGTGATAGTAAGAATAGATCATCTAACAATGGCAATGGCGATTGTGATGTAATACATGAGTCAGAAGTAAGTCTAGCAGTGGCATCATGCAGCTCGTGACATAATACACAGTAAGGAAGAGAAAATGAATAGGGGTGTATGTGGTTGTAACATTACCCCTTGGTTAGGAATGAAGTCACTGACTTCAGTTATCCTGATTAGCCCAATAGATTGGGTCAGCATTGTAGTTAGAGTCCAGCAAGTCATTTTGCTCCTTAGTAATGGTAAATGATTTATCAGCCATCTTGGTGGCATGATAAATAGCATCCTGCTCAATCTCCCAGCGAGCGAGGGCTTCATAGAAACCAGTATCAGTCCAAACCAGTGGAATGACCACTTTGCCCTTCAAGTCTTTACAAAAGACTGACAGATGCCCAGGTGCATACTCTTTGCAAACCCAGCAATAGTACACTAGACAGTTCTTATGGTGATGCCCAGCAGTCCAACAGTTACAACACACGATGTTGTCAATTGTTGCAGTTTTTATGGTAGTGATGGTGGATGTTACAAACTAGGATAGTCGCAACAACAGTTACTTGATAAGAGCAACGACTGAAGTTGAATCAAGACCTTACAAATGTAAGGGTCATAAGACAAGTCAAAGAGAGTGTCTCTGGCTTGAATCTTGGTCCAGATGACTTAGGATTGGAGGTCCTAAGTGAAGGGTGTTTCAGGTGAAGACCTAGTAAGATTAAAGTGAAGATCTACTAAGTACATGACCAGTCTTATATAGGATGTAAGTACTTTAGGGCAGGAGGTGAGTCAGAGAGATGAATCAGGATAAGAACAAGTCAGAGATAAGAATGAGTCATCTAACGACGGCTGTGGCAGTTGCGATGTAATACACGTATAGAAACAAGTCTAGTGATAGCGCAACACAGCATGGTCATGATGTAATACAAATGTAAATGGAGAAAATGAATAGGGGCAAGTGTGACTGTAACAGTGGATGATTGTGCTAGTGGGGAAGGGGATCTGGATTGTCATTTATGATTTCTGTGTGGGGAGGCCAACACTGTTTGTTTGGCAATACAGGTGGATCTGTGCCTGATAGGGTACCAATGTGTAGTAGGTGCGATGGAGGTAGGAGAAGGAGAAGCTGGTATGTCAAGTACAGCAATAGGAGGGATACCATCATCCAAATGCTCAGTGGTAGCTGTTGGAAGAACTGGTGGTGGGATTGGAATGGCAATGTGTGGGGATGGGGGTCGTGTGACTGGGTTTGTAGTGATCCATTCAGTGACAATGTGGATAGCTTCTCTGATAGCTTCCTTAGTATCATCAGGCAACAGATGGATTGCAGTATTACAAATGCGTATATGAAGATGGTGTAAAATGGTCTTGTGATGGTCATTGTCAAGAAGATTAGCGGTGCACTCGATAAGGCTAGCATCTCTGATGATTCAGATAATGAGTCCACTAGAGATTGCCCCTCTCTCTCCTAGGAGATGATCTATCTCAATAGCATACTGTTGGGATGTAATGGCAGATTCAAATAAGGCACTGGTCTTGATTTGATCAATGATTGTGAAGTAATCAGTGAGGGTAGAGTCACTGGTTAAGGTAGAGTAGGTCAAAGGTGGGGAAGCAACTGGGGGTGGCATGTTTTCAGCAGCAGTGAGGTTGGCAATGGTAGCAGTCTGGTAGTCGGTGAGGGATAATGGGTGAGTGATGTTTTCGGATACAATGTTCATAGCAGTGGTAAGTTCTTTGATGCATTGTATGCAGAGGCGTAAGCATTCAAGAGACATTGTTCTGGTTTTATAATCGATGGGTTTTCTTATATGCAGAAAGGATGTCAGGGGTGCTACCCAGGTTCTCTTCTGGGATCCATTCGTTACTAGTGGAAGAATATCCCTTCCAAGATACTAGATAGTGTCTTCATTTACCTGTGCCTTTGTGCGACAGGATCACATCAATTTCATATTCTTCTTTGTTATCTATGACGTCTGGGGGAGGATTGTGGAAATTTGGGCTGTGAATATCTGTTTTGTGATAGGACAATAGTTCAGAAGCATGAAACATAGGGTGAACTCTCCACTGAGGCAGTAGTGTCATATGCCATTCCGGACTCTCAACTCTAAATCCACTTCTCTGGATATCTGGATCTGAGATCTGGATCTCAAATGATCTGATCTATCTTTATCTTCCTTCCAGAATCCAAACCCTATATCAGCGCCCAACCCCATTTAGACTTCCCCTGTCTCTGGACTCCAGCTAACCATGTTTCCCTTCTGATTATTGATCCATTACATACATTTCATTTCTGGTGTTCATTATTTGTGATCTGTCCTACTTACTAATTGACTTTGCATGTGCTTTGTACATAGCCTTTATGTTTGCTGATTGATTCCTATATGATACCTACAGTATATAAACCTCCTGTAACTCTCGGAAATACTCCAGTTCGAATATCATCTTAGTTGCTGCTCATTCCTGTGTCCTCCAGACTTGAGACAAGTCTCTTGTCATATTCTGAAGTCTTAGGATTGCATCCTAGACTACATTTCCAACTCTACCTTAAGGTAGTCTATTGTTAAGAACCATGTTGCTCAAGGGGGAGAGAGACTGACTCAGAGGGGCTTGGCCTCAGCTTGTACACTGTGCCCTTACCCGAGTATGTGCCCTTCATTTTGTATGAGGCCCGATGATGGTCTGATGAAGTCTGGAGGACTTCTGGAGGCTGGCTACTCTGCTGGAGAGTGCTAGAGGACTTCCGGAGGAGTGCAGGAGAGTTCTGGAGGAATGCAGGAAGTGCTCAGGAGAGTTCCCACTGCAAGGTAATACTTCTACAGGAAACAGGATGGAAGGATAGGAGGTCCGAAGGTCAGGAGGACAGGAGGACAGGAGGACAGGAGGGCAGGAGGGCAGGATGATGGGGGACAGAAGGACAGGAGGACAGAAGGACAGGATGTCCAAAGGTACAGAGGATAGGATGTCCAAGGGTTAGGAGGATGGAACATCCAGACCCAAAGGTACAGAGGGTGGAACATCTGAAGGTACGGAGGGCGGAACATCCAAAGGACAGGATGCCCGGAGGTATGAGGGACAGGGTCTGGAGGTCTGGAAGGAATAGGGGCTACATTGGACAGAGTCCAATATAGAAACAAACAGAGGTAGACTACCCTAAGGTAGAGTTGGAGAGACAGGGACTGGACCTAAGTCCGGAAAGAGGGTAAGTGCCAGAAAGGCAGAGCTCCAGCCTAGGGAATCAATCCCTAGGCCTGATGGGTAGGATAGACTTAGGTGGACCAAAGTCCAAGAGAAGATTGGGCAAGTCTAAGTTGATATTCAAACTAAGGAAACTACAGGAGTATCTACAGGGGTTATATACTGGACAACATCTGAGGGGATCAGTAAGCAAAGGAGCAAGGCTATGTATGAGCATGTGGAAACACATTAGTAAGTAAGATGGAACATAAGTAAATGAACTCAGAGATGAAGACTTGTACAAGGATCAATAAGCAAGATGGAACAAGAGGTAACTGAAAGCTGGAAAGCAGAGAATGCCTAAATGGGGATAGGCGCAGGATATCAGACAGAGGGTGGGAATAGGTCCAGAGTTAATATCTGGAGGTCCG